AAAAGGCAAATTGAATCCTAGTTTTCTTATCGTACTTCCGTCAATAAAAATTCTAAAACGTTATCACGAATAGACTGTGCATTCCTTTAAGCAGGAAATAAATTAATTGGCGTATAAGCATCTCCGGCTCAACGTATTCTCTCAATCTTTATAACTGAAAGTCGTTTTAACGAAATAATTGATCAGATGACGTTGTGAAGCCGTGTACAATCGGTAACGACGGTAACCCACTTCATCCAAATCAAAATTTGTCCAAATTACATTAGACTTGACAACAGTGACAGACATAAACTCGTTAGGAGCAACGTCTTTATGACGAAGACTAGCTAAAGCCGCGTATCGCCGTCAGTGAGATTAGCTTATCGGCAACGCTGATACCCCGCAAACAGAGCAGAAGAGAGTGAGAGAGAGTGAGAGAGCTGTGCTCTATATACTTCGTTATGTCGTTGAAAGCATCGCTTTTGAGCAGCTGCTCAGTTGGAAAGTTGCTTTAATCTTTTGACAAAAGTTGCAAAATCAAGTTTGAACGTGCTTATATTCATATGTTCGCTGTCGATTTATTATTTTGTGTGGAGCCAATCACAGTTGATTCCGAATCGGAAAAAAATAATGCTCGAGTCACAATCGACCAATCTCAGGCTTGCGCGAGTTTCCATCTAAACGAGAAAATAATCAGGAAGCAGCGAAAGGAAGGAAAGTAAGCCCTCTTGCGATATCCCCTATATTAAGACATTGGCTGTTTCGCTGATCTGACACATAGACTATAGGAGTCAGATGAAATAAAGAAAGAGAAAAAAGGAAAAGCTGCGACAGCGTTAAGGGTGGAGCGCTAGTGACATTTTTTTCACAGAGCGCGAACGAAGTAGGGGAGTGTCGATGATGCTTGATTGACGTGATCCTTGGGCTCACCAAGCATTTCGGGAAGGTTAATAACGCGCGTATGCGTCTTCTCTACTCGGCAGCGGCGACGAGCTTTATTTTATTTGGCTGCGGATTATCGGACTCGAGAGGACTCAACTGCTCTGCCAAGAGCTTTCGACAGAGTGACAATGGCTTTTTTTTTTTGTTCTATTTGATGGGAAGAGAAAGTTTTATTGACTTTGGTCAGAACGACGCGAATAAAAAAAAGTCAACACGAAACCTTGTATTTAAACAGCTTGATTCCGAAATTAATAGAGCAAGTAAACGATCCAAGTAACCACGCTGAAAAATACTATTAAAGAAGCCTTACTTTGAGCCGCGGTATTCGATATGAACATTTGAATGTTAACCTGTTGCATCACTAAGACACAAGTCAACTTTGTCTCCATTGGCCATAAAGGGAAATCATTCGAAGCGTGAGAAACGGAGAGAGTAGGGTGTATCAGTCGAAGAATCACCATAAAGATACATCTCCCTTTGCGTTGCGTACGGCAACGGCGGCGGCGGTGCCGGCAAAGTCACTACAGTTTCCGCAGAATTCCGCTCCGCGCCGCGACTTCGTCAATTTATATCTCTCTTGGTAAAAGGCATTGCCTTGGAAATGGACCGTGGCTTGGCATCCGTTTGAGCTCCCAAGGCAAAGACATAATTTCCGGATCGCGTCGCCCACGCGCGAATATCGGCTTTTTCACAGAACCTGTCACAAAGACTTCTCTCTTGCATTCAAGTTGCATTTTCAATTTTAAAAAAAAGTTTTCGACGCCCTGCAATGGTTAAAAGATAGATTTTTGACGTGCGTGCGAATTTTCAATTTGAGTATGTCGCTAAGTCTACTTTATTTATGAATGGTAAATAAAGTATGAAGGTTCGCTTGACATGTTAAATGAGAAGTGCGGGCTTAAGACCACACATTATAAATCTTTCTTTCATGTAGAAATTATTTCTCAATAAATATATTGATTGTTAAAATGTACTTGTTTACAAATAAATAAATTTAAACATCGACGTGCAGCACACCCTTCTTCGAGACTACTCTAACAAATTACATTGATAATTCAGCGTTGAAACATGATCCCTCAAATTTGCTGACCTCAAAGCGGGACGTAAAGAAAAAGGAGAAGGTGTCTCCGGCGTAAATCGGCCAGTACAGCAGCAGCAGTGGAGAGAGCACTTTACAAAAAGGGGTTTTACAGCGATCTGAAGACTACTACAATGTATATAGCTCAAGAAAGTCCAAGCTACGTTGTGTCGTCAAGAGGAGACTAAAAGGTATCCGGTTCAACTCCTTTGAACTTGACACGGGTCAGGTGACCTGAAGCTTTCAACACTAACTCTCGAGATAAACGTTCCACGGAGATTACAACTCCCCGCGCACCACCTCGCATACGGAGAGCATTGCATCGTGAAATTAGGTCGTTTTTCCTTCTCCCGCACTCTCTCATATTGTGGGCGGCTGCGAGTTTCACCGGAATGATACAAGCGAACTCGAGCTTTTACGCGAAACGCTTTTAAAGTTCAGCGAACGTTGCTGTCAATACTCGTCCAAATTTGCAATTAATTTTCTCCTGCAAGACAATCTCGTTACAGCTTTGCTGATAATTACGTTCGACACTCGAATGAGTCATGAAGAAAGCAAAAATATTTCTTCGCAAGGCACTCGAGGGAATCAATAAACAACGTTATCGATCAGCCTTATTCGGCATGTTCGCGTGGCTATTCTCGTCACGTCAATCATTCAAAAATGTTCGCCTCCGTAAATTGAAACTTCTCATGTAGCCACGTTCTTTTAAACTTGTTGCAAGACGAAAACTTGTTTGCTCGCTAAGTAATTGAGTTTTTTTAAGCTCGCAGCGAAAATGACTCCGTGGAGCTCGCAGTCGCTATTTCAGAATTTGAAAGCGCACTCTCGTTATTCCGCGCTCTCTCGCATTGTCTGCTGCTACTTATTTTTTTGTTTTGTCCCCCACCCCCCTTTCTTTGCTCTCTTGCGTGTATCCTTGCACCCAGACACGCTCGCTCGCGTTTTTATGGTAATTGGATTTTGGATTTTCTTCGTCTCAGCGAAGATCAGAGTGTTGTTATTTGATACGGACAAACGAACAAACCTGTTTTTGAATTATTTTATTGAATGTAAGCGCTTAAGCGCGCGAGACTCCGTAAACTCAAATAAAGTGATTTGCCAAAAATGACGATCTCGGTTATTCGTATCACCTCCAGAAATCGCATCTCTGTACACAAAATTGATCAAATCGATCAGCGAGCAACTAGAGCGCGCGATACTTTTTCCTGCACTAAAGAAACTCGCGACGTGCACTCCTTTATGCCACTTGTAGAATCGTCCGTAATGATGAACAACTCATCTCCGGCCTTCGATAACCGAATCACTTTTGGCAGAGGGTGTGCAACTCTGCTTCTCACATGACTATATATATATATATAATATTTGCGCCACTACTGCTACCGTCGTAAGAAGAGATTATCGGTAGTAAATCAAAAAGATTTTACCCTCCTTTCCCTTAAAAAAAACGACCATTAAAAGTGTCGATGCTGAGCTTTTTTACGGGTAACTAATGGACTCGGGATAATCGAAAAACATCGAAAAAAAAACTCAAACGCAAAAAGGTCAAGAAGGGAGGTCGACCCTTTCCGGAAATCGGTCTAATGAGCCGGAAAAATCGAGTCGGCGAAGGGCCGTCGAAGAGACCCCGCGTCGTCCCTTTGACGCAAGACTTTAGCGTCTAATTAACCATGAAAATAACGAGATTTCCGCAGTGCGTTTGCGAAAAAAAATTGAGATGTTGGGTTTGCTTTTTTTCACGATTGGATTGACATAAGATTTCACTGGTGATGTTTTTTTATAAAGAGAACGTACTAAGGATGTCTCGAACATATAAAGCCACATCGTTTGGTAAATGAAAATTGAGATTGCTGAGCCAAAGATGTTTTAATTGGCTTCGCTGTCACCAGGTGCGGCTAGAATCAATTACTGCACCAACAAGCGCTTAAATTTACGTATCTGTTCACGTTTGTGCCTTTATGTCAAACAGCATTGAAATCGGTTTATTAAAAACAAAGAGATCATTATTATTTCTTCTCTCGCTCCAATGGAAAAAGGATCCCAATCCCAAATCAGTCAGGCAATCTGCACAATCACGCCTCTGTGTCTTGTGCGGGGGCAAGAATACAAAAAAAAAAGAGAAAGAATCCCATGGTACAAAAACCTCTGGAGTACGTCGTGACGTTGCGGAGCCTCTGAAATTGGGCGCAAGCCTTCAAAGGCGTCGGCCTGGGGCGGATTTGTCTCGTTACGGTTTGTAGTCTCTCCATTTTCTTCTAGTTTTGTAATACGCGTGCTCGCTTAATTCATTCCAGGAAAATTCTCTGTACGCTTTCCAACTTCGTTGTTGCGAAAGTTTTACAATTTTTACACTAACAGCCAAAAAACGAAGGCATTTCAACGATCTAATATATCCGTCAAAGTGCATCTCCAAAAGAGACTTTCGATATCCATTAGCTGTACAAACATTTGCTTGGCGATATATGGATCTCGATTGAAGTAGATATGGCTCGTACTTTGGCAATATGATCTCACTAGTGCATCGAACTTCTCTACGTTCAAATAATCTTTTTTTCAAAGAGAACATATCTTTCTTTTTTCCGTTTTTCTATACGTTACTAAAACGAATGTCGATCTAAAAGTTGAACTTGTATTATCATCGTATTTACTTAATGTAATTGGTAAAAGGTTTTTTTGTAATTACTTAAAAGCAGGTTTATTTAAAGTGATTCAGTATACTATGAAAGCAACGGATCAATTAAACATTTATACCTACTGAAGTACCATTTTAATAATGCATGAAGTGTAAATCTGTTAACGAGAATCTGGGTTTGTCGTCAGTCTAAAATAAACCTCATTATAACTTCGTCATATTAAGTGACGTTGAATTAATAATGTCAACAACACGAAGTGTAAAGTACTCGCTTATGGAGCTAAAAATTACACCTATAATTCTATTGAGTATCGCTTGAAAAATATCAGTACCAATGTTAACGTGGAAAAAAATCGTTATCTGTTACAGCGAGTTCACCAGAGCCACGCCAATGCCCATATCTGGGTAAATTCACGGTTACTGGAGTGAACGAAGAATCGTCGTCGTCGTCGTCGTCGTCGTCGTCGTCTTCGTCTTCGAGCCACGCCCAGAAGAAAACTACCGCTTCGCGTAAGTCGCGAGTGAGACACGGCCAGGAACGTAAACTGGAGTTCGAGGTTGAGAAACGCCGTGGTAACAACCAGTATCTCGTGCACGAGCAGCAGCGGCGCCGGGCACGATCAATCGTCAATGGTGGTGTCGTCGTGGTCGAGGATCGTCTGATCGAAGAGGAGCTCTGGACAAGACGACTTGCCGATCGCAAGGCCCTCGAGGACCATACACGAGCGCTGTTCAAGAGTCAGTGTATTTTATGAGTGTTTCTGGCTGTTTTGACCCACTTTCTGGCTTTCCTTGTTTTTCTCCTTTCTTTCTCCATGTGTATTTGCCAAAGTTGCAACGCGCGAGTCAATGACGCGAGAGAAGTTTGTTTCAACTGCTGGCGATATTTATCTTTCTATAGTCTTTCGCTTTTCGCTCCAAATACTATTTCATTGGGTGCAAATATTTATTGAAAAACAGTCTTTGTCTCTTTTCCTCTATTTTTTAAGTTCTCGCATATCACTAAACCGACTCGAGTTTTATTTATTTTCTTTTCAATTCACAGATAAGCATCGTTCGACACGATCGACAGATGCTGACGAATCCGAAAATATAAGCCATCGAATTTACCCACCAATCGAAGCTTCAGTGGAAATTCAAAGTCTCGACTCGCAGGACGTGGAGTATTTCAGCGAGTACATCGATGAAGATCTACCGCGAAAGAAACGTTCGTCATACCCGACGTTCCTCTGGAAATTGGATTTAATTCATTTGCAACACGAAGTCGACGAAGAGTCGACGACAGAACGACACAACAAACGACGACGGAAACGCGAGGAAGTCGAGTCACGTCAATGTAGCAGTGACATAACAACCCTAACAGTTGGCTGCTCGACTGCCGATCGAATGGAATTTCAAAGCGATTGCGTCGACGAGGACTTTGTCACTGGTTCGTATACGAACTATATATTCAATAATTAATTGGCTTTCGAGTGCGGCTTCGACTTGCGAGACAATTCTGAGATTATTCGGATAATCGCAAGTTATGCCGCTGTCAATGAATATTCCGCGCATAGCTGAACTTGCCGGGGAGCAATGATATACTTCGAGCGAATGGAATCTGTACTTTGCGCGCAGTTTTCAGCAGGATTTTCCCGAACTTTCGAAAAAGGGTTTACCCCCGGAGTTTAACAATGATCCTTAAATGATATTCGAATGTATATGAAGTAACGATAACAATAACAATGTGCGCAATGGTCTCTGTTGTTTGCGGTTGGATTTGAAATAACGGTGCATTGATGATATTCGTTATTTTTAATGGTCGAATCATTTTTTTTTATATAAAATGAAATAAAGCTTCGTTGAAAGAGATCTTACGTGGAATGGCGTTTCGTTTAAATTCTCTATATAATCTTCTATACAATATTTGAATGAATTTATTGATTCGATATAGCGCAGAGGTTGTTAAGTTAAAGTTTTCTATAGGAGGACAAATTTTTACTCCAACCAAGAAGGCTGTCCATATTTTACATAAAGTAATCAAATTGACATTACAAATATTGTCAACGTTGCTATACTTTCAATTGAATTGAAAAAAAAAGTTTACTTCCGTCATTTCGTCCCGAGAACGAATGACGCCATCGTTATTCGTTCATCTCGGTTTTAAAATAAAATCACATAAATTCGGTGCCTGCTCCTAATACAATTCAAACATTTAGATAATGCGAGTATCTCAAAAACCGCAGTAGAGGCCGCAATGATATAATCCCAAGTGAAAGATCGCAAGCCGTACGTATATATATACACGCGAACTTATCGGCACTCGCTCGCGAACACAATTAAACTTAGCAGCCAATGGGGCAAATCCTAGCTTGGCTTTACTCGCGAGCTTCAACTCCTTATCTCTAAGACAAGTATGGGGTGTGCTTTTGATACTGTTACAGCGTACTCGTGCCATGGGCGTTGGTTCGACGCCGAAGGTACGCAATTCGTGATAGCGACGCCTTTGGCACGTACACGTCCAAGCTGGTCTTCTTCGTCATCCTCGTCGTCTTCGTCGTCGTCTACATCGTCGTCGTCGTCGGGCGGGCCCGAGGCAGCACGAGCTCAACCATATCGTAACACGCGACGATTATGCTTTATGTATCGAGAGAACGGCGGTGTCGTTAGTCTTACTGCCAGTCCTGTCGCTTGCCAACGCGGTGTGCCACCGCCACCTCCACTGCTGGCTTTCAATGCCACGAGCATCGGTGAGTTGATGTTTCTTTTTTTCTTCCTTTTTTCTTTATAATTCATTGCGATGGATCGCTGGCTTGATCGATGTCTTCGTTCTGGAGAGAATACTTTAGTTTTGAGAGGGTTTCGTCGTCAATTCGTGCCGCGAATAATCAGAAGAAAATTCGATTGAAGTAATTTCATGATGCGCAGCTGCCAGACTTAGAAGGCGAATTTGGGAAAGATCAAATTGACCCGAACCGCTTCACTGAAATGGAAAATTATAATAATTTGGTTGGCGGCGGCTAGCAACCAGACAAATAACACCGCGTATTGAAATTACAGGGTGAAACTGTACATGCGTGGTCGCGATGAAAAGCGATAAAAATGCATTAAAAGCTTATACAACCGCAGTTCATAGTAAACGCAAACACTCGTGTATTTTCCAGGCCAGTGCATGGACGGCGCAACCAGTCTGAGCAACACTTCGTTGAGCTTGATCCCGACGCTTCTGTTGCTGCTGTTGGGCATGTTCAGGTGATTCTAAGTGCGACGCGAGGACAGCATACCTTTGACGACAAGCAATGCATTTCTAAAAAGAAGCAAACAGCGTTACACAGCCACAATGCACACCTTCTTCCTCTGTTCCATTCGTTCTGTAGGCAGTTTCTTTTCTTTTTCGCGAGGTAAATAATTATGGGTTAGACCATATCAGCGAGTGAAAGAAAACGCGCGAGAGAGAAAATAAAAAGATAAAAAGAACAAAAAAAAAGATGGAGGGGGGGGGGACGAGCGTTTGTGAGTGCGGGCGACTTGATTTATTATGTAAGCTTTAGGCCGATGAGTTATGCCCTTAATCTGCGCGCGGCTACGCGTTAAGAGTGTGTATATGCTATAGCATGTGCGTGTGCGACTGACTAGGGAGGAATATATATACACAGCATGAAGCAAAATTGCGATATTAAGCAGCAAAGTGATCCAACGCAATACTCGTTTTCTTTTTTCTTTTCTCGTATAGAGTATAAGTTTTTTACGACGACAATGGGGTTGTTAGGATTTTCCTTACTTGGCTGATAAACTCTCCTTCTGATAGACACTTGTGAGAATGTTTCGCGTCATATTTAAATTTCTAGTCATTTTCTCAGCGTTACGAAAGATAATGCAAGCGCGTAACGAGATAGCTCCAAAGAAAATATTGGAAATGCGATTCGCCGCTTTCAAGGTTCTGAATTAATCAACTTTGGAGACAACAGAAAAATTCCAGCGTCAGCAATATTGCGAGAGAGCACGTCAGCGGCAATGCAAAGTGAACATCACAAAAGAATTAATTGTTACGCTAAAAAAAAACAAAAAAAAAACCGCAGAATTATCGGAAACTTTTGTCATGGAAATCAATCGCGATAAGCGATGCAAAATCACCAATTACTCGACATTTCTCTGCGCGCTGAAAATAATTCCCTCTTCTCGAGCTTCTCTCAAAGTGTCTATTAGATTTCTCCTCTTTCTCTCGAACGGAAGGACGAAGAATACGGGAAAAGACGACGAGAAGAAGAAAAAAAATTTCCTTTCATCTGACGACGACAATGGGCGCGATATGTAAATTGCTGTAACTGTGATTAATTCGAAGGAGAGCCGCTCGATCCTTCTCTCTCGCGATATTCGCTTCGCTAAAAAACAAAAAAAAAAACAAAAAAATAACGAGTGAGGAGCTATAAAGCTAAGACGCAATCAGAAAAGCAAGCAATAAGCAATAAGAAGAGAGTTTTTTTCGGACGCTTGAGTGTATATGATGATTTGTACATTGTCCCGAAATTGGATGTATAAAAGCGTAAGGACTATTTATTCTGTACGAGTAATGACGTGGCTAGAAAAAGAATAAAATCGGTTCTTCTCAGCAGATGACCGAGAGTCCAGATTGTATCTAACGCAGAGATCTATATATTGTATCATTGACATTGTAATGTAAGTATCTTTGTAATAATTGATAAGCGTGTAGAGTTTTCAAATTACTTCTTTTTACACGGGAAGAAAGAAAACAAACAATAGCGTCTATAAAAAACAATTTAGAGGAAAAACCAAGTAATCATGCGCGTTGAAAAGAATAAATTCCTGGCAACGATTGGGAATTGTTGTAAAGATTTTTTGTACCAGAAAGCAATCGCCACTATATATAATTAAACATGAAGAAACACACTCACTTGCGTATACCAACAAACACACGTACACACACACCTTCATCTAAGGCCAATCAATTCTTAGGCGAGCCACTGTTTAATCACTGCATCGATTCCTTCACGACTTTCATCTTCACGCTCGGAGCTTTTTTTGAGTTTTAACGCGCTTTCGAGATTGTTTTCATTTGTTTCTTTAATATATTTATTGCTTCTTCGTTTTTCAATCAGAGGATCTAAAAAAAAATTGGTTTTAGTACTATTACGTATGACAAAGCGTTTCTAGTCATTACAGAAATAACATTGATAATAACGCTTCGTTACGATAATAATACTAAGGAAAAGGAAATCATAGCTTGCCATCAAAGCGAACACGGCAACGAGAAAAAAATACCAATCCCTTTGGACAAAGGGATGCTGCTAAGATGTGAGTAACAAGCAAGAAAGACGTCTGAAAATATATAAGCCAAATTAGTTTGAATCGTCTCACGACGGAATATCAGGGTCAACGATTCTTTTTTCCCCATTCATTGATTCGACAATGTACACTGGTAATTTGAGCATTCGTGTTTCAGGAAATTTTGTAATCTTGTAAGCTTACTTTGATAATCTAGGGATATATAACTAGTTAATCTGCTAACGAATGACTATGCGAATAATTATTTTTAAGAGGCGAATTAATAAGTTGCGACGTTTGATAAGTTTAAAACAAATTTTTTCAAAATTGTTGACTAATTATAAGCTAGTTTTTTACGTTATTAGACGAGTTTCTACTCAAAAGTGAAATTAATTTTTCTTTACGTACGTCATATGATCACACCGATCTAAGTCATAATTGGATAAATGCCCCACTAAATTGGCTGACGTCAAAACAGATTGCCCATGATTAATTAACTAGCATTTTCGATAAAGCAAAATCATAATTTAGCGCGGCGTTGCGAATAAAATTAACTGCAATGATTTGCTAATTTAGCAATCAAAGAACGCAAACTTCGTGCGTTGCAGAGAAAACCGGCGTGAGCCACACAAAAGCATCTCACTGCCGTGCGAGGCTGACAAAACTTCATTAGCAGCAGCATTGGCCGGCGATAATCAAGGGCACATTGCCAAAACTCGATATATATGATCGAGCAAGCGAGCTAATGAGATCGATACAATGGAAAGGATGTGAAACTGGTTTTATGCGTTTTGCAGAGAGAGAGAGAGAAAGAGAGAATATACTGCATATCCTGTCGAACGTCGAGTGGTCGGAGAGGGAGAGAACGAATCGTGTTCGATCATCCCCCACGCGCGCGATATGGGCCACTTTAGCTCGACGTCGAGGGTTCGTTTGATGAGTATACGAATTTTGATGTTCGTTGGAACGATTGAATGGACAGATATAGTTCAAGCGTTTATTGCAGATTTTTTCCCAATTAAAAATGTCGAATATTCAATACCGTTGTTCAAACAACATTTATTTTACTTCTTGGTCGTAAATAATTCCATTACTCAATAAACTTTCGATAGAAAGAGAGAGGGAGCTTAAAGTATTTGCTACTATCTAAACGAAGATAAGCAAAAACAAACGGTGTACTCCAACATTTAATCAAAATCAAACGTATCGCAAATAACAGCCAAGCTCTGTAGCTAAGATAAATCAATCGTTTCACTAACATCGACTCTGCAGTGAGATAAAAGAAAAGGAAGAAGAAAACAAATTCAAAGCCAAACTCGCGCCTAAATATAAAGGTCGTTCGCGCTCGTGACTCCTTTTTTGCGGAGTTGAAACTCCGTTCGCAATTTTCTAAATCACCATGTCGCATTAATCATAATTCCGACGGCCACGAGGCCGCGCACGCGTCATAAATGAGACTGTAGCGTTTATTTTGCTCTCCCGCGTAACGTCGTTAGCTGAATGTTGTTTTTGAAAAAGGCTGAAAATCACCAATGATGGAGATGCCGCGATACCGTTACGAAAGAGACTCGTCTTCCCTCAACCGGCTACTGCGTTCTCGATTGGACATTACTCAATGTAGATCGAGCAGATTGTTCGCGTGCGAAAGAAACGCTGTACATTTACGGCATCTTGCAACTATACCGTGACATTTCCGCTGAATACCACGTCGTTTTGCGATGACAAGCTGATAAGCTACACGTTTTAACCCGATAACTGCGGATTGTTGACGCTTTTATTGAGAGATTAATTTTCAAGTTTTTGAAAACCAAATTCGAGATGCTTGAATTTTCAATTCGAGTCACGTACATCACGTACAGGAAAGACAAAATTAGCCGTTTTGCGAGCACAGCTTTTGTCAAACATGAATCGGAAAATTTCTCGGCTTCTTCCTGCCTTTAGTTATTTTGCTTTGCAATAACGGCATAATTGAAAATAATGTAAATGATAATACTAGGACAGAATTATTTTAAAAGACATTAGAACTTTAAGTCTGCTGTTACATAACAGGAAAGTAAATACTTATCAAGAAAGGTGAAAAGATCAACAAGTACGTTAGATAATATCTAATGAAAATTTCCTTTTTTAGATCTTCGTCTAAAAATTAATCTTCTAAATGCGGTATAATATAAAAAAATGTAATACCGTAGCAAGCGATTACCTACACATATATTTTTTGTAAACTCCCCCCTCATGTTCCAAAATTTACAACCAACAGTAGGTCTTTTATTATCAGGAAGCACTTGGGAGGTTACGTAAGTGCAGCTTCATGCTCTTTACGTGCCTGTATAAACGTGTCTCCTTGAGTCATTTTTAGTTATGAACTTGTTACGTCCAGTGAAAGAGAAAACTCCACCTCTATTTCCATGAAGATTTTATCACGTAGTGCGCTACATCATCCCCACAGCGATTACACCCCCCCCCCCCCCATCTCGAAAAAAGAGAATTATTCAAATGACCCGCCAAGGAAAATTAACGATCCGACATTATTTAATTTTCAAGCGCGAAGATGAAAGTTACAGAAGCAGTCCGCGGGTAGAGGTGAGGAAAGATTTTGTAAAGTAAAATAGTCCGTTTGTACGATAGGATTTTGCCTGCTGATTTAATAGCGACCGGGCGAAAAAGCAACGTAGTGAGAGTATATTATTATGAAAAAAAACATCGAACAAAAAAAAATCAAGACTCTCGTATGTAAAAAGCAATATAGTTGTGCGTGCGTGTGCATGGTTAACTTTTACGTGTGTACAGAGCGATGGACGAATGCGATTGTGTGCGAGCTACCTGTGCCTTGTAAAAAACTATACATAAGTAATATATAAATATATTATATATACAAAGATAATGATTTGCATGAATTATTCACTCCCTGTCATCGACTGTTTTTAGAATTATGTTTAGTTTGCATTTAAAATAATTCCGTGCAATCGAGGCGTAACGACTCCATATTTCAATTTATAAAAAGGAGCAGCCAAATTTGCGCCATTTTCACAATTGCAATTGCAGTAACAATTCATTTGGGCGCTGGTAAAATGAATTTTCCCAGGTTTCCCCGTGAGATAAATATTCGCGCGCGAACGCCGCGTACGTGCGAGCGAGAATTATAATCGCACGCTTCTGCAATGGTTTTGAACAACAACAAAAATTCAACTCTGGTTAACAAGAATATCACTGAACCAATAATAACTCCGATCCAGTATCACCTACTTCAAAAGGTAAGTAACGAAATTGAGTAGCACTCGAATTTTCGACTTCTCGGTACAAACTGTTATACCCGAGAGGGATAAACGGGTCGAAAATTCACTAGCATAAGTTATCATCAAGACGATCTTTTTCTTTTCTTTCTGATGAATCTAGTAAGAACAATGAACTGAAGAATTTATTGGCTCAATTGTCCCATCATCAGCAAGAGACTTCTTGGTTTAATCTTTCATCGCGTGCCAACTAACTACTCTATTTCGCGGCTCCCACTCTCGTTCTCTCTCTCTCTCTCTCTCTCTCTCTCTCTGCACGTGAGCCAAGCTAGTAGTTTAACACTCTTCGTGAAATGCGCATTCATCAATTTTTATGGCGATCGTGACTTTGCAATTGTTCGGCTAGGTTTTAATTGTAGTTACGAAAATATCACGTTGTTTCTTTGTCATACATTCATTAGTTAAAGTCAAAAATTGAAATTAGAATTGTTAAAGATAGAAAAAAATTGAACTTTACGGAACCAATTTCGAAATTTAAAGAGGCGCAAAAGCTACTGGAGGATCATAAAATATTTATAGTACTAGCTGTAAAAAAGGAAAAAACGTCATTTAAGTAGAATTTCTATACAAATTATTCCATTAACGTTGATAGTATTTTTTATTTAATGCGTCAACCCTGTTTTCAATATAAATTTATGGAAAACTAGACTACAAATTTAAACTGCAATGCTTCTTCAAAATACATATTTACGAACTAAACAAACTTTTCGTTTCAAAATTATAGAAATTGAAGTTGCCTAATCGAATCAATTTGAAACAAAATAATAATCGATGTAACAATCAATAACGACATATTTTGCGGTACATTTACCACGCAAAAAGAATGACAGCAGCTTTCTGCAAGGTCGTAACTCCGATGTTTTATCAAGCAGAAAAGAAAAACGTGCAACCAATAAAAACAACTTACAACTAAATATTTACATAACCGTTGACTATGAAGCCATAAAAATGTCTATCGAGCATTGATTTGATCATTTTATTGCCTAAATCTTCAGAGGTCTTGAATAAATTAAAATGTCGAAGTTATAAAAAACGTAAAAAAGATCTTTCGCTAATGAATTTAAACTTAAAACATTAAAATTGTAGATATAGTTAATTGTATAGCGTTGTAACATAATAAACAGTATAATTATCAATTAATCACAAGACGGACCAAATCGTCATAAATCAAAATGACTCAATCGCTTCAAAATGACTGTACAAAACTTTCATTCAGTATATGATTTACATCGATTGTTTCATCGAATATCAAATGTTGAAGATGAGTTGTTCGCAAAATATAGATTTAAATAAAAGTTATTAAGTTAAAATAGATGAAACCGATAGTCTACTTTTTACGTGAAGCACAAAATTGAAGGATGGGGTAGCGTATTGACATTAAATTCCTTTTTTTTTTGGCATTGTATTTTTTTGTTTGTTTTAATGTTGACACTTAAAAATTGTTACTCGAAAATGTGAACGCAAGGTTTCTTTATCCTCTTTTTTTACACTTTGCAGTCCACTTGTTATTATTCAAAAGCTATCGTTCATAAACCATGTACGCGACGCGCGTGCAGCATGCGAGCACTTTTCCCTCTCCGTTCCTCTTTTTTTTTCGTCAATAATTCAATGCCGCGGAATGCAAATCCGTTTTATCGCGCCCCGGTCGGTTATATTGAAAAATGCACTTCGCGGCTCTCGCGCCAGCGGCGCGTCCTGTTGCGACGCAATCGATAATGCCCTTTTTGCTCAATGATGCCGCAGTTTTAATAAGTTAGTCTACGACAGCAGATGCACAGACTTTTTCGTTATCATAGATAAATTCTTGCATTTGCGGCTGATCGGAAAATGGTTAAAAGGATCCTGAATAATAAGAAGGCCCTTTTTACGACGCAGTCGGAAAACTGCTTTTTTATTTGCCACGTTTTATCTACGCTTTGCAGAAAAATTGCATAAAGTGAACTGTATTTTCAGAGCTTTTGACTGTTAGAAATTGGATTGATTGTAAAAGGAAAATAATTTCGTTTTTCAATTTTCTTTTACTTTGCAATTACTTTTAATTGTTCTCAATTTTATTATTTTCTAATATTTAAAAGAATTTCTAGTGATGTTTACTTTCTACAACTATTGTACGTTTGAGTTGTAGTAAATGTAATCAACTTATCACTCGTGTTAATTAAAGCATAAGCATGCATGCTTGACCCACGTGCAACTTGAATTTTAAAGTAATCTTGTCGTATTGCAATGAAACACGATTAGTTTCAAATTACTTTTAAATTCAGGTCAAACCTGGACTGTGTAATACAAATAATTCAAAATCGTTTCTTGGAAGGTGTCATATTTTATCATTCGAATTTAAACATTAATTCCGAAAACCAATAAAAAAACTTAATTGTAATACTGATATCTATAAAACGATTTAATCATTATCAGATATGACTTCAATTTTCCTCCAACATTCAAGCTATAACACTTGAAAGATACTTTGTTAATAAATAGTTTATCATAAAAAATATATTTCGTAATGAGATAGTTATAAGCTGAAGAATAAAATTTAATTAAAAAGTTGAACACCTATATGCTTCTTCCAACAATGCATATTATTAGGAATTTCACAATTTTATGTTCATCTGTCCTGTACAATAAAAATTTTAATATAATTGAAATCGATTGTTCTATTCTTGCAATTTTATTTGAACCATGAAAATTAAAACTGCACAGGAACACAATCGACACGTGTTCGTTACAAAACCGGTTTTGCAAACGTTGCGCTGACTTAGTTTCTTTTTTCTTCCCCTCCCAAAGACGAATGAGGTCTCGACATGATTTTCTTGACTTTTGCCAATTGCCATTATTGTTGACGACGATGTGGAACGCGATCTAACAGCTGTGTCACCTAAATTTTATCGGTTGACACTGTTCTCAGGCAGTTGCATACGCGAATTATTATCGTTTCTGCGTATTTACTCCTTACCGGTAAAATCGGTTCTTATACATATAAATTTTTGTTTTTCTTTAAAAATCCACGATCGAACATGATCCATTGTAACATGGCTAAATGCCAACGAGAACGAGGAAACGAGTTTGCCGCAATGTACAAGCAAAAAAATTGTCATAAAAACTTGTCATATACTCGCGCGTACTTAGCCAGCGATTACGGTTTCATTGCACTTGGTATTTTCAGCGTACGGCCTGCGAACCTTTTTCTCGCGTGAATTTTTCTTATTGAAAACTTGAAAGTGAATTTGCATAAAACCATTCGAGAGTTTCTCATCCTTACATAAATATCCACATAAAGATCTTTCCTTTGATATTCTTTTACGAAAAATTTTACATTTTTATGCGCGAGTGTAACATTTTAAAAGCATCCCATTTGACGAATATATAGAAAAACAAGGTAATATAAGGTTTGAATTAATATATGAAATGCATATACAATGATATTTTCATGCATCTTTTTAAGGATTAAAAAGCAATCCATTATAAAGTTAAATACATTTCTGAAACATATCAATCTGTAACGTTGTTAGTCATTTTATCTTAATAAAAAATCAACATTGACATTGCTGTAGCTCGAAACATTGGAATAATTGAGTGCATCAAGCAAATATATTCATCGCGCATGAGATACATTCAGTATAAATTTTATATTTTACAGTTTCGGTTCAAGCAGCAAAATCAAAATATTTGACTTTTCATCAATTGACTTTTTATCTTACCGAAAAACCACTCAACAAAAGTTAAATCATGATTAACTATCAGCAAAGATAAATAAATTGAGATATTACTTTATAAAATCGAACCCAGAAAATATAACTCAAGTAAATTATCGTTCGTTTTCTTAAGATCGTCTTCGTCTCTTTTTTTGCGACATTCCTCCGCAATTTATCTATTCGTGGACTCGAATCGGTTACGTAATCACTTTCGATTTGATATACCGACAGCAAATGCATTAATACTTTAGAATCTCGTGGCTCCCGTTTTATCATAAAAATAAAACTAAAATTATCTAATTGCTCATAATGTCTAATGTTTTTTAAATGTTTATCAGTATTCTAAAATTACCATCTACAATATTAACTTGCTTAATGATTATAGCTTTCGTTATTACACATTCATTCGAAACAGAGTTCATAGACCATGTCTTAAACATTTAGTGAAAACACGATATATTTTCTACAATTAATTCACCACATTAAAAAATTGACGATTATGAGTCAGCAAATAGACCATCTTTTATAAATTGTACTCTGAAATTTCAGATTAAATGCGTAAAATTATGTGCTACAGCCTAATGTTATTTCTATTTTTTTTGTATTATCACCAAGTTTAGACGATCTCAATTTTTTCCATCGTCATCAACTTTAGAAAACGTATATTTTTTCAATAATTAAATTTAATGTTCAGGCGAATTAGTGATCAATGATGACGAGTAAAATACTTCTCTTTTACGTAGAAATGGAAAATTTCTGTGTTTGTCTTCGGCCATTATCAATCGAAATTCTGACTTGACAATAACCTAATTATCCCGTGAATGTTTATTTTTAAAAGATCTGCGTTGCTTATTGTTTCAAGTATGAAACATAATAGCTTCCACAGGACGGCCGCAACAACCGCGAAAATTCCAGCCCTTCGTCATTACGTCACAAGCGCACGCTTGCGGTGGTGGGGCACGGCGTCGTTCGATTTTTATAAAAGTCAGCGCACAACTTGGTGGACGCTTACACGTATCACGATCGCGCGTGCCGTCGTCGCCGCGAGAGAACATCAAAAGTGTAACGGGACTGTTCGTGCTAATCAACTAAAGTGGAAATCTACTGTTTCTTTTAGTGAACAACTCACAAGGACAGCGGTAGGCAGCACATTAATGACATATAGATTATTTTCTAGTGTCTTTTTTAACGCGTGATCTAATTATAGGCTGCTTTGTTTTGTTCAGATCGCAGGTCAAAGTCACTGGTATTTTAGTTGTTTCTAATTGAGTGTTTGATTGGCATGCTAAATTCTTGTAATCGACATACGTTTCTATTGGAATATTGCTTCAGAGACTGCATCGATGTTTAGCAAATTATAATAGTGTCATTGCACTTTTATAGGAATTTCGACGATCTCTGGTCATCAATGCTGAGTCGTTTGCAAGAATCAAAAGAGGCCGCGGCTTCCCGGCAGCCTCGACATCATCCGGCTATAGCGAGCAGCACGAAATCAAGCAAATCTCTCAAACGAACCTCCAGTCATGAACATTGATAAACAAATCGCGCACCTGGTATTTCCGCTTGCTCACGAAACTTTTTTTACTTCATGACTTTATAACGATTATCTCTCACTCGGGAGAACTGACAAGCAAAGCACGCTTTACGATATCGGCAAGATTTTAGAGTGCCAAGCGCGGGGTCTCATAAAAAAGTATACGTACCGAGAAAGGTGAGCAAAAAGTTTTAGTTTGATTAATTTTTGTAGGTCACGCGGTAATTATGAAAAGTTATTCCGGGAAGCTTTTTTTTTTCTTTTTAATGCGGCTTTTCGTGCGTCGATACGCTGCTACGAAGTTTAGTCAAAAAAGTTCTCGCCAGACAACAAACTATAACGCAGCAAATATGGAAATTAATTTGCTTTTTCCCGTTTACTCGATAATGAAATAATGTATTTTCCGTTAGATCAACGTTACGTAATCTTTTGTCAGCTAATGGATTGCTTCGTGCACGACAAATGAGCGGTGTAATAGTTTCTCTTTCCGTGAAACGTTGGAAAAAAAAAATAAAGAAACGTCGTTCATTATTATCTTATCGTAAATATAAATTATACACGTGAAAATGGGACGTGAAAAGCCCACACAATGCGTGCGTAACTACACATATATTCGAAGCAATTAATAATAACTCTATATCGATTATAATCCGTCGCTGTCTGTACATTAAGAAGACATCCCGAATGAAACTCGCAATCGCGACGGCAATCTTATTGATTGCCTGCGCACACTTCACGTGACAAGATATCAATCCGTGCGAACGCCCGTGGCGACCTTGTGAACTCTATTTACAAGATGTGTGCCAAGGTGTGCCACACGACTCTCCTGCAGAAATCGGCGACGAATTTCACATCACTTTTTCCTAACTCATTGGCCAAACAAATTACTCTCACACGCGTATTATCGTCAACTCGACAAGTAAGAAGGAAATTGAGGCCGCGATTTCGGGCTGGAAGAATCGGTGTCACTCATCTTGCATTTTCTCCTCGTTTAACATTCATAGGCTAAGCACGTGCAAAATAATCCTCGCACGTACTGCGTCATTGATTTGCATTCAAGTTAAGAATCTGGCAATAAGTACAAAGATAACGCGAGACTCTCGCGATGAGATCGATACTCGCCCATACGCATCGTGACGATGAATATTGAACGCCTCGACTTTATCAACACGTGGTGGCGTGATAGGAAATTTCGATAGATACGGCGGGCCGGCTCTGTTGACGATACGTGCCGGTAAGTGGCTTTTTAATTATTTGAAAAATCTGATCTTTGCACCTAACGCTTCTGCCTTATACGATAAATTTCTTATCGACGATCGTTCCAATTGGATTGCAAGCAAATTTTATTGCAATCTCGATCCCTCGGATTTCTACCATTGCAAAATCATTAAAAAAATACCATTCGTCACTTGGCATCGCTCAGTAAACACCATAAACTTGCACATAGATCCGTTTAAGCCGAAATTTCCAGAAGGACGAGTACACGCAATTTCCTTAGCATTGTTAATGCACTAACGATCCCAGTAAAAGCTTAGAGAGGGCTTTCTCGCTCCCTTCCTCTCCGCGCGATAATTACTTCGGGTGAAAAATCGCGAGCGAGAGCGAGTCAACTACGTGGCAAGAATGAACTCCCCGCCGAATTCGAGAGCGCGCGTGCATATTATATATAGTTCGCGGAGCGCTGGTGGTGGCGTTGGCCCGTCATCAAGGCAAAAGAGCAGAGGCGGTGGCGGGAATTTCTCTGTGCGCGCTCGCGAGGGGCGAGATGTTTTAATAAAGTCGACGCCGACTTGTTTAGTGCTTTAATATGCGAGAGTTTGCCGAGGCGAAATTTTCCCTCTCGCGCCGCCTGGCGCGCGTTGTTATTAATTCAATTAAACGATGATATTGTGCGTGTCGCGCCAGCGAGGGAAGACTAAAGATCTTTGAAGATCAAGGTTAAATACTGGTGCTGCTGCCGTTCCTGCTGAACGTAAGCTTCGGTAGACAATTTGTTTTTCTACTTTTTTCTCTTTTCCGTCTCACTCGTGTCGCATAAATTTCGAGAATGCGCCAGCTGGGCGAAGCTCCTCAATGCGGAACGCTTTGAGGAAACCTCGGCCCCCGCGCGCACAGCGCATAAATTTATCGCTCGTTCCATTTGCGCCCGCGAAACTTCCGCAATTCTTTAATTCAAATCGCAAGCACGCCACAACAAGCTCATCAATCTTGCACCTCGTTCCAGCCGGCCTTTAAAAGAATCCCTGCCATCCCCGAGAAAACCCGCGCGGTAATCAGCAGGAAGCCGCTGCCGTACGCGCGCGCCCGATTTTTTCTTTTTCATTCCCGCTCGCCTGGCTTCTTCGCGCGAATCAAGCGCGCGCCGATGATAAATTCGCTGGGGCGTCGCGCGGGAAATTAAAGGAGATTTTTCTCCCCGCGTCGAGCTCGCGCCCGCGAGTGCTTTACATTTTCGATGATGCCGATAAAGCTCTCTCCTTTCTTTTCGCTGGCACACATGTGCGGCGATAAAAAACTGAACTGGTTACGCGGCTCGTTCGACGAGGGAAGGCTGGGGAAGGAACAGAGATAACCGCAGATATGGTTTATAGTTTCAACGGATGAAAATGCAAGTCGATATGGCAGTAGATAGAGATACGCGTGGTACAATTGCTGAGCGTACTTAACAATACATTAGAATGTGTGCCGGATTTTCTTTTTTTGGAAGTAGGCCGGTAGCCGCGCGCTCGTTTGTGACCGATGACGACACTCTTCTCAAACGGCACGTTCTATTTTCTACGTTTTGTACTGTTGATTAGGTATCATTAGCCGGAGAGGATGAACTAGATAGAGGCGAATAAAAAGTGAATTGTGAATGATCGTAAAAATGTATGGTCATTTCAATTGGTAATATTAATGCTTAACTTGGAAGTTGAGTTGATAACATAATTAATTACCTGTATCTATAATGAGTAACTCAAACAGAAATCATAGCGATATTTTGATTAGTTCATTTTATTAATTGGAGTTGTGAAACTCGTCTGAATCACACAACACTTCGAGTGTCATTAAACCGAGTGTAATGAGGAAGCGATTATATCTCCAACTGCTTATGAGTTGTTTAATTAAATTCATTGACAAGAATAAACGATTAAAACTATCATTAAATTTGATTTCCAATCATACGTAATATTTTCGCAAGTTGAAACGAACTGTGTGTATTCTATATTAAACAAAAATAAACGAATCTCACAGTGTCTGATCTGATTTGAAAAAACGCGTAGTGAAGAGTCGCGCACATGCGCACAGTGCACTCTGTCGTCTGCTATAACTGACAACAATTTCAATAAATCGTGTTTACGTTTGCTATAAATCGTATAAAATTCATTTTCTAATCAATTGATCAATTAGATTAAATATTTTATATCGAGATACCACGGATAATTGTTTTTTATGCCATATTATTATTTAGGGATAGGCGTGTACGATAGAATCGGAAACTCGAAGTGTTAATTCGAGCTCATTAATTTGTGCTTATCAAAGTTTGATTCATGCTCTTCCAATTGTATTTATTAAACGAGGAATTTCTGTCATTCGTTTTGTAAATAATATAAAATTGCAATGCCATGAGTTTTTTATGTTAACTTCAAAAGTTGATTTTTTTGAGGTTATAATTAAGTGTGTTTTGCCATTGTTTTTGGATAAGCATGCATGATTCAGTGATAAATTGGATTTGCGTCGAAAAACTATCCGTTTATCGCTGCCTTCAATACAGACACATAGTCTGGAAATACCAAGTGCATACTTTCATATTGTGCCTTATCATAGATACCTTCTTTCTCAATAAAAATATTGTAAGTCCCTGTTTTCTGGCTAAATTAAAATAAGATTCTTATCATGTAAAGACTAAGTAGTAGATAATAAAGACCAAATAGTAAATAGTTTGTATAGAGTCGATATTCATTGATTTTTTTTTTGAATACATATATTTTCATATAATTTGAAAGAATAGCTTAGACCATTTATTGTTACTGAGCTCAAACAAGTTTTCTGTCTACTGGATCAGTCGATTATTAATGAAGAACAGTTACGCTGATATCTATTATTTATGATTATGCAATATTCTGATAGTGCTCTCTTTACTTACAGGCATTTTGTTAAAATGGATATATCTCTGTCTTCATTATCAATACTGCTACTTTTAGGTAAAAAGAAAAAATTTATTTATCCTTGATAATTATGCTTAAGCAAATTAATAAATAATAATGTTATTGTTTTATATCCAAGCGGTAACTGCTGTATCAGCAGAATTTCGAGTATCAAGCCAAGATATACGAGTACATCTCAATAATGATACTCAATTTTACTTGTACTCAACGTAAGTATAAATCTAATTTTTACTAACGAAAAGTTGGTGTAACAGTAGAGTTCAATTATGAAATTATACTTGTTCTTGAAAGATTAGAGTTTTCACATTTTACATTTAAGACTTTGTAACTACTAAAAAACATTTAAAAATCATTATTGCTTAATAGTTATAGTGCATTTACTGAAAAAATTATTTCTTATAGTTTCTACATGTTGGTAGTAAAAATTAACTATCATATTCAAGGAAACACATTAACAATAAAATTTACGATGTTTGACATAAAGTTGTATTAAAAAATGTGAGTTATCATTAATTTGATTTCAGAGAGAAAAATAGGACGGAAAATGTTGAAGTTTTTTTTGAGTCACAACATGATGATTTGGTTCGGACAGATCCTGCTCACTTTATAGCAAAAAAAAATGAATACAATTGGACAATAAAAATTCTTGGAATAAAACCTGGTTATGTTACGGTCACTACAAATATAACCGGCATTGACCCGTCAAAGTAAGTATGACTTACTTGAAATAGTTGTTTACTGCTATTGAGTAATTTGAATAGAAGTACTGAAAATATTGTTTATGAGTGCATGTAAATTGGCACTACTAGATTATACGCGTTCTCCATTTCATACTCATGTTCCAAATAATTTCCGCGTTTACTCTATCTAAACTCATTTAGATATTAATATAATCTATATAGGCAACATTTTCAATCGTACAGTCTTTTCCAACTATTAACTCATAAAAATATTTATTTTATACCACCTCATAGTAATACTGCTTAGAGATAATTAATCGTTGTGAATTTTAATTTTATTTTTCTTTAATTGCAAAAATCAACGCAAACAGATATTTTATACCTAATTAGGCATCATTAAAAAGCATTTAACCCTTTATCATCATTATTGACATATCGTTTGCAAGTTGCTCGAGATTTTTTGCAATCACAAAATTCCTTTAAACTCATTGATAAAAATGCGCTTTCATCCAACGCGATTATTCGTAATAAAGCTCAGTCTAACAATGAGAATAATATGTGAGGAATAATCCACTAGAAAAATAAAGAGGCTAATCAAATGTCTGAGCATCACGCGAGTAGAATAGATAAGCTCCTTTTTTTGTTTCTCACTCCCGGGATCTTATCAATAAACGAGACTCGTGCGCGAAAGGAAGCAAACCTACCGAAAACTTTTCCAAGGACACTATAGTCTATGAGTTAAAAATTTTTAGCCAAGCGCGTACCGTCCTCAAACATTTCCATGCACCTTGCGGTATAAGACACCTTTCTCCTCCCTCGCCAACGCCATGCTACCCCGGTAATAAACTTTTGCTAAGCGCCGAGATAGCCCCAGCGACCTCGGCTTGGAAGATCAGCTCTCAGTTTGCGCCGAGATTTTGACCGACGTTGTTGTGTATGACATATGCGAGTTTATTAGTTGTGTTTGAAAATTGCGATTTGTAGTTTTTTTACGCTTTCTCTCGATTTCGTAATTTTTCTTTCTTTTGGCGAGATTAGAACATATTTTGATAGCCATGACTTTTTATAAGATTATTATTATTCCTCGAGATGAACTCGAGTCTTTGAAAAATATGAAGTGAGTTATAAAATGGATTTTTCTTAACAGCTGCAGCTAAGAACGAATGAGGAATTACTTAACCGTAGTTTTTTTATTTTTATTTTATCACGAAAAACGTGACTTTCAATAACTACATTTTGCTTTGAAGTAGTGTACTTAATTTTTTTTTCAGTGCAAAAATGTACTTCATGAAGTAAATACACTGCGCTTCTTCATTTTTTATAAAAAGTAAATACTAACGACCTTTTTTTCCAGCTTTTCCGAAGCATTTGTGCGCGTAACAGTAGAAAGATCTGAGATCCTATACAACATAAGTTCAGTGGTAGGATGGATTTACTTCTTAGCATGGAGTATTAGTTTTTATCCGCAAATATATACCAATTATAAGAGAAAGAGTGTAATCGGGCTAAATTTCGACTATCTGTCGCTTAACTTAGTTGGATTTATTATGTACGCATTGTTCAACTGCGGATTGTATTGGATCCCGGAAATTGAGGTAAATGTATTTTCTTATTTCTGACAAAAACTGCTTATATTTTGCAAAGCCAACGTCACAATTTTTTTTATTTTACAGCAAGAATACTTTAGTCGATATCCGAAAGGATTGAATCCAGTTCAAGTAAACGACATATTCTTTGCACTTCATGCTGTTATCGCGACGATTGTGACAATATTCCAATGCTTCATATATGAGGTAACTATTTTAATAGTCAATAAAATTTATAGCACGATAGGCATATGCTAGCAGTCGTAAGTTAGAATAGAAAGTTTCAATGGAAATTTTCTATTCAACAATGGGTTGCACAAATCAGCCCTAGAAAGTATGCATGAGAAACTATCAGCCAGGAAGTGGTTCATAATGGTTTGAAGTATGCGTCTAGAAATATTACGAAATCAACATTTAACATTTTCGGATATATGAAAGATTAAACCACGTAGCATGATATTAAATGTTAAACTAGCAAGACACCACACTGTGATGAGTTTTTTCATCGGTACACAGAAAGACGTTTTTGACTAAGACAAGTTATACATGGATTATTTATTATACATCAATTATTACATGTATTTCGGCCAGTTAAACACAAGTTAGATTTGCAAATTGCTCTATCTCTCTCTAGTTTTTTTAAATAATTCTTGTTTGGTTATTTTTTATGGTAAATTTTTAGAACTAAATCCCATTTTTTTAAATAATGAGTTTCCGACACCGAGCGTTATGATTGGTTGGAACTAAGAAAAAGCGTGAAAATTTGAATTTTTGTATACTTGAAAATATTTGTATGACATATCTAGGATTGTGAAATTTATATTGCAGCAATAAATTCAATTTATGTATAATTAATATGAATAATAATCTGCAAAAATGGAAATATGCCATTAATAAATCATTTAAAAAAAATAAGAAATTATGATTTCAAATTATACTGGAATAATTTGATTAACATCTGTGAAATTAATATTGTTATCTTAAAATATGATTGGAAGAGAGAAAAATTTAAAAGAATAAAATAAAGAAAATTACTTTTGTAAAGTGAGAGCTTTGCAGGAAATGGAAACTAATTATCAGAATATTAAATTTGAAGAATATTCACAGATATTTTCAATGAGGAAACAATGTTGAAATGTATTACTAATAGTTATAGGTATAATACTAAGGTCCTATGAAACCACTGCTATTAATTAGTTATGATTATATGATAACTGAATATTACCATACCACCAACAGATAACAGATAACAACATTATTTATATGATTACATAGATAGCAGAAAAATAGCAATAAATACTTTATAAATAGCGCTATATAACGCTAATAAAAGAAGAGGGCCATGGGAAAATGTTAACGTCGGATTTCTGTTTAGTGCGTAAAAATGAATAAAAATAGATGTATGACAAGTCTATGAAAAATTTTTATAGCACGACGTCTAATTAAAATATAGATTACTGCACAATTCAACATTTTACATGTCCGAAAACATAAAAATGTAAATTTCCTAAAAATTTTAAATACATACTTCAAACCATTATGAACATTTTTCGCTGACATATTTTCATAAGTACAAGCTTTGTAAAGGATTTTCTAGTCGAAAATGGTCTCTGTGCTCAATGGCGATTGCATACGCTCAAAGACTGACCTGCTCGGCCCGAGCACAGACATCGTCATTTGATCACACCTTAAATTATACAAAAATAATTAGAAAATACGATTTATGCAAAATCCGAGATAAAAAATTCTTTATTGTTATTTTTCGACAATCAATTCTGTAATATAATATTAATATTTTTCACAGACCGGTAGTCAAAGGGTATCAACAATAGCACGACTAATCCATGGTGTATTTAGCAGTTTCGTGCTAATGTCAATGATCCTTGCTCTCTACAATACAATCCAATGGCTCGACTTTTTATATTATTGTAGCTATGTAAAACTTGCGATTACGCTGATCAAATACGTACCACAAGCGTTTTATAACTACAAAAGGAAGTCCACAGTCGGCTGGAGCATTGGCAATATATTTTTAGACTTCACTGGTGGTATACTTTCGATGCTTCAAATGATTTTAAATGCTTACAATTATGGTAATACAATCAATATCTTTCAAAATAATACAATTTATTATTTTCCATTTTTTTAACGAAAAAAAATATTAAATTGGTTTTATTGAATTTTTTAGATGACTGGGAGAGTATTTTTGGAGATCCAACGAAGTTCGGCCTGGGATTTTTCTCCGTTGCATTCGACATATTTTTCCTTATACAGCACTTCGTGCTATACAGGTACGAATTATTAGATTCACATTACAAACCTTAACATATACAAATTTTGGGTAAAGGTGCATCTGTATTTAGTAACGTATCGTAGCTTTTAACAGTAGTTACGTAACATTCTACTGTACCATAAATTGCATGCTATAATTGCTATGAATAATTAGTGCCGAGAATTTCGTAATTGCAAGACTAATTTTTGCATATATTTATTTAGTTTCTTAAATTAATCTGAGATAATTTATTTTATGCGCAGAAAATCAATTTTAGTATATTTTTCAAATTCCATTTTACATTAAACATTTGTAATCTATAAATTACAACTATTCATCTTTTAGCAGTAATTTATCAATTATATTACACAACTTTTTTAGTGCATCATTTTAAATAAGTAATTTTTTACCAAAGAAGGCAAAGTTTATAGTGGTAATCTTTATTGAAAAAAATTCGAAAATAATGAAATATTTTATAGTTGAACAAAATTTTTCTGTAAATATAAATTAAAATATTGCCATTTTGAATGACGGTGTATAATGAAAAAGAAAAATATTATCTGTAATATATCGGGATAATTTTAAGGCTACCTTTATTATAACCGCATAAAAACTAGTATTGTTTATAATAGTATTAATATTTTTATTTAATCCAATTAATATTTATATAATATTACAATACTATCTATTAAATAATTGATAAGAAGTATAATACACGCTTGATTAATTTTCCTACATAAGGACATCTAAAACCTGCATGTGCATGCTTATTTTTCATCCATTTTTTATGTATTGTAGAAATTGTAATTCATACTATATACATACATGTTACTAAAAGTAATAGATAACTCTGTCTTATATCAAAATTATTTCCATTTTAAATCGAAGGATAATTAATTGTCGTACCGTGCTTAACGTTGCTGTGATTTGAAAACATAAAGTTTGCATGTGACTCTGTCCCAATAGTCTTGTGTTTCATTGACTATGTAAAAAAATCATATGCATTGAATTTGCACTTTGACATGTGAGGTAGAGCTAGAGTTTTCAATTTACAGAGATGAAATTGAGAAGGTGATCGACCTGAAAGGACGAATCTAACAGGCTCAAGGAACGACTTAGTCATCATAGTTTATTTTATAGTTTTTATGAGACAGATACCTTGCAATACAATTTTAATACTCTCTAATGATATAAGTGCATTAAAACAAATGAGTGCCAAATTAAAATAGTGAGAGATTATTCGTTAATGAAGTATTATATTTCTGACATTATTATGGTATTGAATCTCTATCAATGTAAATAGTTGGCCAGGTTGAATTAATATTTTTTTATCATGAATTAGATAGAAATAATGTATATTATGAAATGATTATATATACATAGAATTCAGTTCTATGTATGACTATTTTAATTATATTTCAATTTTTAATATTAAACTTTATAGTGCTTATATACACTTCAACATCTTAGATTCAGAATAATTACAACGAATGAAGTATAAAATTGAGGCATTTGTATGTAAATTTAAAGTAAATATATATATAAATACATATATGTATGAATGTATATATATTTTTGTACTTAATACTTCATTATTGTTGATGAATTTATTATAAGATTATTATTAGTTTACGTGTATCGATATACAAGATGAAAATAATGTAATATTAAATAGTTTAAATCAGATTTTTCTTAATTTATAGACTATATCATTAAATTTTTAAACTCACAATTTTAGTCAGCAATCATTGTTTAAAATATGTTTAATTTTTCAATGAATAAGATATCAACAATAGTATACTGAATTATGAAATAAAATATCGTAAAATTGTCATACCTTGTTCCCCTCAAAAGTCCCACATCAATTAAAAACTATCATACTTTCCAAGATTGTTCATCGTTTCATAAAACCATATATTTAAGTTCAATATCATTAAAAGACTTTTTTGTTGATACAAATTTTGTGAAAAGATGTAAGAGCATGTAGCATGTGTAATGAGTATCTTTCCGAAATGTCGCACAACTGTGGTGTTCCTCTCATAATTAAATCACTTTTCCTTATGTTTTGTAGAAATCTTCTCTATCTTGCATGATATTGAAGAGGTCTGCGAGTCAATGGAAATTTAAAAAATTACGTAGCTGGGCAGTCATTTAAATCCTTTCAGGGGCACTTTTTTCTGCTGCAATAATCCCGAACCCGAAAGTGTACGTAAAGGTTTTCGGGGTCGCTGATTACGAATCTGAAGTCCGATTTTTAAAATTCAAAATGGCTGATCCAATATGGCGGACATAATTTTCAAACTGAAACTTATATGAATTAAAATTTGTATACTTGGGTTTTCGGGGTCGCTGATTACGAATCTGGGGTCCAATTTTCAAAATTTAAAATGGCGGATTCGTAATGAGCAAGCCTATAAATACCCTTATACCATTTTCAAGTGAATTTACTCAGAAAACCGCAATTCTAACCTAAAATAGCCGCCATATTGGGCCATATTGGGATTTATCAAATTCTGATACCGGATTCGTGATCAACACCTTCAAAAGTCCTTTTATACAAATTTTCATATAATTATCTTGAAAACTCTGTCCAAGACCGAATTTATTCGAAAAAACTTCAAAATTTCCGTCTTTGATTGTTTATAAACAATTGAATAAATAAATTTTGAAATTTTTATCAAAGCATTACGAAGCCTAAGTACTAATAATCATATAGAAATTTATTCGAGAGCGATTGAGTTCAAAACGCTCGCGGTATGGATAAAAAACTGAAAAAATTTAGGTGTATCATATATGATACGCTTGCCCCTGAAAGGATTAAAGTATTACTAGTATGTTAATAGCTCTATAATGTAAAAGTACAAATTTATAATAATACTAACATTGCAATTAGTCATTTGTACTTTTTATTCGCCAAATTTTCAAGTAACAACGATTACCAACGTTGATTTTTCACAGGGACAGAACCGATTACATCGAAATATCAGGCGGTTGCAATGAGCATCGTCAAGAAGACAATATCAGTTGTGGCACATCAGAAGCGTGATTCACAACTCAAACAGTAAAAAAAATTATCATTCTCGACATTCGCAATTCTTATAAATCAACTCACAAAGTCGAGTATTTTTTTATTGAAATCTTCTATTTTCTACTAAATTAAGAGTAATTATCGAATTTGAATTCTTCAAGACTGATCTATTAAAAATAATTATATTCCAAAAATGTCAAAAGCAGAACGTCTATATTTATTCCAAACGATATTGAATATTTTTTTTAAACACTTGATGACGCCAGCTTCTACATGCTTATCAATAATAAGGTATGGATGATACAAACAATTTTATTAAAGTAATTTGCAGTTAATATCATTTTAAGTTCAAAAGAAAAAGAGTGATATCCGCGGATTTTTTTAAATTTGATAACTCGAAGCTTAAAACCTTGAAACTCTCGATCTCGTAAGTAGTTCGAGTTTGAGATATTTGCGCTGAAGCCGGTTGCGCGTGATCGGTTGTGCAGTAGCATGGACGAGAAAATTTGCTATTCTACTCTGTTTTGTAAACAAGTGTTTTAATTGAAAAAGTGAGTGATTGTTGAATACACAATATCAGTTATATCATTCACATAAAATAGTGGTTATAGGAACGTGATATATTTCATTTTTATCAAAAATTACTTTGTCGTAGAGCTTTCACGGTTGCTGTATAAAGTACTTACATAACCTCTGCGGTACACGTCGGAGAACACTCGTTCTTTTTACAATTTGGCGGAACTTTTTAAGTTAAAATTATATTTTTACCACAATTCAGTTATCGTTAAAACTGATTGATATAGATTATATTTGTTGATATGACTAATTAATATGGGTCATTTGCATTTGTTTACGAACAGAAGTTAGATTAATAAAAAAAGAATACTTCAAATGATAAAATAAATAAAATTAAGATGGGCAAAAATTATGTGTTTATTTTTATTTTTTAGCATGACATCAAAACTTTCACCACTCTTGAAGTTTCACCCAGTCATAAAACTTTATTCAAGGCATCTAACGTTTTGGCCAGAAACCTTAACGAAAAAGAGTCAACGTCTCTACACGAAGGCATATCCAACCACACTACAGTTTCCTGATGGTAGTACTATAACTATACCATATCCAGAACAGATTGGTGTTATTAAGTTACCTTTAGATCTTAGCACATTATCAGAGGAAGAACGAAAAGCAAGATTAATGAAACGTATACCCAAGACAAAAATTGTAATTCAAGAAGAAATCGAAGATGACTTCGATGAATCTCGTTACTTGAAATTCAGACAGAAATAATAATTAGATATTCTGCAATTGTACTTTATATTATGTATGATAAATTTTGTTTGCTAAATAATAACAATTAAAATAATGTACATAGATTTTTACAAGAGATAATTTTGTAAGTAGAAACAAATAAAATTTATCAATATTTATGAAATTGTCAGATTACATTCTATTGTTATTGTGATAAATGAGTCATAATAAATAGCTTTAATGAAGTTGTATTAGCTGAATCTTCCATGCTACTTAATATTTGTCACCTCTTAATTTTATTTGTTAATTAATTGAAATAAATTTTTCATGATCATTTAGAATCATTTATTTAAATGTTACATTAAAAACTTATGCAACTACTAAATTTCCAATAAAAATAATACATAAACTAGAAACAAAAAATATTTTTTTACCAAAATTATAATTTTCAAATCAAAATAAATAAATTAACAGAATTTTATGAAAATCGCTTTATTTCATTAAGATATTATTAAGCCATAATCTTATTGAGAACTTACCATCTTATCTGTAACTTCCACTCTACTTGCTTGTTAATTTCAACATAAAATTTAGGCCAATAAAAACATTTGCCGCAAGTAATTAATTAATGATACAGATAATCAGTTCATTAGCGTTAATAATTGCACATCTTCTTGTTTAGAATATCATTGTGCAAGCATTCATATTAACATACAAAGAAAAATAATCACTCTGGTTAATATCCTAACTTATCAATTATGATTTTTTCCATATAAAACAAAAAAACAGAAAAATTACGATTGTTAGTCAAAGAAGTAACTTTCTTTCGATAACATATACAAATAACATTATAATTACTATAAATTAATAAATCAAATGATAATTGGCTCTTCATAATTCAAACACTATTAAATTGAATAAATATGCTTGAAATTATAATATGAAGATGAAAATCTTAATATTTAAATGTAAATGTTACAATGACTTTACATGTATTAAAAAGCACGAATACATTGTACACATATAAAGTCACACATGATTTTTAGTGTTATCTCATATTCTCTTTATTCTATAGTCTCGTTGAATGTTTAATGTATAATTGAGTTGAGCATGCAATTTGTGTCTAACGAAATTTCGTTTCAAATCCTGCAAAAAAATATAAGAAAAAAATAAAAAGATTATTTAATATAATTCTAACATTTCTAAAAGAATTCCATCTTTTCAAACATCTTCAATAATACATATATTATATCAATTAAATTTTCAGATATTTAATAAAATACTAATTCTTTCTTATATATAAACTATCACATTTATAACTAATTAGTGAGCTGTCTAACAAGTTGAAATAACTAACAAAATTAAAAACTAAAATTTCCAAAATTATCCCGAGCATCTCTTCATTATTGCTTGGTGCGATAAGAAACAAACTAATCGCTCGGGCAATCGCCTGGTTACCATATAGTGATGTTTATTATATATATATATATCTACCGGCTAACTGTAGAAGATACACAATGGACGCCATGATCATCAGCGACAAGGTTGAGAACAGGCTCGACGAGTCTCAGTCGCTGCCGGAACACCGCAGCAGCAACAGGTAGATCGTATAATTTTTCAATATCAACGATGTGGAAAGGAGCGGCCGTTTTTCTACTAGGCACACTGGCTATTGGCTGGCACTTTAGGTATGGATTTTTTTTTATTGGATGTTCGAGCTTGTCGGTGCGTGAAATTCGTATTGGTTCGGTTGGATCGGTTCGTTCGCCTATTTTTTGGAGCGCAACACCGTTAGAATTATAACATAATTTTAATACAGCGGGGAGTGCCTCTTATGCGGTAAAAAAATTAATATAATTGAACAGAACGTGAAGGCCAGGCAGCGACTGATAATTTGCACCAATTCGACCGCCGAGTACTTCGTCCGCGTATCGCGTAAGAGAAAAACAAAATTGCGATTGTGATAGGGAGTGACTGAAATATATAAGACTGAGTATCATTTAAATAATTAAATGAAAAATATTGTTATTATGTTCGTTATTTTTGTGCCCGATCAGAAATAAGTTAACTTTCAAGTGACATTCAATTCTAATTCATAAATAAATAATTCATAATAACTTCATTACGTCAGCAACTTTGTCAACATTCAGTAGTAAACAAATAACCATAATCGAATCTTTTGGCATCACTCGACCTCGTTTATATTCAAGGGCAAAACGTATTGCACGCTAAGAGAAAAGCTTTTGTCATAAGTGTTTAAGAAAATTGTATATAATCAAAGAGGCCTCTACACGATGAAGCGTATGTAATGCTTACGATAGATATCCGAAAAATTATATATATATACGTGCAAGTACAAATGTTAGTGACATTTAATAAAAAATGTATCTATTTTTTCAGCTACAATCAAGCTCCAGTTACCATACCGACCTTACCAAATGAGTACTGGGGTCCAGGAACATCACAGCCAGATCCTAAGGATATTGTGCCGTTCAAGATCGATGTTAAAAAACAGGTAGGAATCCATTTCATCGGAATTTCAAGTAAATGCACGAACTCAATTGCTTATCATTTTTCATTCGAAACTCAGATCATCGATGATTTGCACAAACAACTTGATCGTGCACTTTCACCGGAAAGGGAATTCGTAAAGCCTTTGGAAGGTGTAGCTTGGACTTACGGAATGCCCTCAACTTACCTCAAAACCGTACTGCAATACTGGAGAAACGAGTACGACTGGAATAAAAGGCAAACTCTGCTCAACAAATATCCTCAATTTATGACCAAGATTCAAGGTAATGTAACTCTTCATTTATCGTGAATTATTTAAAGATAATATAGAAAACGAAATAAAAGAATAAGCATGGATACGGTACGATTACAATATTATGCCTATCATACGTATCGAGGTAAACAATCTCAAGTTTTCTGTCTAGTAAGTATGACATCTCACTTTCCGACGGCAATAAGTGTGCTAAAGGCTAGATGATTATTAGCATTGAAAATTGTACATAGCTTACTTGTACACTAGTCATTATCAGAATACATTACCAAGTTTCTATTGCACGAACCTATCCATCGATCTTTATACTGTCTTGCAATTCGATGAACCATATTATTGTCAAGTACACATCCAGATTGTTGAAAATAATTTGATAAATAGAAATATCTCAACGTAACTTACAAAATTTAATCTAATCTGCATTCGTACATATATGACACAAAGACGTTTAAATTTACGAGTGGAAAAATTATTGAGGCATCGGAAGATTTTTGTTGTAGAACAAATTTTTGTCAGTCATATGTTTACGTTAAAAAAGTTAATAAACGTTTGCAATCAAAAGAGCAAAAAATTAGGGCATTTTATCCTTACCACAAATTGTGCATCGTTATCGGTACATTAGCTGTAACCTCTTGGATATTATCTAATATTCGAGCGATATATTGAACATATATAATCATAATATTATCAAAGAAATTCGATCTCTGCGATGAAATGCCATTGCGGTCTTTCTTTTTTGATTGTAGTATTGTCATCATCATGTGATTCTAGTTTTGCTTACTTAATTATTTTTAATAGTTGAAAAATCTTGAAATATAAATATGTTTTTTAAGGTCTAAACATTCATTTTTATCACGTGAAACCTCAGCAACCAAAAGACCGTACACTTCGTGTATTGCCTCTGCTAATGGTGCATGGATGGCCAGGTTCGGTTGTTGAGTTCCAGAAGATAATCCCGTTGTTAACGCAACCAACGACTAAGCGAAACTTTATCTTTGAACTTATTGTGCCTTCGTTACCTGGTTACGGATTTTCCGAAGCTGCTTCTAAACCTGGACTTGGGCCTAGCCAAGTAATTATTCAATTTATTAAATAGCATCAAGCGATACGTAAAATACTTATATTGTACTCAAATAAAAAATTTTTAGATAAGTGTAATCTTCAAGAATCTGATGGAAAGACTTGGTTTCAAGAAGTACTACGTGCAAGGTGGTGACTGGGGCAGCATTATAACTTCTTCTATGGCAGCTCTTTATCCCAAACAGTCAGTATTACTCGAAAAAAATTAAACCTCCAAACATCTTCATTGCGTGATTAATCTTATTTGATGAAAATGTTTATTTTTATTGTTTACAGAGTAATTGGAGCCCATGGAAACATGTGTTTCATCGATTCGACAAAGGGACACCTCCTTGCTTTACTTGGTGCTTATATTCCATCTTTGGTAGTCGACAACGAGCATCACTCTAAAATGTATCCACTTAGCCACCACTTTAGTTATTTGATCGAAGAATCAGGTTACATGCACATTCAGGCGACTAAACCAGACACAGTTGGTAAGTAGTATATCTTCTTCGCGCAATTTCGTCCTTCTAAGATAGCATGAATAATTGCTCGATTTTATTTTTTACTCAGGAACTGCATTATCGGATTCACCAGCTGGTTTAGCTGCTTATATTTTAGAAAAGTTCAGCACCTGGACGAATCCGGATTATCGTAAGCGAGATGATGGCGGTTTATTAGAAAAATTCACAATGGATGAGCTATTGGATAATTTAATGTTCTACTGGGTGACGAACTCGATAACAACAAGTCAACGGATCTACGCTGAAAATTTCAACAAGGCTAATCGGGCTCTTGGTATCGATAAGTAAGTCACATATTTGTTAATTCTATAACGTATCTGTCTAAATGTCAACGATTAATCAACAAAATAATTTTTAAGAATACCAATCACCGTTCCAACTGCCTGCGCAATGTTTCCGAACGAGCTTCTTTATCGTTCCGAGTCTATTCTGAAAGAACGTTACACAAATTTAATTCAATTTACACATCCAGCACGAGGAGGTCACTTTGCCGCTTTCGAGGAGCCTAGAATTCTTGCTGATGATATTTGGAGCTTTGTATATAAAAATGAGCAACTGAGAACAAAACCCATAAAAAAAGCGTGATTGCGTGATAATGAGTGAAGACTTTGTGATATGACGCTTTGGTGCAAGAAAAAGCTCAATAGTTGATTTATAATAATGTTTCCTCTCAAGTTATATGGTTTCCAATAAATTGTTTTTCCATTTAAATATTTTAACTAACTCATGTTATGATTTCATTCGATGAATATTCAATGTTAAGAACTTATGAAGTTCTAGAGATTTACAGATAGAAGTTAATACTGCAAAAATTTACTATTCTTTTTAACTGTATTCTAACTCAGAAATCATTTGTTGATCTCTCCTGGATATTTGAAAATTCGAGAGAAACGTTGCCGAATTTCTGCGTTTGTAAATTAACTGGTTTTACTATTACTGTTGTTTTATTATGTCCCATAGAGAACTGCAAAATCTCCAAATCCTGTCTTTATCAAGGGTCGCGGCAGCGACCTGCGGCATGAATGCCGGAGGCGCGGTTTTACGCGACACTATACTCAATGAAGTCGGCGTGCACAGATTTCAATTAATTAATTAATACATAAATAGCGTTGCATGTAAAAAAACTTATTATATATTGTTAATATATTATACCTAGATTGGTTCTATTAAAAAATTTTAATTGTTTACTTGACATTCATTCATTTATTAATTTTTTTTTTTTTGTATGGTCGAAAACTTTTTTTCTTACTTTCTTCCCAGCCATCTTTATCGGTAAAGATGATTATCTTTAAGATGATTATCTTTAAGATGACTATAATGAAAACTTGATTGCATTCTAAACAACTCTTGTCATTTCAAGTAATAGAATTTGAATTCGAAGCATAATATAAGCATGCTATCTATAACAAAACTATTCCATCCTCAAATTTCATAAACATATTTTCACCAGAGTCGTCTTCTCGAAGCAGTCATAACAGTTCGTTTAGTCGATGCGCCAAATAAAATTATTTCGTTATTCTTATCAGCAGTGATAGACGATTCTAGAATCTATTGATACACCAATCGATCTTTGTTTGCATAACAAAGCGGACAATTATTTATGATGGCTAGCATTTAAATGCATTTACCAAATATTTCTATAAATAATGATACGTTCCCTTAGTAATTATAATTTATATCTTACAGTTTGGATCAAAAGCTCTGTACTGCCAGCGAAACTTTTTTCTTGAAAATTTGTCACAAATTAAAAAAACAATTACTGCGAGAAAAAAACCAATTGTATTTATTGTAACTTTAAAACTGCTAATAAGATTCTGTAAAAAAAGTTTGAAAAGGAAGAAAAGGAAGAAAAGGCTTTTACAAGTCACATTGGTATGATTGCACTTAATTCAAAATAAATACATTTAATTATTATTATTATACACACACACACACACACACACACACACACACACACACACACACACACACACACACACACACATATATATATATTATACATTCATTCACATCCTTACAAAAACCTTGAATATCTCGTATGTACTTGTCGATGTTTCTCATTTACATCATAAAAAAATAATGTACAATTTTTTAACTTATAAAGATTGATAAAAAGATACATAACACGTAATTATAATTTTATTGTATAAATAGATTTTCTAAATCTATATTACAGTCATCTTCAATATTCTTTTGTTTGATGAACTTTCTTGGCTTAATTTGATATTCACAATCTGTTACTTTATATTTATCACTAATCGTTTTCGGTTCAATATTAAAACGGTCTTTAAGAAATGCATATATATCGTTTTTATTATTCAAAACATTAAATATCAACTTTTCTTTTTTTGTCAACACTTTTTCCAACATAAAAACAAGATGATGGTGCATGGATAAAAACTGAATATCCATGATTGATGTAATGTCAAGCCAATCTTGTATACACTCAGTAGGGGTAGCTGCATATCCAGCAAATAAAGCTGGATTAGTCAAAATTCCACTAGCGACCATTACACCATTACATTTAGATTCTCTATACAGTACTTCTGCATCATTAAGAGATCTAACATTACCATTGGCAACAACTGGCAGCTGTATGCAACTTTTCACGAATTTTAAATTTTCCAAATCAATAGGTTCATTGCGCATATCAGGTGTTCTGGCATGTACTGTTAAGAAAGATAAAGCACGGATGCCATTTATAAGTGTAACATCTTAAGGACCAAAAGAATCGATAAAATACTAAAAACTCGTTGATTTTATATGTCTAGTTCTCTATGTCTAAACATCATTGTTAACAATGACTGAAACATGTTCAGTATCTTTAAATAATGAATCATTTTTATGTATTTAAATTGATATTAGATACACTACGTCTCGATCAACCTTATTTTTTTATTGGGATCGATTTTAAATTTTTGAAAGAAATGAAATCTATTTGAAAATGGCACGGATGCTATTGATTCGTTTCAGCTGCTACATAACAAATAGTCACGCATTATTTATACGTTGAAATTTTCAATAACTTATATAAATTTTTGGCAACTTTTATTCTTGCCGGGCCTGTCGCCTGAGTTAAAAAGAAATGATTAATTTACAGCTAACTTTTCATTATACGCACCCTTACTATCATTATTTAATATTTTTATCAATATTGTCTTTGGTAAACCTATAATTAATTTGTATTTGTAAGTGTTTAACGAAATATTTTTTTTGATACATAGTGAAAAATAATTTTTTTATACCAGGTAGAAACGTAAAGTTCTTGGTAATAATTTTTTAATGTTAGATATTTTTCATTTTCAGTACACGGCTAAGAGTAATTCATTTTATAATATTTTATTGTCCATGCTTGTACCTGATATTATTGGCGGACTGGCCCAGCAAGAATAAAAGTTGCCAAAAATTTATATAAGTTATTGAAAATTTCAACGTATAAATAATGCGTGACTATTTGTTATGTAGCAGCTGAAACGAATCAATAGCATCCGTGCCATTTTCAAATAGATTTCATTTCTTTCAAAAATTTAAAAACGATCCCAATAAAAAAATAAGGTTGATCGAGACGTAGTGTATCTAATATCAATTTAAATACATAAAAATGATTCATTATTTAAAGATACTGAACATGTTTCAGTCATTGTTAACAATGATGTTTAGACATAGAGAACTAGACATATAAAATCAACGAGTTTTTAGTATTTTATCGATTCTTTTGGTCCTTAAGATGTTACACTTATAAATGGCATCCGTGCTTTATTTATATTGATTTCAGTACTTTCAAAAGTTTAAAGACGAATAAGAAAATTCTATTATTGAGTTAAGATCTAAACAGAGTAATATGTGAAAAATGGATAATTTTTAGTATAGGATACAAAAATCTGTCTGTACGTGTATGAGCAAGTAATATATAGCGCTCGTATCATTTTTATAAATTAAAATAACTGTGGACGAAGTAGCAAGGTTTTAGCGATAAAAATGGCAAGGAAGTTAAAAAAGCATTCATGCAACCTTTTACTTTTGTAAAAAGTGTTTTTATGGTTACCTACAAAATGATTACGAAAATTAATTACAATTCACTACAATACAGTAATGAAAAAGCACGAGGCATCATTTGATGATTATTGTAGTACTTTTTTCTTCTCTTAAGAATTAAAAACTGTAAATATGGAAAAGCCTGTTTTCATCATCTGCAAAAAAAGTAAATAACAAGTGACAGATCATTTATTATAATATTGTTTAACAGTAAAAAATCTCCACGAATAATTACATTGCAATAAGTATCCATACATAATATAAACATTTTACCACCAGTTAATTCAGAAGGTTTAAGACTTCTAATCATCATAATCTGGATTAAGCGTTTAGATTTTTGTGATAAGTTGAACCAATTACACGCGTAACTGAAAAAATTTCTATTGTTGAATATTCTAATAATTAAACATATCGAGAATTAATAAATATATATTCTACCACTGATCAAATATATCCCTACTGGAATTTATGAGTTTTTGTCCGGGAAGAAATATGTAATAAAAGTGTATAAAAGTTGCACACACAACTACTGCGTACCTCAAGGACTCTTCAGGTCTGCTTAACTTCATGAGTAACTATGTAATATTAAGATAATAAATAAAATTAAATGATTTCTAGCTCTATTAATATTGTTAATACATATTTTTTTCATAATTACTATTGACATTCCACCTCCAACCATTATCATATTGGAGACAAGTATAATAAGCCACGCTATATTGTAACAATTTTCAACGATATCAACGTAACTGGTATAAATCATGATCAATTAAAAAAAGAACAAAAAAACAAAAACTCTATGCTGAATAACAGTTTCAATTTCTGCTTACTTTATCGCTGTTTGGTGTATCTCGATTGCTTGCACAACGTAGCGACGGGCAGCGCAATCCTTCATTGCAATATTATCACTACCAATATTTATAGTAGCAGCTATCTGGGCAGCTTTGGATAAACGGAAACTGAGAAATTTAAAAGCAATATAGGATAGAAGATCATTGAATAATGAAAAAGTGGAATGTAGAAGAAAGCATCTTACTTCACAATTTTAAACAATGCTACGACGTGTTGAACAATCAACATGAAGCCAAGATCAAAGGTCACAAGAACTGATATAGTTCCCACTCCACCAAATACGGCTTGAGCGATCATGGGATAGTAATGTTTTTCTATGTCGATACCATATTCAGCGTAGTAAGGCAGTGCCTTTGGTCGAGTTCCATTTTCTAGAGGAATTATATAATCCAAAACTGGAGAAAATATAGGCATTGACAAAAATACCGCCACTCCAATGATCATGTAACCTTCAATTTTAAAAATTTTGTTTCCTTATTATCAATATTATTGATAAATAATGTACATTAAATTTAGTATACCTGAATACAAACGAACAATTTTACTACCGATCTCTGTGTAGCGGTGCAGTACTTTTAGTTCTCCTATATCTTTTATAATTTTCCAATCATAAGCTATTTTTTCATAGAGACGTATGAGCTATAAAACAAAATTACATTTTCTCAATAATATAGCCCTTCACAATTTTATATAGTTAAAAATTATTTGCTCACTTTATTTCGGTACAGAATATTGTTAGTAAGTTTGAAAAATACAACGGACAAATATATTTCTCCAATAGCATTTTCTATTACAATGTCTATATTAACGCCAAGTTCGTTGTACCATCGTATACCCTTCACATTACACATGCGTTTTACAAATTTTGATAGCGCGAAAATTACAGCTAACGTACCATTGACACCATAAATGAAATTGTAAAACTATACACGTAAATCCACGCTATATAATTTTTCCATGGTTTGTTTTGGAAAAGCCAAAGGCCAGTATGTTTCTGTAAGAAGACCGTTAATTTCCAATAATCGCTTTCATAAAGATTCATAATATGATATGGATAAAATTGCTATTTTTCAAAAATACAAATTCAGGGAATACTTTGACGACGACTACAGCACGTATAATATACGTATACTGAAACCCGCGATCAATGAAAATAGACTGCTGCCAAGCACCACATGCAAAAATAATGAGATGAGTTAATTGCTAGTTTTGCATGGACGTTGGATGCTCTTATTTTATACGTGACCCTTTTACTAAATATAACTATTGATAAAATAAAGCTTAACGCGGCTATAGTAGTATAAAAAATTCGGAGATAGTTCTGATAACTATTTACAAGTCTAGTGTGTATCCGAACTTCCTTAGTTCATATACATAAGACGTATAGACAAATAAATATCCTTCCAAGGCAATTCAATTAAAAAAAAATATAGTGTAAAGCAATACAGTTGAAGATGATCAATAAAATATTGTAAAACATTATAATATCTTATAATTAATTGTATCATTGATGGAGTTTTCTAATTCAATCTGTATAGTTGACTATAATTTTCTAAGTACTTCTGGAAAATGCTTTATTACCAAAAGTTAACAAAGTGAAACTATTAATAATTAATTTGTTCATTATAAGCTATCGTAAAACCACAAGTAGATCCCAAGGACATGGTACCATTCAAGATCAATGTTAAGAGGGAGGTACATTTCCTAACAGGTACGCAAAGGCTTTTTTGATGCAATGAGAAGGTTATAGAACGAGCTGAAGTCACAAGTTTCATCGAAAAGCCTTTTCGCATCAGTTAAGGACAGTAATTTCTGCATGACAGCCGGAAACACATGCCGAACGTGCGATTTGAAGGTTCGAATGCGGAAAAATAAATATTCACATCTTGTGAATAGAATTGAAAAAAGAATAGAAAAAAGATAAAATTACTAAATACCTAAATTTATGTTTTACGTTAATGATGATATGAATAAATAATCGAACACTTCCTGCAGAAAGATCACTAAATCTCTGGAAGATGCAGCTTGGGCCCATGACGTGTCTTCGTCTTACCTGAAACCGTATTAGAGTAATGGAAACATATATAAAGATGACTAGAAAATGAGACAAAATTTATTATACAAGTATCTCCGATTCAAAACTAAATTTCAAGGTAATATAATAATTCAGAATATTAATACTGTATAAGATATTTGTAACGTAAAATTACGGGAGGTACATTCGCTAAGTCATAAATGATATACTAGGCATTTGTATACGCGTTTATTCTTATCAGCGTTGATTACAAGTGTTTGGTGTACAAATGCCGTTCAAATTTCTGTAAGGTGAACACTTTGATTTGAAATTCACATTAATGAATTACGAGATTATTTTTTGTTCTTCAAGATATCAAATGATACGATGACTGAGTAGGAATTTATGAATACTAGATATATTTGAATATTGCAAGGTTTGAGTATTCACTTCTGTCACGTAAAGCCACAACACAGCCTAAAGATAGAAAATTGCGAGTTGTGCTTTTACTGATGGTGTGTAGTTGGCCAGTTCAACTATCGAAATAGAATTATTGACACAGACAAGATCTAATCGTAACTTTGTTTCCAATGTCGTCATATCAATCTGTCTGGTTTTGCATTTTTTTATTTTACTGCGAGGCCTGAACTTTTGCCAGCTAAAGTACACTACGTAAAACAATCATTCGACGGATGAGATTCCAAATTTTTTGTAAGTTATTAGATTATTTGATCTTTCTATGATTTCAGGTGACTGTAATTTTTCAAAAATTTTATGGACAAGCTTGATTTTAAAAGGCACTACGGTTAAAGAGGTGGTTGAGGTAGCGTAAAAACAACTGATATGGTATTCCTGTTCCTAGAAATGAAAGTTAAATATTGTTTTGAAGAAATTTAAAAAGCTTCATCTAATTTACAAAAAATATCCATCAACACTAATACATATTGTAGTGTGATTGGTGTGCATAACAACTTGTGTATAGTCTACTCGACTAGATTTTATTTTCTAGGATTGCTCTATGCGTACGTTCCGTTTCTGGTAGTTGACATAAAATGTATCTCTTAAGTTGCTACTATAGCTAGCTGTTGGTTAAGTAGGATTATTACCACATACAATTCACTGTGCGAAACTATTTAAATTGAAATTACTTAAAGATTTGGGTTTATTTGATTAGCATCATGATTTTTTACGCAGACGCAGAGTTATTAGACTAACCTGCTGGGCTGGTCGCTTAGATTTGTGTAAATTTAGCACTTGTACTCACCAGACTACTGACTTCGTATAAGCAGTGGTTCATTAAAAAAATTTACTATAGATGAACTACTGAATTATATTACGTTATACTTAATGACAAATTCCATCACTACCAGTTAGCGAATCTGCGCTGAACATGATACAAAAGCCAATAAGAAACTTAGTGCTGAAAATAAGCTAAGAATTCAGATTTAATCAAAAACAATTACGATCTTTTATATCATTTGGAGACAATTGTAAAAAGATGTTACGTCAATCCGGTTTAATTTACTCGTGATCGTTTTACTGTTTTTGAAGAACCTAAACTCCTTACTGATAATCTGTATTCTTTCGTAAACGAAACCAAGTAACTGAGCACAAAAACAGCCTAATTTTTTAATAACTAATTGATTATTTGGATTAACATTCGTGAATGTCTATTAATTCTAAAATTAAAAGTGTTTTATACTTTTTTTACTTTCATTTATTTGTATTTGCGTATATGCACGTTTAATTTATAACATTTCTAATTACTTTTTGATTATTAAAAATTAAGTGAGTAACTTATTATTGCAAACATATAATATTTAGTAATTTAATCTATGTCGAAATCTTGCAGAATGCTTTACTTTAACTAAACTCGCCATATATTTGAGCTTATAAATATTATAATAAAGTATTAAGAAAAGATTTTCACTGTTTGCGTTTCACATTTGCATATTGTTAATATCCATTTATTTATCAGACCAAAAATAAGTAAATAATCGTCAATTGTTTCTTAATTTCTATATATACAATGAAATAATCATATAGAAAGGAGTAGTAATTCTAGTGCTAACATTACTAGCTATTGGGTTTTTAGTATTTTTAGTATAAATAGTTTTCCTTTATGAAACATGTTAATTAACCTAAATTCATAAACTCGAAGTAGATGTTTCAAGTAAATATTTATTGTTTATCAAAATAAACTTTCAAACGACACAATTAGAAAATCACGAAATCATTTGTTTTGAAATACAAATTAGTTTTATTCTCTTTTAAAAAATGTTAAATATTCAATTGGGCTTTAGATTATGAATAAAAATTACTTTAATTTTTGCGTAAATCAATCAAAGAAGCATTCAAAGGTTATAAAATCATTAAGATTGTTAATAATCATATAGATGAAAAAAGTGTGTAGATGTATTTATACTCGTAAACGTATTACTCATAAACAAATAAGTATTATTGCGGCTGATATTTGAAACTTCATACACAAGAAATAAACCATCAAACGCAGAATCAATCTTTTTTTTCTAGAAATACAATCAAAACTATTAACATTGTAACTTTTTTTATCAATAAATGTTATTTTACAGTGATTTAAAAAATATATTAGCCAAACTATTAAAAAAATATAGTAAACGTCAATACTGAGCTAATTAATGGTGTTAATTAGCTCTAAGTGACAAAAATTGCGTACAACGAGGCACCGATAATTTACTCAGTATGAGTTTACACGTATTTATCTTGTACCATAAATAACGTGATTATCGAAAACTGCTGAGTCAACACTTTTTACCGTACGTGAAAGTATTTATACGCGTTATGGGGATTGTCTTGGATATAAAGTATACATGTTGGCATTACGGTTCCTGTCACTCCCACTACAGGCAACCATGCTCTACACCACTGTAGATCAAGTTAACGTTTTCGGGGTACACTTGCAATGCCGCGCATTAAATTTGTTTGTTTTATTATATGAAAATTTTGCCTATTGTTGTATAATTAGTGTGGATAATAATGATAAAACAAGTTTATCACTTTTTTTTAATTTGACTTTTCTATTGGGATTAGCTGACTAATTTTTTTCATTTGACTTTTCAGTCAAATGAAAAAAAGTCATAAACTTGGGTTAATTATTCCATTGTAGTACGAATCAATTGTCAAAAAAAGATAGCATACAGATTAGATGTTGCAACAAAGAAGAGAAATTATTGCGTTACAAATGTTGATTTTATAACATATGGTCAATGAACAACATTTCCCCCTATTGAATAGATCCTTTGAATCACAATAGTGACCATATTATTATTATATAAATAAGCTAGTAAAGCTTACACAAAACTTCAATAGAAAAAACGCTAATTATATATGTAATACGACTTAATCGCAATAAATTTATTTTTAAATCAGCAAATTGTAGTTTCGATGTTTTCAGCAATGAATAGCAAGGAGTAGACCGAGCATATGGCGAGTCGCACGTTGACTTCGGTAAGTGGCTGACGCGTTTGTTTTTTCCACCGATCGTTCACTTACAATTACTGGTGCCTTACGACAAGTAATCTGTAATCACTTGGAAATCACTTTGACATACAAAAAAGATACTTCGCCAAAGAAACACTCATCTCTTCGCTCGCTCGCATCACTCAATTGTGAAGAAGGAAACGCGGCCCCGTAATAAAAACAAAGTCAAGCGGCAGAGGCAAGAGAAAGGTTTTAGCGTGGAAATACAGTGTCTGACGTGCACTGTGCAGGATAACATACAAAAGCTCAGGAAAATATTTTTGTATGTGAATGAGTAAGTGGGTAAGTGGGAATTGTTGTCCGAAATTTTCATACCGGTACTTAGAAATTACATGGGCTCAAGAAACATTTAAGAGTGTTTGCCAACTACTGAAATAAAAAGGATTTCATTCGGGGTTGCGTTCGGGATTTCGATAAAATTTATATTTGATGCACTATTTATGTTGATATTACTCAGTATAATTAAAAGTATATTTTTAATTATATGAAAATGCAATGCGTTTTATTGAACTTTTCCATTTTTATTTAAAAAACCTGTTGTAACACATACATTTACAGTTGAGATAAATATTGCTCTAACTTGTGCATGTATTAAATATATACTTATATTGCGATATTTAAACATAGCATAAAGATTGAAGTCGTAATTGTCTAGAAATAGGTCATTACTATTCATTAACTGTTGATTGATCAATTGAAAACTCGATGGAGAAAAGAGAATAGCAAAAAATTCGTTCGTTCGACGTGAATGCGTTCGATTAAGTTTCTCGCAATAATCGTTTCATAAATAACATACAATTTTCGACGTTAACTTAATTACTACATTAACAGATTTGGAAAAAGGTAGTTGAAGCGATATGAAAGATATTAGCAGAAAAAGCAAATCATGAACGTATTCCGCTTGAAAATCGCTCAAAGAACAACACGTTCCTTATTCTAATTCCATCAAGCAAGGCACAATACAAATCTTTCCATTCCCAAAATCCGCATATACTGTAGTCATCAGTATGCTTCTCCTCATCACTTCCAAACACATCAAATAAAAAAAATACAAGGCAATCGCTCCAGCACAAAAAAAACTCAGTGCGACGTCTCAGCAACAGCAGCAGACGACACGTGCGCGCGCAACAAAAGTCCGTCGGAGTAAGTAGGTAGTAGGAGAGCCGAGCGAGCAGTAGACGGAGCGTATGCTGGCGAGTCGCACGTTGACTTTGGTAAGTGGCTGACGCGCTTGTTTTTTCCACCGATCGTGTATGTGTACTCTCTTCGAATTTTATCGTTGTGCAAGTTTAAACAAAGGGAATATAAAGTGTCATGGAAATGCAGGTGTGCTCACGTGAGCCAAAACTATCCTCACGAAGAAGACAAAGTTGAACGACTGCTTGATTGTTGGAATTAAAAGTGTGGTGTGTGCGTGGGAAGAAGAAAAAAAGTAATATACTATACAAAGAGACATGAAGATGAGAGACTCGACTATAATCACGCACGCCGATGTTTACGACGAGCTACCGAGTACTTCGACCAGTGACAAGTGAGTTGTTATTATCAAGTTGTAATTATACTCATGCTTTCTAAGCCTTGTCTTGCGTTATTCAGTATGCCAAAGTGTATATTGATGAGTAAAGGTTTAGTCAAAAAAAAAATAAAAAGACTGAGGCTTGAAGAGACCATTTCATTTTTCCGAACAAAATATAAACCGCAAGTACACGAAATTCACGGAAACGGCGAAGAAGCACGTGGTGCGTGTTAAATTAAAAGTACGGGCGGCGGCAATCCTACACATGCCAAATGAGTTTATTTGGAAAGAATTCAAAACAAGCAATCATTTAGTTCAGACATTCAAATAAAAAGATTGTATGTCAAGGTTAAATCGGGCGGTAATAAAAGTAATTTCCACTGATCGAATTAAAGCGATGATACCATATAAAACGATGCCTGCCAGTAACAAAACGGTTTAACCCGTGAAGGCAATCAGTTTATTGTCGTCTGTCATGATGATGATGATGACACGTGTATGTGTGTTTTGAAAATATCGCAGAAACCTGTACAGTATATTGATAAATTTATCGATTTATTTGCCAAATTATACGTCTGTTCAGTGTTTGATTGCTTCTTCTTCACTGATATATAACTACAGTTTATTTTGCATTACGAAATCAATTTATGCCATTCCGAGATTTATGGAAAAAAGCACGAATGAATGGCAAGTATAATCGATTATACCTTAAAAAACGAAACGCTTAGAAAGTGAACAAAAATCAACAGGTTGTCCGATGCTCATGTAACAGTTTCTCTCTCTCTCTCTCTCTCTCTCTCTCTCTCTCTCTCTCTCTCTCTCTCTCTCTCTCTCTCTCTCTCTTTCTCCATCGAAGAGAAATCATTAGAAGGTTACATAAAAGTATCTCCTCAGCGTGCATAATCCGAATGATCAATGACAAAACTATGATATGAACACAGAGGCGATGACGAAATCGTTATCGTTAGAAATTGATAACCAATAAATGTCAATGTCATCGTTGTCGCAGTCGCAACAATCGATATATATTGACTCGTCACCGTTATAAGATTCGTTCCCACGCACACAAGCAAACAAAATAAAAACTTGGCTGATTTATGCAGTCGTGAGTATTCGTCGTCGCGGCAAGTTTTTACGATTCTTTGCCTTTCATAAGCACACACGCGCATCTTGAAACTGGAATGTGTGTGCACAGAGATCATTCGTTCATTCACTTTCTCGCGAAAATATCACTGATGACTTTCACGCGTGGTATACACTAATGATTGATTAATTTACTTACCGTTGTTTTCTTTTTCGCGGCGAGATAATACCTATTATCTTTCCCGGAGTAGCGGCAGCAGCTCTTTCCTCAAATTCTCACGGCACGCGCGTATAGTACTGCACCCGTTAGTTTAGCCGCTCGCGCGCGCAGAGACGCCTTGGGATTTATGTGTCGTATAAGTTTGCTGTGTGCTTTGCCCTTATACGATCTTGTACCTCATTACGTGTGCGTTGGGTTTTCTCTATCTTTACAGCTGGCACTTTGGATGGGTGGACGTTGTGTGATAATGTGAAATCAGATCGCAAGTAAATCATTTGAGTAGCTGCTGCAGTTATCGTCGATTCAACGATTTTATGGTTTTATTCATTCATTCGGTTGACGAAAAAAAAAAATTCAGGCGAGAGAAATTTTCTCTCAAACGAATATACAAAACCGATTACGATCTTGCGTCACAGAGCTGAACGCGAGCTTTTCACAATTGTAGCCTTATACCACACGCTTTGCATTTCAAAAAAGGCACAGAACAGAACAGGTAACGACGTACTTCTTGATAAAGAATAAAGGAGTTGCGAAATTCAGCCGCGCGAGCATTCAACTAGCAAAAGTAACAATTCGAAGAATGTGAAAGGCTACCCTTTTGAAAAATGTGCTTATAATAACGTTTGAAAAAAGACAAGAAGTTTAAGAATACCCGACAGCCTTTTGCATATCTTGTAATCGTATAAGCACACGTAACGCGTAGCCATATAATTAAGTTCAATTTTCAAAGCTGATCGCGCGGATCGGTCAGTGATTGCTACTGTTGACAAAAGAAACCTTCTGGAATTTCGCTAATCAACGCGCAATTTTTCGCATGTTTGCGCTGAAAGAATGGGTATTTAGTTATTTCTCTTTGTCTCAAGAGACACGATATGTTACATATTTTCACGTGAACGTGTCACGTATGAAATGAATACCCTGCTTGTGGTTTATTTATTTTCTTTTCTTTAGAGGTGTAAAGTGATTTGAAATACACAAAAAGGGCGATGTCAGACGTTGATGCTCACGATCAGGAAGTGTGAACGAGATTTTAGCGCACACTTTTGAGATTGTTCATCGAAGACTCGGGCATTTCCTTGAAATATTATTGCGTGATTTTTCAGGTGGTATACTTCGTTCATTTGTCAATGTTAAATTCTATATTTAAAGTCGTTAGATTGTGAATGCGCAATGGCACGGTAATCACTTTATTAGGCAACTGGAAGTGTTAAAGATATTCCTTCCAATTGCAGTCGACGGTCAATAAGATCAATTGATTTTATTATCAATCAAACATAATGTTATATAAATCTACATCAAATTGATTATATTTGTACATTAAGAAAAGTACCTAAAATAAAATTTATAATCATGGAAGAATCCTTAAAAGTCGAATCTCAAATAACCACATGACACTGCCCTTTCCTACACCGACCGAAGCACTTCGCATCATGTATCTTCAAGGCTTTCTAATCCCAGTCACGAAACGCAAAATAAAGAAAAAAATCACCACACTGCAACGCGTACTTACTAAAATTCGCGGTTGCCAGGAAAAAAAGAAATCACAAGCGGAGAAGAGAGCAAAAAGGAGATATAGAGAGAGAGGGCTGCAGGTTTCGCGCAACGCGATACATGGCTGCAGCAGCAATACAGCCTCGGAATGCCGTTGGGTGAGATTTATTGTCGCAGCATTGGCTTAATTAAATCATTTGCATCTCTTGCTTCCTCTTTTTCTCTCGTTAAATAATCACGCTGCAAATTTATCCGGTGGTGGCGGCGATCCAACGCGAGCGTGAATTATCATTCGCGCGCACTTTCCGAATCGGAAGCTGCGCCGATTCGTTCGCGCTTTATAAAAATGCTCTCTCCTGCGCTCTCGCGTGGTTATCGATTCGTTTTGCGTGCACTCCCATGCATCATCCTGTCGGCGAAAATAAGGAGTTCCAGGATTGTACACGTAGCTTGTAGTCTCTTCGGTTCTTGCCGTACAAGTCCCCATCGTATACACGTCGCTCTTAAACGCACCAAGTAGTTTCTTCGTTTTTTCTTTCTCAAAAGCACCGGTATTTTAATGACGCGGTGGATGCACGATTATTTCGTTCCTTATTTTTTTTTGTTTTTGTGGTCGTTGAATTTACATGTTATAAACGATGTGCGCGCGCCTGTGTCTGTGCGTATTTTTTTTTCTACGGAATTTTAATTGCTCGGTCGGTGATTCACGCGCACCTTATTAAAAAGTCTCTCTCGGGTGATTTCGAAACAATCGTTAGATCAGCTGATCGGTCAGATCTGACGCGATGAGATACGTATTTTTTTATCCCAGCGAGTCATTTAATCGAAACGCTTAAAATGTCGCCTCTTGTATCCATCGCTGACTAAGCCAATCGTTTACTGTGCGAGACTACCCGGCAGTATCAACTTACAAGCCACCGAGTCGCAGATATCCTTTCGAACTGTACATAAATCAAAGGTAAAATTGCTTCACTGCAACGAAATAATGTCGAACGAGCCGTGCCGAAAAATCAATTCACAAAGGCCGCAGAGCGAGAAAGGAAAAGGGCGTTCGGCACTTTATCGCTCGTGCTTCCTATCCCGCGAAAAAAGAAGCATTAAAATGCTTCTCTTTCGCGGACCCAAAAATAAACGATTCGCGAGGGCGCGCCCTCGCTATTTTCGTGTGGGTTAAACTCTCTCTCTCTCTCCCAGGCGGAGAGGTGCTATGGCACAAAGGACGTCGCGGCGGCGGCGGCAGTTGAAAGTCTCTCTCTCTCTCTCTCCCTCTTCTCATTTCGCATGGGTTCAGCGGCTCTCCCCCGTGAGCTATAAACCGGTTCGTTCTCTGCTGCTGCTGCTGCTGCTGCTGTTGCTGTTGCTGTTGCACTGCCTATGTATTGGCCACGTTTCCATGCGCTCTTTGGAGAGAAAAAAAGGGACATGACTTACGGGCGCGAACCGCGAGGCTAAGAAAAAGTTGCCAACTTTCTCTTCGTACACCCGCGCTCGTAAGAGAACGCAGAACTGCGCGCAGACGATGGCTCTTTATGCAGATTTCGAATGCTCTTCAGTGGGAAAACTGCGGTGATCGCGAGATTTGTTTTGCGTTCGCCATAGACATTTGATTCTTTTTATCTTTGGTTATCGAACAACCGCGCACCCTGATCAATGTTGCGTAAGCAATTGACAATAAAAGGAAAACAGTCATGGCTACGAGGCGCACAGTTTATCGTTTTCCAATGTGACGTCAATTAGTACTTACCAAGCTGATCATCGATTAACGTGAGGAATAATTTGCATAAATTACTGAACACGGCGCATGACGTTTACGACGACTCGGCATTCGCAAATAAAATGGCAAATTCACAAGTGCGCGCCATTGCCGATTTGTCTATTAAAACGTTGGGCGGATTGTCCGGCATATGCAAATTTCCATCCGTCCCTTTTTGCATAGGCAGAGCACGTTGAGCTACCGTTTCGTCGCGCGCTTGCTTATGAGAGCGGAAAGCGCGCACGGCAAGACTGCGTATGCGAGTGAAAGAAAACGAGCTAAAAAGATTTTAACGAGGCACACGGTGACGAAGTGACAAAAGCGAGCTGATAATTGAGTGGTCGACTACTTTCTTTATTCTACGATCAATTATTTGCTTGTTTGTGCAAAGTTCAACACTTGTTTTAATGCATGGCAATGTGCCTTAAAAGAAGTGTCGTTTACTTGACTAATTGTCGTGGCTAATCAGCCTTGCATATTGTTATGGAAAAAAAGTTTTTTTTTGTTCGACAAATGGGAAAGAATGATGTTACGAGAAACGTGCTGCGGATGTACATCGAGAGGATGAAGCTTCCGTTTCGACAAGAAATAAACCAGTCTCACCGGAAAAATCACATCCTTAAAGACGCTGCCTACTTCCTTGGAGTAGCTTTTGCTTTAAATATCAGCAATTACTTTCTGTAATCTTATAAAATTAACTTCCGATCTTCTTTCTGGGGAATATTACATTACGTTAACCGAAAACGACTTCTAAAAAATGGTGGAATAAGTTTATCACGAGATATACGAGAATAGTAAAGTACACAAGTGAATTTACAACGGTAGCCTTGTTCAAATTCGCCTTATGCTTCGCATTTCCGGTGACTCAAATTGCAATGGAGGTCTGCACCACTCTCGTACAATTGCAAGATTGTCGTCAGCATTTGCCATTTTCGATTCATTGAACTTCAAAAACCTCATGATTTAATCAAATTGACATGTGTTGCTCAATTGACTGTAAACGATGCAGTTTAATTTACTACAGCAACTATCTGTACTTTGGAATATTCGAGACATTTTTGACAGAATCAAGTCTTCGTAAAACCCTTTTGAAACTAATTACATGATCGTCACAGTCAAGCACTTACGACAATGCAATCGAAACGAAAAAAAATTAAAAGAAATAAGTATTTCAACTCCAAAAGCAACACCTCTTTCACCTCTTTTGAATTCGTATAAGGTACCATCGTCATTCCTCTTGTTCTCTCTGTTTCTCTCTCGCAGCACCCCCCTTTCTTTTTTCTCAGTCAGCGTGGTATGTAAAGCGCCGCGGAGACCAAGGAACTCGATTGGCCTTGACCTTGACAGAGATTTCATCTCCTCCCTCTCGGAATTTCCTTGCTGCGCGCGAGTGCGAGACACCAGGAGCCTAATAGTCGTGGCCGCGAGTTACGCTCCTCTCCTCTGGTCTTCCTCTTTGTGTAGCCTTCTGTGCTTACGCGCAGCAGCTACTAATTCAATCTTGCGAGGGGGCTCGCTCGGTTGCACGCCGTAAATCATGTTGCTATCACGAGGAAACTCCTCAACAAAGCGAGGTCACTTCGAGCATCGGGCAGGGCAACGCTATACGTATTGAGCAGCTGTATGGGACTGTTGCTTGTATAGATTAGATGATGTTGTGGATACGTAGCTTATCGTAGGATTTTAAGAATACATTATTTCATTGATTTGCCTTGCATATTTTAATGTGACAAAACACTTTTGTCTTGTTATTACATGCTGATAATCCTTTACTAATTTTCGTATACTCGCTTTAATTCTAAACAATTAATCTGATTAAGCAAGCGTGCAAAGTACGAAGCGACCCATTTTTCTACAATAAATATTTTTCCAATGACTACTTGAAGACTGCTAAAATGAGAATCTCGGTCGAGTGTCTTCGAAGAAAATTTATTTTAACAGGTTGTTTGAGTTACCATCGAAATTAACAATCGTTGAAATGTAGAAAAGGCTAATGAAAAATTAACGAATGTGACGTTAACCAATGAGCGTCGCAGAAAACCCATAAATTCATACAATATACACCAAAGTAATAATGTTTACGTACGCGTAAACGAAGAAATGTCCGAATGTGAAAATCCTTGTGGTCACACGTACATTTTAATGATGCTAATGATTTTCAAGTGAATTTTAATTGACCACAAGTAAAATTATACTTTAGTGGATCGTAAATTGACACCTACAGAAACAGAATATTTTTTAAACATATTGATTTTCTGAGATGTTTTTATTTGCTAGGATATTCATATCATTTAAAGTCTTTATATCTTCCTGTAGTTGTAAAAGGTATTATCATCATGGTATCCCATAAATCCGTCCATATGAATTTGTGTTCTAATCGTTTTTTAACAAAATATCAACTAACAATTCATAAGCAAATATTATTTACGTTTTTAAACATGACTTTATTATTCATTTACATCTTACATTTTAATAGTAATTTATTTTAACTGAACACCTTCCGAAGTAGCATAAAGCTGACGTTTATTATATAAAACCTTAGCCATCTCTTTTAATGCTGCTCTATTAATTTTTCCACTTGGAGTTTTCGGTAATTCTTGTACAAATTCAACCCCTCCACGTAACTTTTTATTTTCTCCAAGAACCAGAGTCAGTGATATAAGCTCCTCTTTTGATACCTGTGCAATATAGAATATTTTTATAATTTCTACAAATAAAATGAAAATTATTGCAAAAAAAAATAGCGTTTTAAACAATCTATACATGAGCATTGACAGATACAAAAGCTAAAGGTTGTTCTGTATCCATCTCATGTGGAATTGGCACAACAGCAACTTCTAATACTGCAGGATGGGATGATAAAATTTCTTCTAACTCTGCTGGGGATATTTGATAATTACGACATTTTATTATATTCTTCAATCTATCAGTTACTATTATTTCACCGTTGTGGTCAAAATAACCTTTATCGCCTGTATGTAGCCAACCTATAATATTGTACAATCAAACAAAAAGTAAAATTCATCGTTTATTTTATTTTGTGAAAATAATATTTTCCGCACACTGCGCGCAAATTAGTGACTGCGCCTTCTATAAGCAGGGAGTACAGCTTGGGGTCGAATTGATACGTGGGTGAGTCAAATAAATCCTTAGAAAAATATAGAAAAAAAATTTTTTTATTTTTCAACATAATCTTCTTTTAGCTCGATTTAGGTGTTCTTCGAGTTTTTTTTAAACCATAAAAAAAAATTTAGATGTTTCTCAAAATATCCACTTGTTTGTATTATAATCGTCTCTTTCGGGATAAATCGTTGTCCAATGAGTCACTTTTCTAGATTTGAGAATAAAAAAACTCACTAGGAGCCAAATCTAGTAAATACGGTGGATGGTCCAATAATTCGAATTTCAATTCTTTAATTTTTGCCATTAAAACTATGCAAGTGTGCACCGGTGTATTATTTTGATGAAACAGGATATTTTTTTGTTCAAATGAGATCGTTTTTTCATTATTTTTCGCTTAGTCGATCCAACAATGACGCATAATACTCTCCGGTGATTGATTGTTCTTTTTCTACTTGTATCCTAAAAAACAATGGCCATAACTTTGCCGGCCGATTTCATTATCTTCACCTTCTTTGGAGGTGGTTGACCTTTTACAATTTACTTTATTGACTGTTCTTTCGTCTCGGGAGTGTAGTGGTGTATCTATATTTCGTCTACAATTATGAATTGACGCAGAAAGTCTCCCGGATTGCGAAGGATGCGCGCCAAGAGGGCCACAGCAGCCACCAAGCGACTGCGTCTGTTCTCGGCTGAAGGCAAACGCGACACCCATCTTGCTGAGATTTTTCTCACGTTCAATTTCTCATGAAAAATCAAAATGACTACGTTTTGAAACTTCTGTGGCCTCAACTAAGTCGCCCAATTTTATTCTTCGGTCACTTAACAACATGTGGATTTTATCAATCATTTCCGGGGTACTCGCGTCTACGGAACAGCACAGCTTGAACGATATTCATCTGCTTTCGATGTACGGCCACGTTTAAATTCATTCACCCAATTGTAAACAGTTGCAAATACAGGGGCAGATTCACCATGAATTGTATCTAACTTAGCTTTGATTTCTTTCGAAGTAAAGCTTTTTAAATAGAAATGTTTTATCGCCGTTGAGAACTGACTTTTCTCCATTGTTAACAATAAGCAACGGTTGTTCACTTTGATCGACGATTTGAACGGAACCACTTCATGTATCTGGCTGAAACTTTGGCAGCACTCTATTTATAAATGATGCTTGCTGTTGCAACATAAGTTTCTAAGGACTTATCAATCCACCCTAGTAGTTTCGCGTATGCGCTACGTAGAAGCTCTATTCTACAACTGCTTATCATCGCCAGTCGGACCCATGAGAGTAAAGTGTTTTGTGCATGCGTGATGCGTCTTTACGACTCTCGATTGCGTCTCGAGAAGTAAACATGACGTACATCACACGCACATAACGCACTTTACTTTCAGAAAGTCAATATGGCTCTATGTCACCAGCAGAGGTCGCAGCATCACTCCTTAACGGGGGTATGCGGAAAAATCGTATGTGCCCCACAGAAGTACAGTAGGCAAGCCACGCTCTGTGTGAAATGCCGATCGAGTCTGCTTAGCTCGGTCAACAACATCAAACAGTGCGTCCATTGTCTCCTGTGCTTCCTTGGTACATAATGTTATTACCGTCTTCGTCTATCGCGTTTCTTGTCTCTTCGGGATTCTTGTAATAACCCAGCATAAGTGTCGGCTGTTTGACACAAATTTCACCTTCTTGATTTTGACCGAGAATTTGGTGATTATCAACGTCTATTATTTTTATTTTAGTGTTCGACGTAACGAAACCAACAGAATCAAGATTTTCTATCTTTTCTGTTTGAGTTGCAACCATACGCCCGGTTTCTGTTGATCCTGTGGTTTGAGTTTGGAAACATTTAAACTTTCATACAAAGGTACTATTTATACTAATATTTATTTTAGACGTAATACCAACCATAAGCTTGGTATATAAAAGCATTTGGCAATTGCTCTTGAAAATCTTTTAAAATTTCTTGACTGATTTTCACACCACCAGTGCAAATATTTTCTAAGGATCTTAAATCATATTTATTAAAAGCTTTCAATTTACGTAAATAATTGATTATAACAGGTGACATAAACATTCTCTCAACCTAAAATCAGAATACATTTGTAATAATAAAATTCTACTTTTAAAATAAAACTAATAGTTAAGCAACTATTATTAAATTGAGTTTTTGACAAATTTGTTTAGTTAAAAAAACAAACTTTACTATTACATAAACTCAACATTCATCAGGACAAAATATTGGTAACTTAAAAAAAGCCTGCCTTGTATTTTTGAATAGCCTTGCAGCCTTCATCAACGTCCCATTTTTTCAAAGTGATTCTCGTTCCTTTAGTGAACGTAGAAACAAACATGTACATAATACCAGTCAACCAATAAACTGTCGATGTACACAAAGCTACTCCTTTCAATGGATATACTGTGAACGCTTGTACCAGTTTTAAGAAATTTTTATAAGAATGCATAACACCTTTTGGAGCGCCAGTACTACCAGAGGTTAATAAAATAATAGAAATTGCATCTCGATTTTCGATTCGCATAGGATGAAACATTCGAATTTTAGCACTGTATTGGACTTTTAGTATATCATCTAATGAATTAATATTACGATAATTTCCAAAAACAATCATTTCTGTTTTTACATTTTCCAACTTTGCTGCTTCCAATAAAACCTCAATGGCAGACTCGCATACAAATATTAATTTTGGTTCAAAAAGTTTCATCAAATGTCTCGCCGCTTCTACGAAACGAACCGAAATTTTTTACCATAATCATTTCATATTCAGATAGGTTTAGTAAATTAAGAACTTTATTTGAGATCAATAGATTTCCTTACGCAGACCAACTTCATGATCCCATCCATTAAAAGTTGCTCCTAAGTAAAAAGTAGCAAAAATTGGCACGTACGTATCCAAGTGATTATAAGAGCAAATCGTAATAATATCCCCTAGTTTTACACCATATTCCTTCATCCACAAAGCACACCTTATACTGCGGTCTTTCATTTCAGCAAATGTAGTTTTTAGATCGGTTTCTGCATCGATCTGATTGCGTAACATTTTAAATTTGTCATCGAATGGAATATCACCCAATGATATATTTCAATACGTTCGAGAATTATTTCGAATATCACAAATCATTAATTACCTGTGCGACATGGTCTGGGGTAGAATCCAATGTATTTAATATAGCCTCACCAATATTAGGATTTTCTTCAGTTTCAACAATAATACCTTTCAAAATATTATCCTCAATTGTGAAATTCTCAATATCCTAAAAAAACAATGGATCACAAAACAGAATTGTTTATTTATTTCACAAACTTACAAGTTTAATCGGAATTTTCAAAGCCATTTTCCGTTTGCAAGCGACAAACTCGAATCTACGCGGAAAACTGAAAGTGACTGTTCGTATGCTAAGCTAGTTATATGTTAATAACTGATTACGTTAGTACATAAAAGTATTCTGACAGATATGATTTACGTGTATAATAGATATACTACTACGATACTACGATATGTTATCTTCAGCGTTAAAGATTAATGACAATAATTGTGATAAAGGAAAAAAAGATCGCAATCAACACGATGTAGCTTATACTGTAAATATATTGTTATTGTTGTTGTTACTTTAAAAACTATATTCATTTTGAACGCTAGAAAATAAAAACAATCAAATATAAACTAAAAATATGGTCCTTTTCTCTCCAGAACGTTTATATATCCAGTGCACAGCAGCAGCTGCTGCTGCAGTGATGTAATATCTCAGCTCCCGACAAGACGCGCTAGTTTACGTTCGCTGCTCTACTCGCTCGAGGCGATACACTTTTTATTTTTGCACAAGCTTACATACCCAGACATAGCGAATTAGGTAACAGAGAGGCTCATGTCTTTCTCTCTACCTCTTGTTTTCTCTCTCTCTTTCTGTGTGTCTCTGAGCTTGTTGTACACTGATTGATTCGCATGTGGCGTGCACGTTTTGAGGTCGAGTCTCTACGCTAGGCCTTGGAGCCTATAGTGCGAGTGCATGTACCACACGATTGGTAATTAAGCCAATGAGTAGAGTGGCAAATCCATTTGCCGGTTTATTGCTTCGTTCAATAACGGTTTCTTTTTGCCTTCTTCGAGTTTGGCATTGCTTTTGTGGTTGAGGAATTGAATGTGTTTTGAGGCTTCACTCATAATAGACTCGGACAATAATTATTGTCGATAATATCGACACAGCACTCTTGATTGGCTGAACAACCGATCATTGTGGATCGTTAATGGATACAACAGAGAGGCCTTTTGTCGCATTTAATGCATCAAATTAAATTTTCAGGTCAGTGCGTGATGATCTCGTTTTTCCTCTCTTCAACTACTCACCTTATTTTTGACATCGCATACCCCGTCCGCATGACAATGATCACATGAGACGGTGATTGAATAATTATTATACCGGCACTTGTATAATTGATGTTTACTAAAATCGGCGTATAAAAACAGTTTTCTCTTCATCTTTTCCATTACCCAGCACGTGTCGTCATCGTAGGTCATGTGGTGAATGTATTACCAAAGTCACGGCAGTTAACCGATCGCTTAATCTTCTCGCGTTCGAAGAGACATGTTATATACACGCGCGCTGGCGCGCGATTCGAAATGCTCGCTCGCTTGCGTCATGCGGACGATGAACCGCGGCGCGAGGAGCTCTCTCTCTACTGGTTTTTTCGGCGGTGATCCTTATACACACACGCGCGCGCAATTCTTTGTCTCTCTCTCCCTCCCTCTCTATACTTTTTTTCTTCCTTTTCTTTATTCGGAATTCGATCGCGCATTTGCATGCCACGCGCGAGTTTTTGGATTGCTATAAAAAACAACTGTTTTTTTTCTCGAGTGAAGCTTGCGAGTGCGGTTCTTGCGAACTCGATTCGCTCGATAGACACCATTTTACAAACTACGCACAGCTATTGCGATTGCGCAGGATGATTCGCAATTTTTCGTTCAAAACTATTTTTAAATCCGGTCTCTTATATTCCTTCATTGTTTTTCTTTCTCGGAAACGAATAATTAAGAGCGAAGCGTATGCATATGGTACACAGCAATAAAACATTCAATTAGCACTGAATAAAAATTCTTGGAATTATAGCGAGCGAAGAAACGACAGTTCCGTCGCGCGGTGATGAGACAGAAGAAATACGAAAAAAAAAACAGGGAAAAAAAGAGAAAACGAGTTTCTCGAAGGAGCGAGAGAGTGGACATCGTGAATTTCAAAGTCACACAAGGTGTCTACTAACGACTACACTTCGCCGGGGATATATCGTAAGGCGAGCCAATGTTCGCGACCCGCATAAAAACGATACCTGTACGCGTGCGCGCGCGAACCGCAAGAAACTCGCCTCGCTCTTTTACTGCCAATTCGGCTTTCCTTGAATTTTGGATTTTTAATGACTGCCGTGGCTTTCACGAATACTGCTGATGAATTTCGAGTTGCCTATTGTTTCCATGCGTTAATGACATTTCTCACAAACAGCTTGGATATTCCAAAGAGAAAATTACTGTTCTTATCTAAACATCCGAGCGAGTATAATGAAATCTTCAGGTATCCGAAGACATGTCGAGATGAAAGCGAGTGGCAGCTTTACGAAACACTTACCGTTATAGTATCTTCATCCTCTTTGTCAGTTAGAAATCTGTTTAACATATATCCTGAAATATTACCTCGCTCAATAGCGCCAAATACTGATCCATACGTCCTATATTCCAGGCACTGTCCATTATACATCGCGTGCAGAGTTGCGTCACTCGATTGCACCGCATGGCCGTGAAAGTGTGCGGTCCTTTCATCCAGGAAGAAGAAAAAGAAGAGGTGGCATGGTGTTTTATATATAACGAGTTGAAACTTAAATTAATAAATAAGAGCTTGGCTTTCACCTGTTTAACGCATGTCCGGGGATTCGTTACTCTTGGGACTCGAATGAAATGCGTTTAACGTTGAATAATGAAAGATAGAGATTTTTCCGCGCGCCTATACGTGTTATTAGCATCAAAATTGTTGGCTCTAACTAGTCCCCTATATCGCCTTAGTATTAAAAAGTTTGGGATTATAAGATGTTATTCAAGTTATACATTTTGGTTTCGTTCATTTCCTAACGACATATCATTAGCGATGACAAAAGCATTTTTTTCCCCGAGTGTCACGCCCAGCTAGGTTCATACCGATCATCGATCGACCTTTTCTTCTTTGTTCAGCAATTACGATGCTCATTGTTCTTATCAGATTGTCGAGTCCTAACCACGCAGTCAGTGTTATAAATAGTTAATCGCATCGATTGCTTCGCTCGCAGCATCGCGCCTGAGAATACAATTACGCTATAGCTATCGAGGTTGCATCTGCCCAGGAATTTCCAACGCCATCAGTCAGCATCGTTAGCAGGCCTGCCGGAAAGAAACCCAAGCGTCGCTCGAGAGATGGAGCGCGGGCGATGGAAATGAAGCGGCGGCCAATGAAAGAAACGTAAGCCTGTCGCTTACGGACGCCGCGCTCGCGGTCAGTTCGATAGTAACCATCATTGCGCTGCGTTCGTAGAACGTCGCTTTTCCAATGCTTTCGAAAGGCCGTTCGTCGTTTTTCGGCAAAAACGCGTCGTCCAGCAATGCTGGTAAGAAACGTTCGAGTCGTAGAGCGTGGATAGCCCTAAGTACAAGATCAGAACAAGAACCCGAGCAGCCGAAAAGCAGACTTAAAATTCTTGAGGACGTCGACGACGACGACGACGGGTGAATAACAATTATTTTCTTCCTTTTCCTATCGTGACAGCGATAAAGGTCTGCTGCATGCCTCCTTTTTACGCAAGTTTGCTGCACGCATCTGCGCTTACTTTTCTACATATATACCCAACACGATCATTGTGATGTAATTTTCGTGACATTGTTAATGATGTAATTCTCGACCGTAGATGTTTGCAGCGTTATATAAGTGTACATGGGAAATCTATTTGCGCGTGCCAGGGTGATCGTTGTAATGGATTTTTATTCGTTTGTCCGTGACATTTAGAATTAAGATCGAGTGAGAACTATTTTTCGTTGTTAAGAACAGCGCGTTGGCGAATCCCGTTGTATTTTTACACTTTCGAATATTCGTTCCAAAATTGCTATACCTACCCCCTTCCCAAAAAAAAAAAAAAAACAAACCAATAGAGACGGTATCATTGAATAAGGACGTATATGCTCGGCGAGGCGGAAAGTGTACCGATTGCATAGGCGATGTAAAAAAAGTCAGGCTAAATGGAATGAGAGGTGCGCTGCTCATCAGCCTTGACCTACGCCGCGTCGCTCGTGATGGGAACACCATCGCTTCTTTTTCGAAGCGGACGATCGTTGTGGCAACCTCACGATGCCGAAACAAAGATAAATCACTACACGTAGGAGGCTTTTATGGATCCCTAATGATGCGTTAGGTGTTTTAATTGATAATTTATTGTCAGCTCAAGATTGTTATTGTAACTGTATTATATAGTTGCTATTTTTTATGTGCCGTAGACGAAGATTCTGATAAGACTCAAACCGAATAAACGTATTTTTAAGCCAATTCACATTTAATAATATTGATCGAATGCTGGCAATCGTGATTTCGAACCCCGTTGTGCCGTTAAGGGTCGGTAATTCAGATCTCCCGAAAAGTTTTTCACATTGCGCAGCAACCATAACGTTCTCGAAATTGACATGGTGAAAGCCCCTTTAAAGTACGAAAGAGAAAGAGCAGCCCTTGTTCGTGTCGGCAATCCGACTACAGCCGAACTTAGCCGAGTCGCTCATCTTTCCTGTTGTATTACCGGTTTTCCCTCTCTCTCTCTCTCTCTCCCGTTCTTTTCGAGCCTTTCTGCGGCATTCCCACACACGGAGAAGACTGCCGCTGCTGCCTTCTGGAGACTCGTCGCTCCGTGTGCGCCTGTGTGTGTGTGCATTGTTCCTCGCGTCCTTTCATGCACATCCTTTTCCGCGAGGTTTTCGCCAAAAATCACGTCGAGTGTTCCGCGAGCTGTGCGTCCGTGCGCGGCCTGGTGTATTTTCATTTCTCTTTCAGCGTGAGCTTCGAACGTCAAGAGATGAATTCTTACGGGTAAGCATTTCTGTCTATGCGCGTTGCTATGTGCCACATACATATTTCTCTCTCTCTCTCTCTCTCTCTCTCTCTCTCTCTCTCTATCGAGAAAGAGAGAGGATGCGTGAGAAAGGTCGTGGATGATTTATGCGTCGAGTGCGTGCTTTTTCTCGCGCACGACGACATTTGTAAGTCTTTGTGCTCGAGAGTCAAGGGTGTGAGCAAATCGATTCTCACCAGCTGCTAAATTCCCTGGTGTGCGGAAATGTAAATTCGCAACGCTAAAACTTTAACTCAAAAACAAGTAAAATTTTGTTATTGTTAATTTGACGAATCGTCGTATGTTTTCAAAAGCTTATCAAACTTTTTAGTCGCCTGCGTTATTTTCCCTTCCTTTATAATTCGTTCAACGTCAATTTCTACCTCGTACGCTTTGTCCTCCTCAGCCGGTGCGCAATAGTCTAATAATGATGATCATCGAGAATTGTCGTGAAGCTCTCGCGGCGTCGGTGATTTAAAATTTTTTTTCCTAAACCCTTCCCCCACGATGATCAGACCTTGAAGCTCAATTTTGCAGCGCATGCGCTCGTGAATTTTCGCGCTCGGAATCTTGTTAATGCTAAAGGGGGTGGTTGAACAACCATTCAATTTTTTTTATAGACGAGATAGTTGTAACAATATAACGCTAAATTATAATAACGATCTTCTGCTGACTTTGCTTGGTCTGGTTGCTTAACAACAGTAACAGAATATTCTATCTCGGCTGCAGTGTCATCGAACCAAGTGGCCAAGGTAACAGTACTTATTACTGACATTGTACCAGTTCTCTCGCTAGTTTCTGACGTTTGCCATCGTAAATCAGTGAACGTTTCCTTCTTTAACGAGTAATTATGTCTACTTAAGATGAAAACTCGCATGTTTCAACGTCGCTTATATTCTTTTGAGCTCTCGGTAAATATGCCTCACATTTATTTTGTTGAGAATAGTGAAATGGAAAATAAACATTCACAGATTAATATCAATGAATGACTTTGCAAAATAGTCGTAATAAATTCTTAAATAAATAACTGCCATTTTTCGATAGCATTGATTTTTGAAAATTCACAAAAACATTTCTTCCGTAACTGTTTTTAAGAATTAAGAAATGCAACGTGAAACATTTTCGTAAGTTAAAACACGTGGGACATTCAACGTCTGCTCGCAATTTCCACGGATTCCCGCGTGCAGGGTCCCTTCCTATGTTTCAGTTGTTGCCGATATTTCCCCCGAGATAAACTTCTCCTTTTCAGATCGCCATTCCTGGCATAGTGTTCAGTCAGGTATTGCGATCATTGTAGATCCGGTATTTCGCGAGATTTTATTTCCATAGGGTCACTTTTTTCTCCTACTCGTCAGTATCTTTGTTGAGCAATGAGCGAGAACAACTAAATCATTTTCTAACGGCAATTGTGTTGCATAATACGCTTCTTTGTAAAAATTACATAACTTTTCTATGAATTGCTCCGCAGAATCGTCGAATTAATCATTCGAACAGATAATTATTAAACAATTTTCAAAAAAGAGCAGAAACTCTAATTATTCAAAATTGTTAACCCGAACAACAAAGTACTTCCGGGATCATATTCGTTCATCATAAGCTCAATCTTTTTTTTTTACTTTTGCAAACGAATTTGCTTAGACCGCTTACGTGTACTGTACATCTATCTCAATTCTTGCATATACAGAAAACAATACCTAAGTATGTGGTCAACAACATGGAGTTATTCCACTATTCAAAAATTCCATTGAATAGCTTTGGCGCGTTGTTTTGAAGACGGGTAAGCCTTTGATGTTGGAATTCCCAAAACAAACGGAGAATTTCCGAATTATGTCACGCGCAATGCACGCGCACGTCTGCACACGCCGTCTATTGTTCTCCTTTTGCTCGTTTGACTTGCGTACAACCGAGCTCAATTTTCAGGCGATACATCCAATACCCAAGGAACGACCGTAACGGCACATTCTTATCTCGAAAAGAAAAAAGAAAAGCAACAACAACAAAAATGCAGGGGAGCGCATTTTTACCGTAAATTTCGAAGCGACGTGCGCACTTTTGTTTAGGCACGAGGATGCCACGTGAACAGTATAGCAACCTGACTTGCTTGCGCTTGTCAATTCGTGGCAATTGAATACAATCTCGCGCGCGCGCGCGCGTCTAATATCAATGGAGACACCGATTTTCGCGAATCCGTCGATCGATCGCGTATTTCATTGTGACTGGGACTGTTACAATAACAAGTTTGTCGATATTTTTTTGTCTTTCCTTTCGTTCGAAGCGCGTCGTGCGCGCGCGTGGCTCGATAGAAAAGAAAGGATCCTATTTATAGTTGTTCCAGATGAGTCCTCTTGAAACCTTATGAATAGACGGACAGATTACAGATTTCCTGTAGGACGAAAAAAATAAAATAAAAAGAAGCACAGATCCATGCGCGAGCGCCATTATCAAACGTTGTCTTAAGATTAATAATCGTCTCTGATCGATCGTTAAATAGCGAATAGAAAGGAGAGCGCGGTAGCATCATCGCACACAGGTCCAGTCCTATCCCCTTATATATCGACTTCTTCCCCATATACAGCCTCTCTCTCTCACTCTCTCTCCTTTTTCTGGTCCGTCTGCCGGTCTGCGTGCTTTGCTGACTGCGCGCGCGTCTCCCTCCGCGACGCGTGTAGCAGCAGTCGGTCTGCCGCTGCCTTTCGCGTGGCCTCGCACTTTTTTATTCGCCCGACGTGACACAAAATAGCGTAACAGTGCCGCAGCAACCAAGCTTTGTATATGAAGCGTGCTGAAAAGGAGTACGCGAACATGAGGTTGAGGAATCTGTTGCCACAGCGTGGTGTTTACAAGTGAGTCTACCTGCGTTCGTGAGTTATTGGGTTGACTATCTTTCAGTTGAGGTTAGGCTAGTGTGGGCTTTTTTGTTTTGTTTCGTCCGATTTTTCGAGCGGAATGCGCGCTGCGGATACGCCGAGATACTTCGGACCGTTTTTATCAGATTTAATGTTTTAACTTCGATTGCAAGGGCACTAAAGGGACAAGATCGTCGAACTCGTAATAACGCAAAGTCAAATTTTTCATTTGAAAAACCATTTGTGCTTCCACAATTCTGCTGCGAAGATGGAGCCGCGCAAACACAAGTGATGTAAAGACAAGCGATACGCCATCGAATGAAAGCGCCCGATGGACACCTCGCGTAAACAAACCGACTTTAGGGAGAAAATGGATCGCCACGGCAACAAGCACACGTGCGCGCTTCGTTCTGCGTTGCGTTGAACTCGCCGCGCAGGACAATAACTCCAGGTTTTTCGCGGGAATCGAACGCACACGAAGTTAAGGGACGACCGACAAAGATTTCTCTCGGCTTCCTTTGTTGGTTTTCTACGGTCTCTTTCTCCTCTCCATCCCTGTCGTTGCCGTCGTCGTCCCTTTTTCCTTTTTCGTTGTTGTTGCTTGTTGTGCCCGCATTGTTCGCCGGATTATCGACTTTTTTACATCTGTACCCTTGCAACTTGTAAATTGGATTGCTTTTTTTTTTATCTTGGCCGTAATGCAGTTATTTTCTTAGGCTTGGTGATACGTTAATGAGAGATCATTATTACCGTAAAATTTTTGAACAGCAATTAAACGCTTATTAAAATTCGTAATTAAATGTACTTTAGCATAACTTGATTTGAAAAGCTATCGTTTCACGAGATTAACGATTGGTATATAATTTCATTTTCGTCTTCACGAGGCGTGAATGCTATATTAATATACAGTTAAGCATAATCATTAACAACCGAAATCATAATCGTAACTGTTTACAGTCACAAGTTATTAGTGAGGCATTTTGATGAGCTTACAATTGCTGTTAAAAGTTTTACTGCAATGACCAAGGCAAACGTTGCCTTGTCGTAATTACAATTACACGCTACTACGAAGGAATAAAAAAAATTAATTTTATAAATTGAAATGCAACAATTGTGCTTAATCAAATGTTTATTCTTTCTGTTCCAGGTAAGTCCCAAGAGCAGCTTGCACTGCACTATACATATATGTATACCCGCAGTTCGCATTTCGTGAGTTTGCAATTAGTTATACTTCCTCAGTGTTTTTATATTTTACTTTTATTTTACGCTACCGCATCCACAAACCCCATCCAAAACAACAATATCAAAAATCCTTAAGCGACAGCACAGAGGCTCTCTTTGATTGTCAGCTGAACGTGCGAAACTCGATGATAAAATAAACAAACCGCGACGGCGACGTCTTTAATTGTAAGTATATATCCTCTCCTTTGACAATTCTTCGAACTTAGCTGCTGCGATAGATCATTCATTGTGCCTCGCGTGCAAGCGAACGTCGATCTCCTGAATGCAAATTTTGCTTGATCGAATGACGATGCAGTGTTTTTACTATTACTATTTATTTTTTTGAGAATGCCGTTTACTGAATTATTATTTTCGCTCGCATGCCGATTTCGAGCTGCGTGTACGAGTGTGCCGACGAACTTTTTCGTCCAAGTGAAAAAGAGCACGATAATTGTGAATAATTGATTGGACACTTGGGTATGCAAATGCCTAGCTGTATTCAATTTTTCTACTGTGGCAATCACCGATAATAATCGCTGCAATGTGCAGCCGGTAGTATCAAAGCCTACTATTATCAGACAGACGTTGCGAGTAGAAGAGTGTCTAATTGAACTTTTATACGCTGTGTATGCGCATATATAAGCAGTTTGCACAAGTGAAAGGACGCGATTGTTCGCTTTAAAGTACATTAACTTTCAAAGTATCTAGTTCAATCTTACAAACTGAAGAGCTTAGAAGATTTTTTTTTCAAACTGAATGATTCTCACGAATAAATTCAGAAATCTATTGAAGCCTTTGTACTTTCGATGACGTATTGTTTGATGAAACGTGTCGCGATTCATACGATAATTCGTCAGTTACGTTTCGCTCCTTTGAAATGTAGAAAATTCGGATTAGCTTCTTTAAATGAATCATTTGGTGATCGTTGCATTTCACCGAAAAAATTTCAATTCACCATCAGTTGGAAGTTCGACGCGCATCTATTGTCGAAGAAGCCTTCTCAAAAACTCGAATTTTCCCTCTTGGGCAGGAGAAAGAAAAAGGAAAAACACACGTGAGAGCGACACTGACGATAAGTTCTTGCGTGTAAAGGTAGGGGGAGAATGAGTTTTGGAATCGCGAGTGAGAGAAATGCGCGTTGCCCCTCCCTTCTCTTCTCAGTGTTCCAACGACACATACACGTGAGCGAGTAACTCTCGGTAGTCGTAGCTTCGCGCCCGAGCGCGCCGCATCGAGACTCCTACATCTCTCCGCTTTTTTTTGTGTATTTTCTTTTTATTTTTATTTTTCGTTTGTGTGAATTTTTTCCTTTTTTTTGTGAAGCTTATCACGTGATTTTCGTATTGTTTGTTCCCCTCACGCTTTGATTTTCTTTGGACTGAAGTTTGCTGTTTTGGTTTGTCTTTCCGTTCTCACGATATTTTGTTTGCGTATAGACTCCTCCAAGAGATCTCGAGATAAAGACTTCGTCAGTTTCGGTAGTTTACCAAACCATTCGATTTACGACGAAGGGTTAAACGTACTTGCGGGAGTAATAAATTGTTGCCGCACGAGCGTTTGGAGGCGTTAGAAAACAGCGAATCTTATTATCATATCTTCCAGAAGTGCAAATACAGCCTGTCAGTGTGTAGCTTCTCAAAACGTTCTACCTCTAAAGAAGCTCTTTCCAGCTCGCTTCGCAAACGTCGTAAACTTAACAAACACATCTACGGTAGCTTCATAGAATTTTCACTCGCGTGCGCAGCGTCGATAAATCGCACGGATCCTTACGCAATGCGCTCAAACCAAACACGGAATCAAAATATATCATTCGAACAGCTATACGTCTTTTGTTTGCTACGCGCTATCTCGCGCGCAAGTTTTTCCCATGAGCGTAAAAGGAAACTGTGCCCCCGAGCGCGCGCATCATCTCGTTCATTCAATCAATTAACGACTCCTACTGTATAATCGATGAATTAACTCGATCTAACGTCCACTCGAAATTCCACTTGTGTTACGCGTTTTTCTTTTTTTTTTCTTTTTCGTCGTGTTGGACGGATTCGCGACTGGCTTCGTTCTGTGCTGCAGTTGTGTGCAGCCAGCCGGTAAGTTTAACGTACAGTATGCGGCGCCGTTAACCTCTCGACGCATATACAGTGGAGTTCCCTCTGCGCGCCTTTGCGCGTAAGGATCACCACCGCGATATGATAATGTGTATACCTGGAACTTTCGTTCGTAGATAATTGGTCGCGTTTGTTGTTGTTTTTTTTTCAATTATAATTGTTATTACGTATTGGAATACCAAAGCGATGACGGGTTAACACATCGTTGGAATTATGGTAATGAAACCATCTATTTTAACGAAGTTAATGGGTGATAGGTAAACGTTGAAGAAACTTCGTTAGGTCAAATAAATCACGGACGTCGACTTGCTTAACATATTCGATATATAGGCGTTCGATCGAAAAATCAGCGTGCAACTCCGTGTATTATTTATCACGCGAGATAGTTTTGAATTTCTCTCTCTCCGGCACGTGTACAATATACGATAAAATAAGCGCGCGTCACGTGAAAAACGAACACGTACAATGCAATTCTAATCAGCCCAGAAAATCATATCGAAGGGCATAAGGAACGATCCCGCGGAGAGATAGACAGCGAGGCAAATGTACGCGAGGTTCTTTGTTGCACCCACGCGCGAGAGAGAGCTAAAAGAAAAAAAAAATGGTAAATTACAAGTTGGAAATTATCGTTTCACACCCACCCATAAAACCAAACGAGAAGCGAATAAGAGAGCTACAGCCGAGGTGGTTTCTGGTTTGCCCGAAAAAAAAAATGTTAATAATTTATGACGCGACCGCCGTGCCAGAGCCTCGTGTCATCCGAGCAACTTGATTCACGGAATTTTTATCGGACGGGCTGCTCTCAAGGGTCACCGAAAAAGATGTTTCCTTTCTTTCTTTTTCGACGAGGACGACTCGATTGGTCAGCGCGATTTCCCGTGAACGTGTATAATTGTCGATGGTAACCTGTTCTGTCAAACGTATCCCGCGCGCGCGCGCGTGAGAAAAGCAGTCGTCGTCATTATAATGAAACGCTCGAGATCGCGGCGGCGCATTCACCTCCTCGGGCGCCACGAGAGCACGTAACGCGTACGAAAGGAAATGAAGGGAAAAAAAAGAAGCGATAGGTATATCGCACGCGAGAGACGTGGCGGTGTCGGCGAAGGGGGCCCGTGTTATATATGCAGTTGGCGGCGGCTCCTGCGGCGACTTTTATCAAGCGTTCTCGAGCGTAATCGCAGATGCAGTACTTCTGCTGCTTCTTGAGTTATTGTTTTGACAGGGATACATGCGTCGCGATGACTTATCTACATATCAGCTTTTCATTTCGAACGGCACGCGCGTTGCGCTCTGTCTATTCGTTTGCCGAACTTATATATCAATTACCAAAACAAATAAAATAATTATCTCGAACGAAAAGTGTGGAAGCTGAAAGCTAACCGCGGACAAAGGCTGAAGGCATCGGAAGGCACGTTGACGAGTCGTCTGACGCAATAATAGCAATATATTCCTGCGCTTAGCGCCGTCCCTTGCGCCGTTGCACCGGCGTCCCCTTTTCGTAATGCTTCGGTAAATTTTTGTGAATGAGTCAACAGGCGCGCGCGCGCTCGCGTGGCCTTGAATGTTCGGTTGCAGCTGCTCCTGCCGCCCAATGATGCCGCGCGAGTTTTCACATTGGGAGCATAAAGAGCAGCTTAGGCATCTCGGCTGAACTTCCGGTGAAAGCGATCAATGGAAAACGTTTCGGTTACGTGTATAAGAAAAGCAAATAACTGACGTAGCGCATTTTGTAGAATGTTGCGTCGGCTCGCCGTTATCGAAAATAATTTTTAGTTTAGATATTTTTGTCATTTGCGTTTACTCACTACTCCGTAATCGTCGTTGGAATTTGAATGAAACTTTTTACGAATTAGAAATTTTGAGTTTCTTGTTGGAAAAAAAGAAATATATATACATATTTCCATGATAAAATTAACTAAAATTCCGTAAATAACTTGAAAAATAAAAAAGAAACAGCGCAGTATATCATTTGAAATTCAAAGTAAGCATTAGGAGCCGTCAACCATGCCAATGCACATGTTCTTCTTGTATTTCATTATCATCACGAGGAACATCTTTGCCGCGCGGCGTAGCGCCAAGGCGCATCCCTCGGGCGGTTTCCATATGAGTTTCGGAGGATTATTACCTGCCTGTATCACCCATCATCTAGGATTCAAAAAAGATGCTTTCTTATCTCTCTCTCTCTCTCTCTCTCTCTCTCTCTCTCTCTCTCTCTCTCTCTCACACACACACACACACACACACACACACACACAGACACACAGACTCGCGACGCGTGACCGGGATAACACGAATACGCTCGACAAAAGAAAGAAAAGTAGTTTAATTATCAGAGGAGACGATAGCGAAACGTAAAAATAGAAGTGCAAGCTGTGCCCGAGCGCACACGCGACTGTCTAGACGTCGCGCGGGATTAGTTACACGTTCGTAAGAAATTGAGCACGGTGCGATTGGGACAATTGCTATCAAAGACTGCACCCACGAAGGTGTAAGCGAGGATTAAATTAGGGTTAACGTCGCGACTTGCAGCGACTCTTTCGGAATAATATTGGCACGGCCGTGCGAATATAAACGATCCGAATGGTTTGGTAAACACGCAAGCTCGAAGGAAAAGAAAAAGAAATTGTCGAGAGAAGGTTAATTTCTTTTACGGAAATTTAATACACTGACTATGCACCGACAGCTGTGCCTTGAATTTGACCGAAAATCAAGGGGCTTCGGCGAAGCATTTTTTTCTTTTGTTTTTTTGGCGAACAGGTGGTACGTAATACTCCTATGCAGAGGAAGTACGCTTACCACAACGGGACCTTCACTTTTTACTTTCTCGTGCAGAAAAAAAATAGTTACATCGAGGCGTCAATGCTTTGATGCGATTTGTAAGAAACTAATCGTCATTTAACCGTGTGGCTTATTGCGAAAAATCCTCTGTACGAAGCGACGATCGACAGTTGCGAAGCACCTTCTCTCGACAAGCTCAACGAAAACACGAAGAATCTAACTCTGTCTTAAAAAAATGAAAACGAAGGCGAGAGACGAGCGCATGGTGGTGCCGTGAGTGTCGGCGTCTGAGCGAGATGCATTATCCACATCACAACCCATAGCACAATTCCAACTACTGCGAGTACCATCGAGTGTCGAAGATACCGACGTTTAAAGTACGACAGCGCCAGTGGTACAACGCCATAGGTCGCGCTATGGGACTAAGCGAGATACCCGAGCAGATGGCATCCTCGTATTATCCAACCCTAACGCGCGAGGAAAAAGCCCGAATGCATCCTTGCAGGAAGGCCAAGTGGTACGTAGTTGCTGTTGTTGTTGTCAGTGTCGTTGTCTCGTTTGCTTGTGTGAGGCTTGTTCTTTTCGCTTGTAATTATTGAGAACGACGCGCGACGTTTCAGCCTCGCGACGGAAAAAGATCTAAACCTGCAACGTGGAGGTGGAACGCGCGCGAATAGAGCGACTAAGCTTGATTTAACGCACTCGAGTTTGATTTACGACCGAGAGCTTGTTCTCTTTTTTCTCGAGTAATCTTCTTCGGTGCGCGCCACTTTCTAATCAGTGTCGCGTTTCGTTATCAAATAACGAATTCACGTTTTCGATTGCGCGAGCGATTAAATGCCGTTCGGTCGAGGCCAATTTTGCTGCACAAATACGTTCGCGCTCGATTACACGGGGTGTTGAACGTCAGGGTGGACCAAGGGCTGAACGAACGCGAGACTCGTGCACCAACTAAAAAAGAAATGTCATACGAATTCCCCACGCATTAGCCCACCAATGACAAGTTCAATTCTTCGCACAGGAAAACCCATCTAGTATTCCCCATGAACTCGTCTGATGCTTTGTCGCTTGAGTAGATTGACGTAAGGTGAAAGATCGCCGTTGTCAATTAAGATTGATCAATCGTGGTGGAAAAGGAAACGAATCAATGAAGACGTCGTACATCGTCGCGTGCAAAACTAAACTGACGGACGTACCCAATTAGAAGACAAGCATTTGAAAATTATTATCGTTTACCTTATGAAGGTGTCGTGCGATAACGAGCTTAAAATATATTGAGTGACGTTTATATAAGTCTTAGGACGAAATGGAGATTGATTGGTAATATTAATAAATAAATATGCTACTTCTTGTGTACGACAGTTCGATGCGCTGGGATCTTGTCGCTCGTTTGATTTATCATTTGGATAATGTTTTTAGGCATCCGAATGTTGCACGCAATCAATAGTTTTCTTTTGAAATGGTACGGATTTATTTTTCTTTGCGTTGTTGTAGCTATAATTTTGATTAAATAATATAAATAATGTAATTATTGCTATCGATAGATATACATAATGATGTTATATTTTTACTCACTCTTATAATTAACAATTATCTGTACTCGTAGATCGTTATGATTTACATACCCTCATGCATATATTTATGAATACACCTACTATATTTATCCCTTTATTATTTTTCCAATACGTTCGAAGTATAAATGATTCATTTCAAATAAATATTTTCAATGAAAAATTAAATTATATGTTTTTTCAATAGATCTTTGAAAAAAAAATCAATTTTTCAGAAAACCTATCCGTCAAAATCCGTCTACCATCACGTTTATCCATCTTCCATTATTGTCAAGTTTTGCACCATGTAATTTCGTCTCATCTGCTTCCAGTGTTATGATGTCGACGGACACATCACCGACGCTCACAGCATCGTTACAATCAGCAGGCTACGTCGAGCTGCCAGACGAGCCACGACCAGGCAAAATAACACCCACAACGCCAACGACCAACACGACTAATTCGTCACCGTCACCGCGGGCAGCAACGAGTCGTAGTAACGGTGGTAGCAGCAGTCACGAGGAAGAGGAAGTTATCGAAGAAGCTGAGGTTCCAATCGTGCGTACGACACTGCCATCGCCAGAACCACGACCGTTAATCGAACACAATGGTTACAAGGAACACGACAGGTTGGACGGCGTTGCTATGGCCAACAGCAATGGACTGAAGAAGCCAGCTTTCCAAGAGCGACGTGACGTCGACGAAGACAGCTGCCTCATCAAATGCGTTTATTTCACGCAGCAGTGCTGCGAGTGCGTGATAGTCTGATTCCCTCCCCCTTCATTTTTTTTTAAGGAGTGAAATCCGAAATGATAAAGTAATGAACGACAATGCCGATGCTTTCTCCTTCAACTTTTTCTCTTCTCCGTTCCGCTGCGCCACGTGACGTTTGATTATTTTGATAATTGTGAATTGCATGCGTAAAGGGTATTTTTTTTGAAAATCACTGCGTCATTTGTCAAAATAATCACAAAGACAGAACTCCGTAAGCGAGAAAAGAATGCTCAGTGAAATTATATAAGAAAAAATCTTAATATTAGATATATATATATCTAACCGTATGTATGTATGTATATATATATACATACATATCGGCTATCGGCAATAACAAAAGAAATAAGAAAATAAACCGAGAAGCCAGCTGTGATCTTTCGCGGAAGTTGGCGGTAAAATCAAACATATCAAAAGACACCACTTTAAGAGAAAAATGAGCGGCACTGTTCACTGTCAAGGATGAACAAAATTGCATTTCTTTTACGATAGTCGAGAGAGAAAAGTAATAGATTTAACAAATTTGTTCAAGTACAATATGTCTAAATCGACATGGAAAACAACAAAATATTTCAATTGTATTTTTGTATTTAAAGCGTAAGGAATATTTTAAAATCTTCCGGATATACTAAGTATATTTTAAAAAATATAGAGTGAACGTCGTAGATCGAGGATCAACGATAATATTTACAATAATAATGAGAAGAGAAAAATCGCGATGAGTGATACATGTCGAGAAGATGCAAGCTTTGATTTTTTTTGTATACGTGATGATTTTGAATTTTACAATTATTCACACTATATAGCAGTCCAAAGCTCGCAAGTATATTTTTTTCTACGCATGATTATATTATACCTTTTTCTGCAAAGCTATATTAGAGAAAAAAAAATGTCTTGTAGGGTGCAACAACAAACAGCTTTCGTCAGAGAAAAAGTAAAATCTATTGATTCTCCAATCTATTGTATAAGTGTACAGAAGTAAGTGACAATTAAAGTGCAATTTGTTTTACAAAATATCATTATTTATTTTCCATTTCCTTATCTTATTGTAATTTGCATGTGAAATAATTAACACATTTTGTATTTGAGATTATCTATATTTTTATTGCTTCACACTTTTTTTCTATGTACTCGACAATTTTATTCTACATAATCAAAGTTAGCAGTGAGGCGTGGCTGGAAGACTTAATAGATTGATAAATTTTATAATTCTATGATAATCCGCTTGAAGCCACGTCTCAAAGGCCGTTTACCTTGAACTATTTACAAATAAAACCCGAAGTATACAGTATTCTTTCACCACAGGTAAATAAAATTCACGATGACACACGCAGTCATTATCCAGTTCGCGATAAATGGAAGATTTTTCAAATGACAATTGATGCATTTCTAAAATTAAATAGAACTACAATAAATATTACTAGTGATAGTCTGTGTTTATCGTTTGCTAAAGCCTTACATTATTAAGCAAATCTAAAAATGTATATGACAAATAATTGAAAAACAGCTAAAATATTTTATAGATAATTGATACTCCGTTTCAATTCATACCTTGATTCAACTATTCTTATGTTTTGTACATATACTCAATCTTGTCCGAGAACGATTTTTACAGAACTTGTGTACCTATATTCATACATACCAACTGAATTTATTGTACATAAATGCTGATAAGCTATGACTGCTACTAATTTGCATTAAAAATAATTTGATACAGTATTCTGTAAAAATCTTTTAGAATCGCTAGGCCATTTTCATTCAAACAATATTCTAGTAGTGAGTGTAGTGTATTTAGTTACAAGACTAGATGATTATTCGACTATAGTACATAATTCACCTCCATTATTAAAAAAAAATCTTATTTCTTATTAACCATTGAAAGAATTGCAAATCCAAAAAAAAAATTTTAAGTTGTCAATGAGGTGAATCTAACAATAAACTCACAATCTCGTAATTCTTTTATAAATTCTTTAGAAGGGAAAATCCTATCACCTTGTTTTTTGTAAATGATCTGAAATATCAATGCACTAGTATTATAGCACGCATACGATCTACACAATAATAAACAAATAAAATTTTATATAAAGAGAGTAAAAATTACTATATAGTAAGTACGATAAAGTGCTCTGAAGTATATAAATTTGTATAAAATGTAACTGTTCAAGCTGATTTTTTTGTATACAAGAAATTGACTTGTTTGCATATTTCATCGTATCTGTTTTTTTACCGTTAATTATCGAACGAATCCATTGCCTAGTCCTAATTACACTTTGTAATCATGTACATGTGTTTTCTATAATTTCCTAACCAAGCGCCACATAATCTTGAAGAATACCACTTGATACTTTTTGCGGAACGTTTATCACAAATTTAATTAGAGTACTTCACGAGCAGTTCAACTACAACAAAAAAAAACTTCCTATGAATCGTAAATCGGTAATGGATGTCCTTCGGAATTGAAAACCCATTTGTTCAGATCTATCAATTGTCTTGTGTCATCGAACAACAGATACAAGTATTTCAAAGTCTCAGCAAACCAAAAACTTTCAGTCATGTCTCGAGGACGTGTATTGTAAATATTTTTTACGTTGTTGATACTCGTATAACCATTTTCCACTTTTGTATAATTCTCAAAAGCCTGAAAGGGCACAAAAATCAAGTTAATTGATAAATAACTAATAAAATGAAGAAACTTACTTGAAATATTTTCCAGCCCCAATCCTGATAAGTTTTATTACCAGTAAAGTACCACATGTAATATAAACTTTCAATAAATTCGGGCCGTAAAAGATTGTGCGCGTCGTTAGTCTTCACGTACATGTCTTTCTGATTTTCATCGCTGGTTTTCTGAAATAAACGTTTTTCATAAATTATACATACTATACATAATCAACGTGCAAAGTAAAATTAAATTTTAACTACCTGTATATTGAAGTAAGTAATTTCCGGTGCAAGACCAGTTGGCTGTATGACATACGTTTCGTAGCAAGTTCTGAGTAATTCATCGGCGAGCTCTAAGTGGCGTTTTGGCAAGCCGTTATGTACTCCTAAGGCTAGTGTTCCACTTAAATAACAAGTTAAATGGTCCTAAAATGAATAAAAAAAATGAAATAAATAATATGCAATTTTACGTTAAATTCATTAAATAAATTACCATACCATTTTTGGTTTCACGTCGCGCGCAGCACCTAAAAGCTCTGCTATGAATAAAAATTTATTAACGGCAGTTCTCTTTACCAAATGCTTTTCTGTCCCTTCGATACCAAATAAATAATCATCTCTCAAGCTGTTAAAATAAAAATTTTTCGTTAGAAATAGCTTGAAAGACAAACATTTTTTAATTTCACTCACTAATCAATTGTTTTTCCGGTCTGTATCCATTGCTTCAATAGGTATTCATAATAACTGTCTCCTCTTGCACCCAATGTGATAACTGCATATTCTCTGAATAATCCAGTGTTTGCATTGATGAAAATCGGTACCAGTCCGTCATATTTTTCAAGCCTATGTACGTGTTCAGAAACTTGAGCCACCGCGTTTTCAAATCGTGGTTGCTTCGAACTACGACTCAAATCTCGAAATTCCAACTGAATAGAGGTGATTTCACTAGTACTACTGTCTGGACCCCACTTTGGGGGATGAGCGCTTCGAGTGCCTAAATTGACGTCTGAAAATGGTACACCTGAACGAGTTGAAAAAGCTGGCATCATTCTATCGCCAAGATCGATCTGTAGAAGTTAACAATGAATTTCATTTTATAAATTAATTTTCATAAATTTAATAAGTTAATGCTTTACCGCCTTATCTAAAAACATCTTATCTCCAGATAAATGATAAGCAGAGAGAAGACCTCCAAGCACTCTAATGGTAACTTCGAATAAATTGACATCTCTATTTTGAGTGAATGATAAATTATTTTGAATCCAATTTCTTGCATCTTGAAACTCTGAAAATATACAATCAATATTATAACGAAAATAAATTATTAATTTTAAATATTCAAGAATGCTTACCTTCGTGCATTCCCATTATGTACAGAGTATCCAAAGCATCAACGATTGTTAATCCCAGACCAAACCAATCGTGATATCCTTTTGTTATTGGCTTGACATTATCATGGCCCCAAGCATATTTTTTATAGCTATCCCAAGAAAATTTTGTAGCTCTAACAATTGCTTTCTGTCTATCATTTTGTGGACCTAAAGAAAAATAGTAAATTATAACTGCGATTGCTATAAATAATTCAGCAAATATTCCATTATTGATTACCACTAAATTTAAGAGGTTGCATATTATGTTGAGGTGGTTCTCCGATTTGATCAACATCAACTTGATTTACTTCTGGTTGGAATTCTGGCTCATCAATAACATCAACATTGTTATCATTTATTTCTTTAATACTTTCTTTCATGTTTCCTCTATTGTGGTTTACACTTTTAATTACAATTTCATCTGGTACCTAATATACACAAAATACATCATATTTAATAAAATAAAAAAAACATTTATTTATATATCGTTTAATAAAATGGAATTAATTAAAAAATGTACTAGTTATTTTTAAAGTAGATAAAGACACATTAATGAATTACAAATTACACTTATAGTAACAGGCATCTTCAAATAATTAAAAGAAAAATTCTATTTGTAGTACCATGTGTAATGACTTAATTTTTTATAAAATTATAGCTCTTTGATTAAAACTCAATTACCTTGTATAGCTTTGGATATTCCTGAACTACCTTAGCACTATCGTAATCACTTTCATCAACATTAGTATTAACTTGAGTCTTCCCAGGTAATAAATAAATTACTAAAATTATTAATGTTATCACAGCAAAGTAGCAAATATTTCGCTGAAATCTGGACAATTGGTTCCATTGCTGATAACATTAAATAAACATTATATATGATGATAGTATTTGCCTTTTAATGAAAAGATAATGGATTAAGCACTTGAAACTTATTTTACATTGATTTGAATTAATGGATTAAGCACTTGAAACTTACTTTATATTAAAAATAATATAAATAACAAACAATCACTTATGGGCAATAAAGATAAAAATGTTAATGAGTCTAGCAGGAAAATTAATTACAGTTAATTGTAAGAAGGAAGTGGAGAGTAACAGACAAAAATTAGCACCGAAAATTAAAAAAATCATTGTTGTCACACAGTGGATTTTGATAAGTTTCTATCTCATTAACAAGAATAAAGAAAAATAAGAAAGAGCTTTGCAAACTTACTCTCCAGACACTGCGAGAAGTGGTTTTTCCGAAGGCTGTACCGTCGTTGATACTGAGACTGATGTAGTCAGATTTAGATGCCGCCGGCGAATCGTTGTTCCTAGCCGCGAACATCGTCCACGTGGCGGCAACCCTCAGCTCTCCTTAGCACCACCACCTCGCATTCCTTGCGCACTTTGCGCCGCGGAATCGCTCTAATTGCCCGTCTCCGCAATATTACACGGAACACTGACGACTGAAGTCTAAGCGTGTCGGTAGAGGGCTTATCACAGGATCACAGCTGTTTTCTTGCGTGTTAAGAACACGCAAGGCAAGACACGCGGCGTCAGTCTGGCGTCAGTGCGGTGTCAGTGCGGCGTCAGTGCGTGGAAGTCAACAAAAATATAACCTTTTCTGTCGGTAGTTTTGGAGTTTCTCTTTTACGGGTGAATATAAGGTCATTATTGAAGATACTTAGACTATTTAGAGTAAAATGGAGATTGAAGAATTGATCTATTTCCTTTAATATTTTTTATTACCAAAATTTTACTAAGAAATCATTAAATAAGTTGGTGTTGTTTTCATCACTACAAATTTATCGATATATATACAATGTATATATATATATACTTGTATATATATAGTGTATATATATATATATATATATATATATATATACACAAGTTTATCAATACAAAATATTTATATTTATGTTGAAAATTTTGAAATAAATTAATATTTAGTTATCTCTAGGATGGCCTTGACTACTGCAAATTCATCAGGGATACCTGACAAACATTGGCAACCCCCATTTGTTTCTTTTGAAACAACGTAAATAACATCTTAAATACTTTAATTTTTTCATTAATTATCGTTTTGCTAATACTTTTTTTTATTTATTCAAGAATGGGAGAAGTGATTATAGAACTGTACTGGAAACATGCTCCCATAACTTGTAGAAACTTTGCAGAACTTGCAAGGAGAGGATATTACAATGGCACAAAGTTTCATAGGATAATCAGGGATTTCATGATTCAAGGTGGTGATCCTACAGGAACTGGGAAAGGTGGCACTTCCATTTATGGAGATTGCTTTGACGATGAAATACATGATGATTTAAAGCATACAGGTACCACCACTTGTTTGCTGCTGAATTGATAAGATATAATATTTGAAATATAAATTGATGTTATTATCTTATTATTTATAAGGCGCTGGTATATTATCAATGGCAAATTCTGGTCCTGACACTAATGGCTCACAGTTTTTCATTACCTTGGCTCCAACACAGTGGTTGGATGGAAAACATGCTATTTTTGGTATTGAAAATGATTTATCTTCTATTGATTGTATTATCGTTTTTTTTTAATCATAATTCTCTTTTTAGGGAGAATTCACTCTGGAATGACAATAGTGCAAAGAATTGGACTTGTTGAAACAGATAAGAATGACAGACCAATTGATGATGTGAAAATAGTTAAAGCTTCAGTTAAAAATATGTAAAAATACAATATTTAATTTTATAAAAATAGCAAAAAAACGTGTAAGTTTGCAACAATATCAATTCACAAGCAAAAGATCAACATGAGATAAAAAAACTTGGATTCATTTTAGAGTCAAGGAAAGTAGGATTAAAAAACAATTTAATTACAAAGTAAAAATTACTTTCTGTATGTTTCTACAATACTAACAATAACAATTTAGTAAATTACACTCAATGCATATTCATAAACACCTTCCTTTCAATATTTGTATTTAAATTCAAGCATGTATTGACTGAAAAGTAAATAAAACTTGTATAAATATTTTAATACACAATAATATGCCTTATTTTCATTTGATAAATAAACGTCTAGAAATCAAAATATGAATATTGCAAAAAATTAATCTACAGTAATTATATAAAAAAAAATCCAAATTTTGTTATATTAGTTATTAAATAATATATTTCAAAAGCGTTATAAAAATATTTTTCAATATTATGTAATAAGCTTTTTTTAATCTAAAACATGAATAGTCTTTCATTTTAACTATAGTTACTGTCCAAAATTTTCTCTGATTTTATTATATCACTGGTTTTGTTATTTGTTCTTTGTTATCGCATCTTATTTTATAAATATAATTAGCAACTTATTAAAACAATTAGTAGCATTAATTAAAATTTATTTAAATATTCAATGATCTTTGCACTTGAGCAGATAAGTTCATTTTAAGTTTGAGGCTTTTGTCGCAATATTGGTATTGGGCACTTCATAATTTCACATAATTTATTTCTTATTGGTCTTAACTCTTCAACTGGCTGCTCCCAGTCAATAGTGTTGAGCTGAGTCAAAAGAATAGCCAATTCATCCTCACTTATGTCCATTTCGTCACCATAAAGTGTGAGTGACTCATACAAACGACTGGCTGTTGCTTTCCTAACATATTTGAATTTATGACACAAATATATGCTAAGATGTGAAAATGCACCTTTGCTTACTGAACCATGAACTTGCAATAAATGACAGAAAAGTTTTACGCTGTTGAGTAAAGGCTGAGTAGCATTGATAGACTTACTCTCTTTCTTCAGTAGCGTCAAAATTCGTGGGGGTATTTCATTTTCCGCGTCATCAAAAATGCTTTGTATACATCCTGAACTGAATAAACGATCGAGAAAAGCCAAACTTGCCGAAATCATCCGATCATCTCCATGACAAGATTCAAATATATTACAAATTTGATTGCAAAGTGAAGTCAGTGTCATCTGATCCAGTTGCTGCAGATATGAAAACAGTGATATGCTAGAATGTTTCACTAAAGATTCTGACAAACCACCTACACTAAAAATTATTCCTTTCAGAACATCTTGCGTGTACTGTGGATAAGCCAGCATTTTGATAAAAAGTGGAAATGTTTCACTTTCAGACTTCCAATCTGTGTATTTACCATTGTCTCTATTTTCAAATGTGAATAGTAATTTGAGTTCTTCATGATGTGGAATATTAGGAAGTTGACTGTGTATTAAGGAACTGAAAGCACTACCTGCTTTTGCTCTTGTTCTATCAATTCGTTCAACAGCTTGTTGAGCTATTCCTCCAATGACTTTTGTCATAAGCTCTTCAGTTAAAATAGACAAGTAACCAGCATCATAAACTAAATTTGTCAATGTGAGAATACCAGATATTGCAGATTCTCTCACCCAAGAGCCAATATCACCTCGACTATCGTTTGTATAATCCATCAGACCATTAAAAAAGCATTGATATATTTCATCCACAAAAGGTTTCCACAGCTCCGCATGCTCTAATCCTAAAGTTTCGCATATCTTTTTTAATGAATTCATAGCTTCTTTCCTTGCTTCAGCCCATAGTAGAGTATCTTTAGTAATAACAGCACATTCCATTAATTTTTTAAATATATCCTCTCCTTTTTCTTTCAATACGGGTGCTGGACAATAACCGACTGCAAGAGCAAAACCAACTCTGTTTGTTTGATTACTTGACTGAAGATTACTAAGATACCGATTGATAATGGCATGTCTCTCCTCAAGAGACCAACAAAAGTAATACTCAATGAAAAATGCAGTATGAGCTTCAGCAGATATTATTCTGACTGCTGAAACTTCATTGCTCAAACATTCTTCCATTAAAGTTTGCCAGTCATTCAAAATAGGATCTGTGTCTACATGATTATGTATTAATGCAAACTTTTTGATAAGAGTCACACATGCTTGTTTGATTATTTCACCTCCTAATCCTCTTAGTTGACCTCTGTTGCGACATGTTGATACAATGTTTTGAACTTTTAATAAATCATTTTTACCAATTATTTCACTTATATCTTTTTCAAGCTTTTTGTGCAATGCGACAAAGATTTCAGCAATAGCGAGAATAGCACCATGTCTAACAAATAAGTCAATTGAGTCCACGAAACCCAATAAGGTTGGAAGCACTTCTTCAATTATGTAGTTTGAATCAAGTTCTGTTAAATTGTGCATGGCTTTTGATGCCAATTCTCTTATGGCTATATCCCAATGTGTAACTTTCTTCTTCACCAGATGATCAACCAAAGGTTTGAAATAACCTTCATACTTAGCAACATGCACGCTGATTTTAAGATAAGCATTACTGCGTACACCAACTTCAAAGTAATCAGCTGCAGAAATGATATCTATACCATGAGGAAAATTTCCTTGTCGGCCAACGTTTTCTTGAAAAGCAGCAGAACCTGCTCTACGGCAGTTGATTTCTCTGTCAAAGCAAGTAACTATTAAGAGAGCTGGAGCTATTTCTTTTACATGAGGCTCAAATACTTTTGGTGCGAAAGCTCTTGCAAAAGACCAACATACAAAACAAGCAGCATCTCTAATAATAGAACCAACAGGTCCATATGCTCTTGGTTCATCAAAAACCAGAGCTTGAATAACAAGAGGAATAATATCTTTCAATCTGTAAGGTAAAAGTAAACCTCTTCTTCCTAATTCTGCCAATGCTAGACATCCTCCATGCCAAGCAGTTTCTGATTCTCGTGATGAAAATAGATTGATAACAAAACCAAGAACATCATCAGCCAAATCTATTGGAAGTCTGGCTGTTATTCTACCAATTCCTTTGGCAGCAGACCATCTGATTATCATGGATTTGTCTTGCAAACCTCTTATCAAATACTCAAGTATATCTTCCATTATAGGTGGAATTTCATGATCTTCGCTTTCAGCAATTTCTGAAAATTCCTTGTCTACTGTGATAGAATCAACACTGTTTGTTTCAGTTATATTGTTTGATAACATTATAGTTTTTAATGCTTTTTTATAACCCCAAGGAGTGATGTTTACTTTCAGCAGAGTCATACCTACACGCTGAAAGATCTTTATTGAAAATTTTCTAACTAGATCTGCAGGACTTTCATGTAACTTACTATCTGAAATTTTATCAAGTATCAATTGTGTATAAGGTGCCATATCATCTCTGCAACTATGCTTAATGATTGATGCAATGACAGCCAGTGGTCTGTGATTTAAATGATCATTTTCAAAACATTTCAATGACCACATTACCATATCTTCTAAATATTTATCTTTGACATCAAATCTAGTCAGAAAGTTAGCCACTAAAAATATTGCTGCATCAGAGCAAGAGTCTTTCGAAGCACAATACTGCTTGCAAATTTGGATCACTCTTATTGTGATTGTTTGATCTGGATTTGTTTTTGAAGGATCATTTTCTAATCTCGACATAGCAAATGGAATTTTAGCTATGATCGACAGCCATATTAACAATACATAGCGTGTTTGCCAATTTTCCTTGTCATTTATATCTTGCTTTTCTAACATTTCCAAGACAGTGTTGAAATCTGTTACCTCATGAGGCAAGTGTATAGCAATTTTCTTGTAAGTCTTAACGCTCATTATTATGTAAATGTACTTGAAAACATAGTGCTTCAAGTAATCAATCTCAGTCTTCTCTCTGATAAATTGGATCAAGGGGCTAAGGAAACTTTCAAGATAAGGATCAAGCAACTGAGGTTGATCCTGATACTGTTTTAAAATGAAACAAAAACGATCTTGATTCTTCTCCATGACTCTCGTGGGTAAATCTGGTACGTGCAATTGTTGAATAAGATGATTGATTTCATCAATCTCTTTGAAAGCGGTAAAACCGCCCCCACATTTATTGCAATCCGAGTCATCATTAGAATTCATTTTTAAATTCTTTCCACTGTCATTTATACGCACTAATTTTTTTGAAAGGTGACGTTTGAGGTAACTGTAACCTGAACAATCATATATATTTGGAATGACGCTAACATAACCTTATAGTTCAATTTACTGTCCTATCACAAACATTCTGGTGACTTCACAACATCATAACGATTACTTTTGTCAGATTAAGTCTATTCGTTCAGACAGTTAAATATGAAAATTAGACTAAACAATAGTTTTTATTTATTATTCCTATATAGTAACATTATTTTATAATATATAAAAAATCTATACAATTATAGTCGTATTCAACGTGCAAAAATAGGAACAATTTTAATTATTCACTGTGGTCAATTGGCCGAAGAAACTGACCTATTCTCACAAAATTTAATCGTATGAAGTTAGCAGAAGAATAAGATATCAATGCAGGCCCAGCTCTAAACACGAATCCCAGATCACACAGCCACTGTATTTTATTATTATCTATAATCAGGTTTATTAAAAACTTGTAAAATGTCATTCGCGAGTAAGACCACTTTTAACTTACAACTAAGAAATAATTTCAGAAATTGTAAGTATCAATTGAAACACAAAAATAAGTAATATAATTATTACAATCTTTCAATGTGAAATAACCTATATCTAAAAATAAAATATCCGAAGTACAATAATTTAAAATAATTTTAGAGTTTCTATTTCAGAAAAATATTTAATGTTGAACATTTGTTTTCTCTTTAGTTTTTAATAATAGACGTTGCGTATCAACAGTATTATCAGAATTATTAGTGGATACGAAAAAAGACGAGAAAACTGAAATACCTAATGCAACAGAACCCTTTCCACCACCACATTACAGATTTGTGTATCAAGAATTTTTACCAGATCCTAATTTTAAATACAGAAATAAGTTAAGAGAAAGATTGGAAAGACGAGATATGTTAGCAAGAAGATTCAATGTAGAGATACCTGAATTTTATGTGGGATCAATTGTAGCTGTAACACATTCTGATCGTCATGCTCCAGGCAAAACTAATAGATTTTTAGGAATATGCATACAAAGAAAGGGATGTGGTTTAAGAGCTTCATTTATGCTGAGGAATGTTATAGATAATTTGGGTGTTGACATAATTTTTGACTTATATGATCCAACAATCCAAAAAATTGAAGTGATAAGGTATGTAGAATTAACATAAAATTTGTAAAAAAATTATCAAATTTTTAAAATGAAAATTCAAATATTTATATCATGTATATTCTTTTCCTAGGCTTGAGAAAAGATTAGATGAAGAATTACTATATTTACGAGATTGTCCTCCAGAGTATAGCACTTTTCCGTTGGATATGGAACCAGAGTACCATCCAGAAGGTACGCCAGTACCCATCAACGATATTAAAATTCCTTTGAACCCAACACCTTGGCTTGAACGGTGGGAAAGAAAAGATATGAAAGGTTTAATTGATCCTCTGAGTATGGTCAACGAGAAAAGAAGAAAGAAAGCAGCATTGCCCATGCATACGAGGCCTTGGGAGAAGTATGATCTCATGAAAATGTACAGGTAAGCTAATAATATTGCTATTTAAAGGATTCCTTAGGAATACAGTTGATTAAAATAAATTTTAAGTAGCTTGCTTTTTATAATATAAAAAATTTTTTCAAGTTAAAATATTGTTTATAATTTAAATAAATATCTTGTAAATAAATGTATCAATGTGGTTTTCAGAGAAACTATTCCAGCAGAAGAGCAGGCAGAAATATTTGGCGAGATTCATCATAAACTTCAGGAACTGGAAATGAAAAATCGTAAAATGAAACGCAGTAGAAATTTTGTTAAACCAAAGAAAAACGGTTAAATAATTAGCTTTATAAATACTTGTTGATATGACATTTTTTTAATGATCTAGTTGATTGATAATAAACTTACAATAAATAATTAAAAAATATCTTTTTTTTTATTTTAATCACGAATTATTGATGTGGGGTTGAAGTGATGTGAAACAATGCATTTTTATATTACAAAGTATTCTAATCACAAATAATTTTATATTAAAATTACATTTGCGTCAATGAAAACTACTTTATGTACAAAAAATATTTGTAATGTGTCGAATTGATAAGACCTACTTATTCTTATTACATGAGTAACTCAGTTCTTATGAATAATTATGCGTCATTAACATTATCGATCTTTTGTGTACAAGTATCAACTAATTAAGGCGATACAAAAAGCTTACAACCTAAAGAGTATCTTCTAACAAATTTATAAAGCCATACAAACTTAATAGACTATTCTGATTGCATATACTTTGTCGAAAAATGATTGTACAGATAGTGAATGAAAAGCATTATGGCAACCGCATTTATACAGTGTCAAACTATCCGCTTCTATCGAAAATTAGAATTTTATTTCTTAATTTAAACAAGTTTTTACACAAAGACAATTCTAAATATAAATTTTAAATATTTTGCATATTAAATACATTAAGATCAATTTTTATTTTAGTTTGAAACTAAAATTGATACGATTAGGATGACAAAAGAGCCACATTTATTTCTTTCACCATTAAAATACGATGAAGCATTTTTATAAGGTGCTCTTTTGCTAATGGAGATGTCGAATACCATACTGGACTATCTGGCACGCAACTTCTTTCTGGTAATAGATAGAATACATCATTTCTTGTTTTAACACTTTCGGGACTGAAAGTGACAATAACAAATTATTGCTCCATTTGAACATACTTTTGTTAATTAATAAGATAAATAAGATCTTTTACCATTTTGAAAGATAAAATTCATATAGCTTCACGGGACATCGCAGTGGATTTTCCTCGTTTTCTTGCTGCTCATAAACTTTTTTCTTTTTTGAATTTGCTTCTGGAAGAAAAATAATAAATTGTTAATAAAAGAATTGATATTATCTATCAACTATTTATTGTTCGAAAAAAATGTATACCAAGCGCAGATTGCGGAGGATAAAAGCGTAATAGAACGTTTCTGGATCCGGCGATTTTAGGGGTAGCTTGGACTCCTTGAGTCGATGAGTTTCGTTTCCAATGTTTCATTATATGTGAGAAAGATAGCTGCATGTGTTCCTCTACCGTCTAGAAAAAGCATATGTATTTTGATAAATCGTTAGTAGTGTTATAGTTACATCGAGCAATTATTGACTATAATTACTTACTACAAGATTAAAATGTTTTGTATTAAAATACATTAAAGTATTCAGTAATACATGTGGAGAATGGGCCCCGAGCTGTTTGCACTCCCACAAATGTTCTTCTTCCACTCTTGTAACGACAAATACTGAAAATAGAAGACTCGAGGCTACATTCAATTCATCAATAACTTAAAATGTTGAATGTCTGTAAACTTACGAGCATCATTGTGAAGAGATGTAAACTTTTTTGCTACGTCGTTGAGACAATCGGTGAATTTTTCATAATAAGCGTCCGTAAAAATGTTATCTATCCTATTGTTTTCAAATAAATATTGTTGAATTCCTAGAAAATATAACAACTTATTGTCAGGCTATTTTAGTAACTCTGAAAAACTTTTTAAATGTCAACTCACCTAGGCATAAATAGTATATTGTATCGGGCGCATACTCAGCTCCGCTCGGTTTGCGCACTTCTTTAACAAATAAACACAATGAATAGTTTAGTTCGTCAGCTGTTAATTGTAATAGATCCGTCTTGAATAATTTGAGTTTTCTCGTTGGTGTATTTTGTTTTTCTAGTTCAGCATTTTTCGTAATAACCTGAAAATTATTCGATTCACATATGCTTTGCAATTAAATAAAAGAGCTATTCATACAAAATATCAATAAAACTGTTAGCACTTACCCATTGTCGCCAGGCGTTAACACCAAAAGTATATTTCAAAGCCATATTAGCATCTGGCTTTTCTGCAGGCTCGGTAAATCGTGGTTGTGTTGATGTCTGAGTATCTTGAGTGCCAAGTACACCAACGTCATTGGAATTTGTGCTTCGCTTACCCCTTTTGCTAGGAACGCCTCGAGTTTTGTATGAACTGCCACGTTTGCGTCCTCGCGACGAGTGTACCGAGTGTACTCTAGGAGTAGGAGCTGCGATTGGCAATGTAAATAAATTTTTTTAGTATTTATACAATCAAATAGGGAAAGTTCTTCGCCAAAGAAGTCAACCATTATTTTCTGCGTTTTCCTCGTTTTGTGCTCGAGCCGGTGTCTGTATAGTATTTGAAGTGAGAGCGGTTTCGAGATCTACAGCCGGTTCTTCAAGTTCGTCTGCCATTTTAAGAGCCATCTGCAACATGTCCTCGCCAAAGGTGTTCGACGAATCAACGCCTCCATCAACGCCTTCTGGACTGTAGTTATCAGCTTGCGGCTCGTCATTTACTTCGGCATTCTCCCTGCTAATAAAAAGAATAATAATAATAATAACAACGATAACAATAATAATAACAATAATAATAATGATGATGATGACGATGATGATGATGATATAATGATAATAATAATAGTAAAGGTATGGTTATTTTAAAAGCAATTCAATATTATTACCACTCTATCAAAAGTAATTAACAATGATACTTGAATATAATAAAACGCAAGTCAGTCACATACACCGGTAACGAATGTGAAAGCGCGAGTGAGTTTTGAAATAAGCATGAACCGTTGCCAAGCCAGCAACAGCTGGTCTAAACCTTTCCGAATGTCGAGAATTCTCGGTGGGGTGTATGAAAATGAGCAAGTAGCACATGGCGCACATGGATCGCTATCGGGCTTGAGAGGGGAAAAAGAAGCAAAAAGGATAGTGAAAATATCCACCTGGCCTCGTCGTTAGAGTCGGAATCGCTGTCGTTCTTCTTCTCTGTGGCGACCATCTCGGCCATCATGAGCAGCTCGGCTTCGAAAGGATCCGAGGGTATCTTTTCCTGTATCTTCTTGATCTCTTTAAGAATACCCTTGACGCTGTTCCGAGTAGTAGGTATGAAGATGGGCACCGGAATGGGCAGTGGAATGGGTACGGGCACGGGAAAAGGCATACTGTACATGTGCGCGGGGAAGGGCACGTAGATAGGCACCGGTATGGGCACAATCACGCGCTCCAACCCCTCGGTCTGCGTCGACTGGTCACACGGAATCGGCCTCACGGATACCCCCTTGGTGTGCATCTGCGGCTTGCACTGGGTCATCTTGTTACCAATTTCTACCGGCGAGGTTGGCCTCGTTATCACCTGCTGCTTGTAGATCACCTACACGAGAGAAAAAAGACAAGAGTACGTTAGTCCGGCGGTCCTGCTTCGTCTGTCATTTGTCAGCACGAGACGCACAGGGGTAGTGCCTTGCAGGGTGATGGGTGCGCTGATACCAGTCTGAGCGTTGCCAAGTTGCACTGTGTTCTGAGCTTGGCCGTTAGCGATGGCCGCGAGACTTGTGACTGATGAAATCACCGGCAGCGTCTTCTTAGCGGCGATCTGGCTGGTTGCCGGAATCTCGTTGACTGTCGACGGTTGTAGCGGTCGCGGAAGCGACGCCGGCGCGATCGCGCGCTTCGGTATGCCAGTAGGCACCGGGTCGCTCGGACCGTTAGCGTCGCCCGCCGGAATTGTGATCGGTGATTTGGTGTACTGCGCCTGGAAGTTCATCACACACTTGTAAGAGCAGAAGTTGCGGATCGTTGCGTCCGACATCGTCAAGTGGTATTGCGCTTGGGAGAATTCCTTGCAGAAATCACAGTTGATGCGGCGCGCCGAGACTGCGTTCACCGACACCTATAAGTTCAAGCCGTGTTACAACGTCAGCTCCTCGAGTTCATTTTCAAACAAACTTACCTGATACAAAGTTAAACAATTCAAGCTGCACATCATCATCACCTGACCCGTTTTCAGCTCTTTTTTTATCATGTCAAAGTTGTACTTTTTCACTTTGCACCAATTGCAGGGAACTATCTTTCGATTTGTTATTATAAAAACGTTTAGACATGTTTTATTACAGAAAGCGTGAGCTTCATCTTCATAGAACACAACACGTCCTTTTTTTGTAGGTAATTGAAAGTACTTTTTACAAGTGGAACACTGATCAGGATCAACTTTGTTGACAAATTTGAAGGCTGCAAAGCAAGGCTCACTGCATATAGCTACCGATGGATTCCTATCGATTTGAACTTCACAAAACATAACTTTTTCCTTGAAATTAAAAAGAAAATCAATTAACAAATTATTAACACCTAAGAAAAACATCAGATTTAAACATTCTATGAAATAAGGGCATTTCTTTCAATTAAATTACATTAAATTTAAGCCCTTATTCTATGAAATATTTCAATCACTTTACTAATAAAATTATTCATTTACCTCTTGGCATACACTGCAGACTTTTTTTTCAGGTACAGGTGGCTCTGTGCTATTCATTTTCGAATATTTTTCCATACAATCCTGTGTACAAAAATCCTTAAACTGACCTTTATCGCCCACTGGTGCTAAGAATCCTTCAGCACCAGCACTAATATCTTTTTGGCAGTAACTGCACACTTTTAGCCCTTTTTTGAATTCCTCCAAGCACGTCGAACAACAAAATTGCCTCACATCGTATCCAAATCTTACACAATATTTTCCTAAACTGACAGCTTGTACAGCTCCATTGCAATTTCGACAATAACTGCCATATCTTGTCTGAAATTTTCCTAGACACTCTTCATTACAAAATTCCATTGTCTCCCATGATAAACTTCTTTCATCTTTTGGCTCTACAATTAATAAACAATTAGCACATCGTTTGTCTCTTTTAGAACTTACTCCTTCGCTTGGGATGTCAGTAGCTTTGTTGTTGTCATTAGAAAAGGCAGTTTTACAAGCTTCTGAACACACATTAAAGGTTTTACTACCAACTTTCACTTTTATTGAGCATGTTTTTTCTTCTTTACACTGTTTGCAAATTTCTTTAGAGTCTATTTCCTCTATCTCAGAATTTTTCGCATCATCCTCTATGTCAATAACATCTGAAGTTACCACAGATTGACCTTCAGTTGACTTTTCTGTATTTTCTTGAACTTCATTTGTCTTCGAAGTCAGAACTGCTACTTTCAAACTGTTTTCTTTTGACTTGTCCTGTGATTCAGATTCTCCTTTTTCTTTACTTTTTTCTTTATCTTGGTTATCTGTATCACAATCATTCTCTATAACAACTTCATTTTCTTTAGCTGCAACTTTCTTTTGGTCTGTTTTATCTTTATCACTAGCCTTATTTTCTTTTGTACTATCAGGGATAATGCAAAGCTCATTGTCTTGACCAGGCAAAACTTCTGTTGATTCGTCATCTTTTTCTGAAATTTCCATTGACTTGTCTGAATTTTTTTTTGGAGAAATTGTTTGTTCTATATCCATCGTTTCTTTTGAAGAGTCTGTTTGCTGTTCTTTTACATTACTTTCTTTACCAAACTTCAAATCGGTTTTATCTGTTGGCTGTTCCTGAAAGTTGTTTAAATGCAAATATTCTTTTTCTCACTAAAATGTAAGTAATTTTTTATGAGTAAGATTAAAATTTTATTTACAAACCTTATCTTCATTGTCCTGTATATTTTTAGAATCTTTTGATTTATCTTTTATTTCTGTAGACTTTGTTTTTTCAGCTTTTCTAGAAGAATCCACTTCCATAAGTTCATTACTATCAGTATTAATGTTAAGACTGTCACCGCCAAATGGATCAACTGCTTCTGATTGAATTTCTGTTTGAGACTCTTCTTTATCCTGATTAAATTGAACAAATTCTGTATTTTCTAATTCTTGGTTCTTATCATTTATATTGTTTTTATTGTTTTGACTCTCCATTTCTACATCAATGCATTCCAAAGTTTCTTCTGCTTCTTTTTCAGATAATTTTTCCAAACTACTGCTCTCATTTGTACACTTCTCAGAACTTTCTTTCTCGTAGGATGAATCTGTTTTATTTTCCTTTGGATTCTTCTCATTTTTACTAGGATCTTCTTGATTTCCATTACTTTCTTCCTCAATTGTGGTGATTAACTCTTCAGTAACTATTAATTTTTGTAAGCTTACACCATCATGATTTTTCAAATCATCCTTTACTTGATTTTCTTCATTTTTTTCTATAACTGTAGTAGATTCTCCATTACTTTGGTTGCCACTTTTATTTTCTTGTAATTCAGTTTGATCTACTTCCATTTCTGCTTCATCATTTTTATTTGCATCTTTTTCTACAATAGTATCAGTTGATTCAACTTCCATAGCATTTTCAGATGATGGTGATTCTGTTTCTTTTGTAGATGTAAGATTATTTACCAACTGTTCTGTAGTTATATTACATTTATCAAATGGTTCATCACCACTGCTTTCTTTGTTCTGCTTCTCAGCATTTTCATCTGCTTTACTTGATTCTTCAACTTTCTCCTTAGTAATAGATTCTTTTTCTTGATTATTTACAGATTCCATCATGAAACCTATGCTAAAAGGTGCTATTATAATTATAATTGGACAATTTGAAACTGTAACTTGCTTATCTAATATAATAACGCTATTAAATAACAAATCGCCAACAAGTATTTATGAGAAAACATAAAAAAACTAGAACATTATATAAAATTACTCGTCTTTGAGAAAATGTTAACGGAACTATGATTGTTCCTCATGCGAAATAATAATTAGTATATTTATTTTAAAAAGAACAAAAAATTTAGATAATAATGGAAAAGACATTTCATTGTCAATTAGAATAATTGGAAACATTACACACGCTACGTTATTTTATAGGTTATTCAAAGCCGGCAACCCACGCTTTTGACAACGAACAGTAATCGTCAAACAAATGTGAACGAAAATCTGTTTTTTTACAAAATAATAAAATACTTACGTGTCAGTTGATAACTCTTAATTAGATAAAATAACGGTACTTTAGTAAAAAATAATTTAATTTACGGAACATGATATAACATATATAGTTCGCCGCGGCAGTTTTAGCTATATTCAGCAAGCCATTGCTGAACATAACCTTAGATAAACAATAGCAGCAAAGTTTTCTGTTAATTACGAATGATTTGACTTCTAAAGCACATGTGTTTAGAGATAAATAAATATTATAGTTGACGACAAAAATCACAAAGTACGGGAACTCTTTCCATTAACAAAGTGCCGCAAATTTTTATCAAAAATATGTAAGTATTGGAAGCAGGCTTCTAGGTTAAAATCGTCGCCATTGTTGGAAAATATATTGCACCGGATTGGTCGGTTTCTTGCAAATATTATTGCATTATCTCGTCGGATTGCATGTGCGCGCATCATGACCGGTTTTCCGTAATCTGACTTAAATGTCCTTTTACAAGATTTCCATTTAAGTATACTTACTTAGTTATACCTATATACGACAAAGCGGTCAGAGCGAATAATCCATATAAAAAAGAATTTGTCAAATCTAAAAATGATTAATTATTTCGTTGTAATCTTTAGGTAAATAGGAAAATCGGAAGTTCCGAGCATAATCAGCTTAAAATCTATAATGACGTTACGATATAACTTTAATTTCCCGCGTGCGCTAGGGATTGGACCAAGTCAGAACGTTTCATACATGCACTGTATATCTATAAAATGCACAGGCAAGGCCAGGCGCAACAACAGACTGCAACAGAACACAACATACAGTCGAACTCCCGGCACTTCTCGTTGCGGCACTTCTTGCGCCCCCGCACTTCTCGCTGGCTGCGCCGCGGCACTTCTCAAGGGGCAGGGCCGTACACTGCCCCTTGCGTACCAGGGGGTCTCTCTTTCTCTTACGGCCTTATTGGAAGGCTTATTCTTCCCTCTTTATAATTTCAATAGATTTCCGAATATGTATGGATAATCCGACTTCAAACTTTTAGTTTTATGGGTACACATACATAATCTGACTTTAAACTTTTAGTTTTATGGATGCAGATAATCCAATTTTAAACTTATGAACCCCTTTATAATGATTTTACACTAACAAATTAGAATCTGACAAAAAAAAACGCGATAGAGAATGTCTTAGATTTTCTCGTCAAACCAATTGATGCTTTTAATTTTTTTAAAGAAAAAAGAATTTTCCTATTTATTTTTATAATAAACAAAATTTTTAGCGATTTATTTTTATAATAAAAATGTAACAAAAATATAAAAAAATATGGTATTAAAAAAAAGAAGTATTTCGTTCGTTCATGTTTTACAAAGAAATTAAATAACTAATTATTGCCTATACATATGTAGAAATCATAAATAAAATTTATTTGCGTTCAATTTTTTAAATTATCAAAAAAAAAGTTGACTATCATATTAATTATACTTTGTTGTTAACGTATGAATTTTGTTTAATATAAGGCGCAGCTGCTTATTTTGAACTAACTATTTTTGAGTCCCCCAAAGGGCCCACGCGGCAAGCTACAGTATGCCCATACCTGGCCGTACGCTCTGATTGGCTGCCGCTCACCGAGAAGTGCCAGGGCGAGCTACTCCCGAGAGCGAGAAGTGCCGGGGGTTCGACTGTACAGTGTTTTACCATACGCGTGCGCAAATCATCTGTCAGTTCGTCAGCGGCGGAAAAATAAGTCGTCGCCAAAATAGAGTCCCTGTATTTATTTGACGAGAACTTGAAAAAACGCTGTTAGATACAAGATTTGCCATGAAATCATCATTGTGCTGTCGTTAATTTCGTCGGATTTCGCAAGAAACTATCGTGTGCGATGCTAAATTATTGAGCATTTTGGCGTCACTCCCTCGTGAAAACAAGTGTAAACGACAAAGGACTAGAGCTGAAAGGTAAGAGTTGGCATTGCTCTTTCTTTGTCTATCAACAAAAATTGAACTCAGTTCTGTTTTTTTATACACTCCTCACTTATTCAGTACTACCGATATAAGCTTTCCAGCTTCGCCTGTAGGTACGGCACTTTCCAATAACCTTGAAATTAGATTCCTAAGAAAAGTTATTTTTCTTTATTTAATCATTGGTGTATATACGTAAATACACAGCTTATTTGGCAATATTTTGAAAAGTTGCAATTAAAGTTTTAAAAATAAACGTTTTGGATAGGATATTTTAACCAAATAACTAACGGCGTCCAAAACATTTATACTCTTTTTAGGATAATTCCACTGAAAGAATAGCTATTGCTTGTTCTATATTTCAGTTGTGATAGAGTAATATAAATTTTATATTGTATTTAATGTAATGTAATAATAGGCAGACAAAATGGCTGAGTCAAATATAGAAAAGAAAGAAGATAGCCTTGAAGAAAGCTTGTATTCTGAGGAATGGACAATTATTGACCAAAAAGAATCCAAAATTGATATTGCAATTGAAGAAGACAATGGAAATCAAACTTCTGATTTAATTAAAGAAACTTTAGTTACTGAAAATGTTTGTGCAGTAAGAATTATATTGTTCTATTCCATATTGAGAAAAATTATAAAATCTTTGTGTTATATGGATAAAAAATGCAATATCAATGTGCAAATTTTATCTTGCAGACCGAAGAAAGCAAACCTGAGGTAGAGCAAATTGAAGAAGGTGAAGAAGCTGGTGAGAATGATATTGAATCAGATGATGTTTCAATTTTATCGGATGAAAGTGAATCAGAGCAACTTATTATTGAAGAAGGAAGAATACAAAAAATAGAATGGCGTGTTGAAAGTCAATCTAATCAGTCAAAAGCTTTAATTCCAAACATTTCCTTGGTAATTAGTTTATTGTATATAACTGGTTTATTGTAATTTGATGCAATTATAAATTAAAGTTGAAATCTATATATCGTTTTTAGGGAGAAAGCTCATCTCCTCATATGTTAATTTCAAGTACTTGCCTCATTTGTTCACTGATAGTTGTAACATTCGCTATAGTGATTGCTGGTAGAGTAGCAAATTTAAAAGGAGATATTACAAATTATGGAGCCAATGTTAATATTGCTGAAAAACTGAAAGAGTTGGAAGCAATCGAAGACAAATTGAAAGAATTAAGTGATGGTAATTGAATGTATAATGTTTATATAGTACATTTTTTGAATTTATATACAGCTGATTGTGTATCATTTCTTATAGTTAAACAAGCTTTAGACCAAATTCTCACAAGTATGCCAGAAATGAAGAAATTAAAAGATCAGCTAGCATATCAAAAATCAGAAAACAATAAATTCAAGTATTCTTTAGAAGATTACAAGAATTTTATAAATCTTAATAATCAAAACAATTTCAATAGCAATATTAAAAATGATAGATTGGAAATGCTTGTGGATACTTACACAAATTTGTGTTTGATAATGAATAAAGTTAATTCATCCAATGCTGATATGGAAAACGATTTATGTAGAACACCAACGATTCTGTCAGATATGATTAATTTAAAAAAAAATCTGAAACTTGCTTTCGAAAATTCACAGGAAACCGCTATGCCTGAAAAACGGTATTCATTTTTTTTACAATCTTATCGAAATATTCGTACTATTACGATAAATGTATGCTTACCGTAAATAATTTTTTAGGATGTTCACTGATGCTGGAAGAAAACTCGACGTTATTTCTGATTCCCTACTATCTGATTTTTCAACGATGTTTGTACGCTTTTCATTCAAAATGCATAGAAGATTGAATAAGTTCGGATTCGAATTATATTCACGGCTGTGTTTATTAAATGATTTTGAAAAATCAGATGACAAATTTTTAAACATTTTACTTGACGATGATTTTTTTGTAAATCATTGTAATGTGACTGCAGATCCTGTAACAGCTGATTACAGATCAAATACTAGTTATTCAAAAAAACTAAATTATCGCGAAACCAAGAAAAATATTACAGATGAGTCGAAGAAAAATGAAAAAAATGACTATAAAAGTAATAAAGGATACGAAAAATACAAGGATACTAAGGAAGAATATACCAATGCTAGTGAAGGAGAACCTTTTAATAATATTGCTAATACCAAAAGTAAGGGAGAAGCAAAACATGATAACTGGAAGACAAATAATGAAAAATACTATCATGTAGAAAATAAATTCAATAAAAATGAAAAGTTTAGAGAGAACAATAAAAACGGTTACAGGCACAAAAGAGAATCAAAAAGTGACTTTAATAAGTCGTTTGAAAAAATTGAAACAAATTACGAGTATAATAATAAAAATAATAAAAAAGATACTAAATTCGATCGAAAACAAGATTACAAAAAAGATAGTGGTTATGATTATCGTGAATTTGAATATAAAAAGGATCACAATACCGATTTTAAAGTTTATTATGATAGAGAGTATTACAGTTCTGAGCAAAATTTTGAAGATAAGAGAGATCATGACTATGCATATGGATATGAATCTAAAAGAAATGATGAGTTTGAAAGAAAACTGGAGAAGAAAAAAGTTGGAAAATATGATAAGGACGTAAATGATGATTCAAAATTTATTATAAAAATGGATAATATTGCGGAAGATATCATTAAGAATAATAATCACGAACAACAAAAGTATAAAAATAAGGAATACGTTTTAAAACCTGAAAATTTCAAAGAATCAAAATATGCAAAATATGATAATCATGAACGCAGAGATAGAAAGGACAAATATCCGACTGGAGAATGGCAAATGCAAAGGTAAGAATTGCAATAGTAAAGCATAAATACCTTGTTTGTAAATTATTTAGCGAGAAATTACTTGAAAATCCTCTCTCGTAATTGAATAGCTTAAACGTCACGCTTTTACCGAATAATTCATTAAGATTACTATATTTATGTGTCAGTGCCAGTAGTCGCAGCATCAAACACTGATTTTCATAACTATCCTTCCGCACAGCATAACACTGTTCATATCACGAAGAAAATAAAACCTAAGATATGAACGACTGTAGATAGTACCATTTCATTTGTTCACGTGTGGCATTGTTTTCTTTGTTGTGTGTAGGGGCAAAGCCCGCGAAAAACAGCGGAATTCTGATTGGTATTTTGTCCGAGCAGATTCGCGTCAGCAAGCGAGGAGTAACGACGGAGGCAAGACGGAAGAAAAGAAAACGATTCGGAGAGCTTCTACCCGACCGAATAATAAGAAGCGAGCGGATACTTACCGTGATAAACCGAATAACTTTAGAGGACGGATCATGAAGAAAGTGGCTCATACGTGGGACTTTCTGAACAAAAAAATTCGAAACTACTTTTAAGGGATTGTTTCTTTTTACGATATTTTTCCATTTTTATTAAATCTAAAAATAATAACGAATTTATGAACTTTCACACTCATGCTACGTGCGTATACTCGATGTATTATTCAAGACTATTTTTTCTAAGATTTTAGTAGCAGTACGACAGATGGAAATGTAGATGATTCTTCTCAATACTTGATAATCTTTAAAGTAGCAACTACACACTGAAAGATTTCTCCAAACCTATCACACCATCAAGTTTTTTTCTTGGCATCTAATGGTTGATATTGCTTTCGAGTTTAACATTAACTTTTGGAGTAATACTGTATAGCTGAAAAATAATACGTTGATTGTCAATTATGATTATTGACTCGAAATGTTGCAAATAAATCACCGTAAGATGTGTTTACCTATTTTAAACATCACTTAACTGGAGCTTATTATTAGTAAACAAAGAAAATATAGCAAGTGTAAGATAAAGAAGAGAACGGAAATAGTTATTTTTATTATAAGTTTGTTTTTATAGTGATGAATAAGTAAATAGATAATCTATGAAACTGTTTGCTGTGAAATAAAGTAGTTACTTGTTTTTAAGAATGATAAATTTTGTATGTTAATTAATTTATGTCGAAAAGAAAGAAACGAGTATTAAAAAAAAAGAATCTAAACGGCTCGGAATCGTTATAATAGTTAAATCAGTTTTATGACAGTGTTAGGAAAGATCTTCACGAGTGTTTCCCGAGCAAAACTCCAAGACGATGTGTCATTCAAATGTTAGGCTTGTATGATGTAAATTATGCAACTTGTAAATTTCAATAAAAAGTGTTATTAAGATTATATATTTGCACTCGGAAACTGTGTTTCTTTAATTTCTTCAGAGTTGTCTGACACCGCGTCATTCAGCATAAATCATATGATCAGGATAGGAAACGCAAGTCATCTTCAACTTGGATCAGAGTTTTATTATTATTTGTAATATGCCCTTTACCATGGTATCCTCAGAAATGCACGTTTTTTACTTGGATGAAATGACGAATGACTTATCTGTTAATGGTCCTTGCAGTTGGAAGTAATCAGCTTCTTTCGATTGTCAGTTATAACTGAAAGACTTAGCTATCGAAGGAATATGTGGTCTTGCCCCATTGATTGGCCAAGTCAGTCGATGTCTCTGAGACAAAGAAATCAAATAAAAGATTGATGGGCTGCAAAGAATTATGCGGAGAAAATGAACGACTAGACGGTGGATTCGGCCGGCGAGTCTTGTTCGTCGCAGCTATTTCCGCCAGCAATCATCATTTTTGCGTATGCAAATTGAGCCGTCGACGAGCGTAAGAGCCCTTTCTTCGCTCGCGACGAAAGGCAAACGCAAAGAACGTCACATGAATGCGTAATTGTGAAGCGAGAAATATTGATGAGGCTGCGTCCGCTGTCGGAGGGCAAGGCGCAGTCGAACAAGGCTCACGCCAGCCCACGTCGACGACATATCGCACGAGACATGGACATCTTCGATAGCCGCTACTTCAGCATCAATAAGATGCTGCTGGTGGGCATCGGATTGTGGCCGTACGACGACGCGCCGAGGAAGCGTACAAAGCGCGTCTGCGTGCTCGCCACGATGGTCGCCATGGGCTTGCCTCACGTAAGCACGAGCTGGCCCGCTGATTTTGCGAGTCGCACTCGCCCCAGGACTTTCTTTAATCATTGTTGGTACTCGTGCGCAGTTCATCGGCATAATCGTGAACTTCGATAAGCACAAGCGGACCCTGCTGGAGCACATAGGCACCATCATGTTGATTTGCCTGGCGAGCGTGAAAGTCATCTCGAGCATCGTGTTCGAGAGAAAGGTTGACTTCTCGCGTGCGTGCGTCGGTTGCATTTGTCGTGCAGTCGTCGCTCGCACCTTTACGTTCCGATCGCCGCAGTTATCGCTGCTCTACAACGAGCCCAAACGTAATTGGGCGTCGATCATAGACACACGAGAACGGGAAATACTCGTGAAATATTCGGAAAGCGGTCTTATGATCACTCTGGGTTGTATGGGTATGCCGCAGTAGGATTGCCGACCACGCCTCCTATTTTCTCGCAGCTTATCTGACCATGAGTCTGGCGATGTTCGTGGTGCTGCCGCTGAACGCCTCTCGGCCCAAGCTCTATGTGATGAACGGGGAATTCCTGATCGACCGGGAGAGCAACTACGGCAAAATCTATCTCTGCGACACGCTGGCCTTCTTGGTCACGGTGCTCATGTTCATGGCCTGCGACACCATGTACGCCGCTTGCATCGAGCACTGCCTGGCACTCTTCGCCATCGTCAGGTGAGCGCAGGCACAGACTGCGAATGGCCGACGGGATGATCGCCGGCGGCGGCTTCCAGCTCGGAGATCCCGCCTACCATTGGATGCAGCACATTATCCGACTGCACTCGAAAATATTGCAGTTAAGCTCGATTAATTGACGCGCGTTCGTTTTGTTGTTTCGGTGACGGCGCTGGCAGACCGGGTCCCAGTCTCGCGCTGTCCGCCCGTCGCTCTGTCGTTCGCGTTGCTCGTGCGATCGTTGCGCAAGGTTCGCAGTTACGTTAGAGAGCACCTACGAGCAGCCGTTCTTCGCGATCATGGGCGTCAATCTCGTGTACTCCAGTCCGCTGTGCGCGCCGGTGAGTGCATAGCCGGCTCGCGGCCACCCACCGGCGCCGAGAAGTGCGCGCGCGCGACCGACCACACTGCCTTCGGATGTTGCAGACGCTCCTGCAGTCGGACAACGCGTTCAACTTCGTCAGGTACGTGCTGCTGTGCGCCGGCACCGCGATACACCTGTTCTACCTGAGCTGGCCGGGACAGAAGCTGATGGACCACAGCGTCCAACTTCATCGGCAAGCGTAAATACCTACCACGCTCGTCTGGCCGCTTATACGATTGTGCGAGCTATTTTTGCTTGCCGGCAGCTACCTGAACCAATGATATCGGAACTCGGCTCCCACCAAGACCCTCCTCAACTTCTTCATGCTGCGATGCTCCAGGCCCTGCTTGCTTACCGCCGGCGGAATGTACATCATGAACTACGCCAACTTCATATCGGTATTATATCTCGTGCAGCTTCCTGCCCGCAGCTCGACACTCGCTTTTCCCTCTGTTCCAGGTGATGAAAAAGTCGATATCCTTTATGGCGGTTTTCTCTTCGTTCCAATAACGAGGCCGGCGACGCTGGATTTTCGCGACGGGCGCAGCGTGTCAGTCAGCACGATAACAAGAATAAAGGCTGCATAGCCACCAGAGCATTTTCATGGGAAGTCGCTTCGTCGAGTGCACGTTCATTTGCCCTTCTCTCGTCTTTGCCGCGAAGCGTACTCGTGATTTTTGCCCGTATGCAAATCGCATTGCGCTAGGAACACGGGCGAACCATTTACGACCGGCCTGTTATTACCCCGGCCGTACTCAGCGACCAGTTAGAGCTTTCCCTATACAAATTGAGCTTCGCCATGACGGACTTGCGTAGACACTGCGCGATCATTATTGAGCACGTTCGCGAGAACAATGACGATCGCCGTGACGAAATGTCCGATCGGCTCCGACGCTGCGCCATTGCATTATCTTTTGAACTTGCGACACGAAAGACAGGCTGACTTTCCTTCGCAGCTTAGTTTGTGGTTTTCGGCTCCAGCCGGATCGCTCGTGACGACTAGGAATCGACGAATTGCCTCGACAAAATCGGACAGCTGCGAGTTGCGCTGCCGCCGTTCCCGCCATCGCCGCCTTTGCCGATCGTAGCAGGACCAGCCGAGAAAATAACGTCGATCAAAAGCTCGAGCGATCCTCCCCGGAAAGTTTATAACCCGCACTCGTCGTCGATCGTTTCGTTGCATCTCCCGAAATCTCATTGAAACTTACAGTCGTCGTCTCCGTATCCTTCGATGGCCAGTGCACATGGTATTATTATTCAATAAACAAAACACGCCTTTCGCAAACGAGTAGCCAATGCTCGTTTCTTTCTGTGACTATCGCTAGCAATATTCTTGCCGTAATCAAGAATTGCGTGATTGCGTGAACGTAGCTCAAGTGACTTTCTATCATTTCTACAGACAGCAGTAGATATAACTGATTTATGGATTGCAACTTGTGAAATTGCACTTTCTCGTAATGTCCTTCGCCAACCAACCGAATGTTTGTGAATCTGTGCGATACTTCGAAACCGCACAAACTATTTTTTAGGAATGGTTAACGTGGTCAAGGAGGTTAGAAAACGAGCAAAATTATTGCATTTTCACGTTTGTCTTGATGGAGTTTGCTACAACTTGGATTTGATCTCGGAACAAGATGGGAAAGAGCACACTGGAACAGAACAATCATTTCGTATTACCCGAAGTCGCGAATAGCGAAGTCGCCGTATTTGCCAAACGACTCGTTGGCATTTTCGAAATACTGATGACGAAATTGGAGCTCGCCGTGAGTTGCATTGAAATAATCGATTTCGCCATAATTATATTCTCAACGCGATCCGCTGTGCACGATTGTCGATGTTTCAGGCTACCTTACCCCTAATAAGCTCTGATGCAAGTATCCTTAAAATCGTGAAGGACGAAGATTCAAAACGACTCCTAAGCACCTTTTTTTCGCAATTTACTTCTGACCACGACAATTCAGCATCAATCCACACTGAAGGTTAACGATCGATTGTTTCGATTTTAAAAAGTCTTTTACAAAAGAATTATTTGTAGATATACTGAAAACAGTCGGCGTTAATTTCGACAATTCCGGCTCACTGAAACAAATAGGTCACAGCCAAGTGAATCAATCGCGACAATCCTCCTGTTCGTATGCTTCCATCAAAGACCGCATCGATGTGTACCAACTTCTTCAAGTAACTATCTGAAATCTCGTGATTATTCGCATTAGCGATACATCGTCGACTATTTCCTTGCATTGGCGCGCTGTTACGTTACTTCAGATCGTATTATCGAATCCGACGTTGTTTCAACTATCAAAAAGCTTGCAATCCAACGTGAGAGAATCAAACTATTTCCTTCGGCAAATCAAGTATTTCATGGAATTCGTCGTGTCCAAAGTGCTGTCTATGCCCGTCGATGAGAGAGACACGGAGCTGAATTTCCGTAACGTTTGCGCGCAAATCGAGCAATCGAAGCTTGAAATGCTAGGTAAAAGCACGATAGCCAGCGCAGCTGCCTGCCCGACAACGATCACACCTCATCTTTTCATAGACCTGACCACTGCTCTGCAAGATCAAAAATCTAGACAACGAGCGGAAACCCAGCAGCTGACAAACAAACTCGATAATCTTTTGAATCAATGGCAGAACATCGACGAGGAGTACAATGTTACTGTCAAACAACTATTGTAAGGAAAGTATTGTAGATATGAAATTCTATATCTAACGATCAATGTCTCGATGGTATTATTTTTCTTTTTTTTCTGTCAGGAATACGTCTAAAGACAAGAGAGATACATCTTTGGAAGAGTTTACCGAAAGAATAAATAGTCACCGATCGTTATTTGAACGATTGAAAACGCAGCTTGCAAACGATAAAGCCAACAACAAGAAGATAGAGCATGACATTCAAATGCAAAAGTAAATTACTTTCGCATTCACATTGACTTGCACTGTCGTGCTTACGTCTTGCCAATGCTATTCTATTATTAGATTCAAAGTCGAGTCTCAGTTAACGTCGCTGATCATGAAATTTGATACGGAAATTGGCGATCGTCAGGAAACTTACGATGAGCTGATGAAAGAATACGTTGATTTGGAGCAAGAAAAATCTCAATTGACGGTGACATTCGATCTACATAATTTTCTTTGCAGTCCAATAATATCTGTATTCATTATAGGATGCCATGAACGAACAATTCATTATTTACAACAGTATTATAACGGAAAGGGAAGAGAAAGCTTTCGAGGAATATAGAGAAAAATATATGAAATTTGTAAACAACCGATCGGCTAGATTAATTCAAAGATGGTGGCGAGCTGTCCGCTCGAAGTTGAAGAAAAAAGATAAAAAGAAGGTTTGTATGGCAGAACGAAAAACGAATGGTGCCGGAAATTTCTGACGCATTAAACTTACAGGGAAAAAAGAAGAAGACCAAAGCTTAGCTAACCGAATGAAGACTCACACGTATAACTGTTATAGTTCAATTTTAAAAGATGAATACAATAAATTTAGCTGAAAATAAAGTCAGCTTTTAAGTCGAAGACATCTGAAAACAAATTTCACAAAGTCTATCAATGCAGCTTCGTTACAGTCGGAAGCTGATTTGAAAACACTTGTGTTTTTGTAATAATCTATAGTCTTCACTTTTCTAAAATTCAAAAATATATGTAAAAGAACATTTTCAATCAAATAATGTAAAAATATTTGTTTGGAAAATTACAAAATTTCTGTTGATAATTCTAAATTGTTTCCATTTTTATGTATTTCATTTGAAAGTATCCAACTCGATAGTTGAATAAAATCGAAGGTCAATAATAATTTATTATTCATTCGTTATATTTTGTTCAACTCAGGTCTGTCCTAAAGTTACGAAGTAAACGTCCGCTGTCCAATAACAACTGTATTTTTTATACTTCGTTATTGGCCAAAGTATAGACAAAATATTAATAAAAATATTTAAGCCAAAGTATATTATTTTGGAAAATGACACATGTCAGGATAAAAAGCTTTACTGACTAATTCACTGAAGATTTTTATTACTCTATGTCGCCATAGCGTCAACGTTTTCTTGGTACCATAGCAATTATCAGTTTGATGTAAGTAAATTGAACCTTCTGCACATATTATTAGAAATCAAAGTTTAGGAGAAGAATTCATGTACATTTATCAAATTCGCTTTGATTGCGGATAGATGCTATGAGAACGATGTAATAAGAAAAACGCTCAAGCGAGAAATTCTCGAAGAAAAACTTAGTGATAAAATATGAGTTGCTTGTCTATGAAGTGATAAAAACCGTATTGTCCAGAGCTCTTTCATCGTTTTTTACGAACAGCTAACGGGCATTTTTGTTAATCGCTAGGTATAGTATACAATTAATTTAATAATATATTAATATGAATATTTATTAATATAATATTTAATATTAATTTAATATTATATAATTAATACTATACATCCTTCATAATTGCTATACAATTAATTAATAAAATGCTTTCGTTTTCTTTTTTTTTATTGACTTTGACCATACGAAAACTCACGCACCAAACGTGCATCGTGGTTTCGAATCAAATACAACGTTTGTATGTAAAAAGATCAAACTCAATTAATATATGTATCAACTTAACCTCACATATATGTTAACAAGATATTACAGCTTTTCCCCATAGTAATAAAAGATATAACTACCTAAAGTCATCGCTTTCTTGATTCTCATTAGTTATTGATCAAACCTTCGAACGTGCTCATACATCTACTGAAAATAGTAAATTTTTCAAGGATAAGAATTAACATTATGCCCTATTACAAGATTTTGATGTCGCGTCTTTCGATAAATGATTGTATATAATCTCAACCGAATAATGTTTGCAATTGGTAAGCGCTAAAGCGCAAATGAGTTTTGTCGAGTAAGAAATTAAATAAGCGAATTTTTTTTTGTCTTTGCACGATATACAGTTCTAAGTATTTCTGTCTTGTCAGCTTGATTAGTTTAACAATTGCCTTGCTTCAGAAATTTAAAAGCGGCATTGTTGTATCGTAAAGTTACAATGAAACATGCGTAAAAATAATTCTATTTACGTATGTTGAATTGATTATTGTATATGTACGATTCGAAAGCCTATATATATATATCATTGCATTGTTATAGTATTATATGTTTATAGTAAAACGTGTGATCAAGTTAATTATTAACTTCAACCCTTAACTTGCACACCTCATTTTGGCCACGTAACTGCTCGGTGGGGTAAATCTACCCCAGCCCGAAAAATATCGAATAAATCAGAGAATTTGAAATATTTTGCTATGAAAATTTTTTCTAGTATATTTCAAACCTTTTACTACAAAAAAATATTCAGGTTAACAATTTTTAATGTTACACACACTAAAAAAATTGTTGAAAAAAAAAAAAAATTTTATATATTGTTAAAAATTGTCTGGGGTAAATCTACCCCACATAGCAGTTAAGGGTTAATTCGAGCGTCAATGCTAATTTTATTTTATAATTATATTTATTCTCAGAAATATGTAATAAAGTCAATGCTTATCGATTCGAGCCAATATTCGAAATCGAAAGTTGACGGAAGGTATTGCAAAAAACATTTGAACGCTAATGATTGTTTGATATGTTGGGGAGAAAAAGTACGTTATAAAAAATGTTGCTAAGCAACTTCACGCTCACAGTGCAATTACAAAAATGCTGAGTTGTAGTTAAAAAAAGTGTACATATGTATTGAGCCGTGAAGCCATCAAAATGAAATAGACAAGTTTACCTAGACTTCGATGTATAATAATTTTGAAAGTGAAATAATATAAGTCGACAAATAAAGTTACAATGGGTGACGAAGTTGACGACAGGAAAGATGAAGATCCCTGCTACGACTTTATTCTTCAGTACATTTTGAAGATGAATAAACTTAAAATGGATGTATGGCAGCGCATGAAGGCTACAAAGGAGTACAAGGTTATATTGCACAGGACCAAACGTCAAACGAGATTATAACTTACTCATGTGCATTTCGATTGTTGTTATTTTGCAACTTTTCAGAATACCATTCAAAGGTTCTTCGACACCCCAACGGAGAACCTACTTCTCGTGGAACTGTCGCCAGCAAGTGTCTTGATACCTCACTTGACGATACAGTTCAATTTCAAATCGAAGTATCACTATTTTTTGAAAAATCAAGCGGTTAAGATTAGCAAGGACAACTGCTCGACTGCGATGATTGCGGGTGAAATGACGCCCAGATCCTTCGACGACTTAGCTACCGTCATAGAAGAGGTGTGAGACGCTTGCTTTCAGCTGATAGTTTCGCTTGTCCGAGTCGTACGGCAAGTGGTGTACGTGGATGTGAAATGAAAATGACTCGTAGATCTTCATCCCGATTCTCGCGGACCCCGAGGAATACAATTCCTGGCCGGAGGTGATCGCCGAGGACGTGAGAAATCACATCTACGAGCTTCGCAGCCTGATATGCCAAGTAGGCGCCGCGAACCGGCCGATTTCCGTACAAAAGCGCAGAGCGAAAAAGCGGCCGTTGACGCGCAGATCCGAAGCAAAGTGAGCGGCGAGACGATGCTGCCGATGCCGATGGGCACCGAGCGCGTGTTCGCGGAAGGTGCCGTACCGCCTCGGCTGCGTCGCAGCATCGAGGAGGTGGTGATCAAGTGGGCCGAGCTGATCGGCGAGGTGCTCGCCGAGGACAGCAGCCAAGCTCTCGAGCAGGAGGAGCAGCCTCTGCCCAAGTCAGGTATTCGCCGTGACGCCGTGTTCGGCGGGCCGTCCGCTCGGACGCCGCTGAATTCGGCTGCGGCTGCGTCGCCCGCAGAGCTGCAATTCTGGAGAAAGCGGTTGAAGAACGTCGAGTCCATCTACGACCAGCTGAGGGATCCGCGAGTGAAGAAGATGGGCAAAATCCTGGAAAAGTCGAAGAGCACGTACTTACCGAGCCTGCGCAAGATCTTCGAAGACGTCGTCGGAGGTAAGTAAGAGCCCGGAATCGTAATCGGAATAGCGAGCGTGCGCGCGGCTAACACGGCGAGAGTGGCGCGGCGCGCAGCCGTGGTCGAGGCTCGCGACGTCTGCCTGCACCTGCTGCCCCTGGAGAAGCACTTCCAGGACATCGAGAGCCAGTCGGACCTGCCGAGCATCGAGCCCAAGCTCAAGCCCATGCTGCACTGCATCTGCTTGACCTGGGCTCGCTCCAAGTACTACTGCAAGAGCGTGCGCATCGTCACGCTCTTCAAGGAAATCAACAACCTCGTACTGCTGCAGGTTTGTCGTTGACAAGCTTGGGGGCTCGGCTAGCCGGCGCACTCACTGCTGCTCTCCTCCCAAGGCCATGGACTACTTGGACTCGCTGTTCCAAGGCGAGGCCGAGGACAGCCTGAAGAAGATCGCGCGCGGGGTGGCCGTCATCGAGAACTTCCAGGACCTGTACGAAAGCTTTCGCGTCCGAGTGAGCAGCTACTTCAAGCACTCGCGCGAGCCGCTCGGCTGGAACTTCCACGAGAAGCTGATCTTCGACAGACTGCTCAAGTTCTTGTCGAGGGTGAAGCAAGTGAAGGTAGCCGAAGGTCTATCCACGGGCCGCTCGCTCGGTCGAGCCGCAGAAGCGCCAAGTGCAAGCCCGCGCCTCGGTTCGCAGTCGCTCCTCGAGGTGGCGCAGGAGTACTTCAGACTGGAGAAAATCGAGATAGCCGGGCTGCGGGGCAAGAAGCTCGGCGCCCTGGTCCTCGAGGTTTACGAGGAGTTCGTCAAGCGTTACGCCGAGTTCGCCAACGTCGGCTACGAGATGCTGCTCCCCGAGGAGGACACCTTCGATCGCGATTACGAGATTTTCCTGAAGCAGGTTCTGGGCGCCTAGCCGCTCAGGGCGATCGGCCGCCGCCGGAAAGCAAAACTCAAAGTCGCCGCTGTTCCCTCTCGCAGATCGAGGAGTACGACCGCAGACTGGCGACCATTCTCGACCGAGCCTTCGCCGAGTGCCACACGATAGAAAGCATCTACAAATTCACCGTGAACGTCGGCACGATCGTCTCGCGGCCGATCATATTCCGCCAGCTGTGGCCGTACTACGATAAGCTCTTGAGAAAGCTGCACGCCGAGCTGGACGCGGCCAAGGTAAAGTCGATCGAGAGGAGCCTCCGATCGGGGGGCGAACACTCTCATCGGCCGTGACGCCGCCGCAGCTGATCTTCGACGAGAACGCGAGGCTCTACGATAGCACCGGGCGCATGGTCATCGACGAGGGATTCCCGCCGGTGGCCGGTATGCTGGCCTTCTTGAGGAGGCTCCAGACGCGCGTCCGGCTGCCGCTGGACTGGGTCCGCTCTGTCGATCATCCGCTGATGCAGTCGGAGTCGATGGCGATCGCGGTCGGCAAGTACGAGCAGCTCGAGGTGCGTACGCGAGGCGGCCGGGCCGCCGCCAATCGGTTCTTCCCCGATCGCCCCGCCGACTGTCGACGCGCTCGTTGTCCGCGGTCAAGGAGCTGGCGGCCCAGAGGGAGCGCGATATCTTCGCGGGCTGGGCCGAGGCAGTGCCGGAATGGTGCGAGCTTGGCTTGGCCAAGACTCTGCTGGACAAGGACGAGGACGACGCTTTGTCCGTGAACCTGGACGCGGACTTGGCCATGGTTTTGCGCGAGTCCAGGTATCTGATCATGATCGTCGAAAAGACGGATCTGCCGGCCGAGGCTCTGGACGTGTTCGCGAGATCCGTGTTCTTTTCCGAGTGCAACGTCAAGCTCGGCAACATCTCCAGCCGGTAGGTGCAGATTAACACGATTCTTACCGGCGAGTCGCGCGACGTGCCCCGTCGTTCACCGCGTCTTTCGCTCGTCTCAGGTACAACGACGTCAACACCACCACTTCGGACATTGAAAAGTTCTTGCTGGCCGAAGAAATGCAGGCCATAGACGAGATGATAGATTACAGCCAGAAGAACTACACGTGGAATTCGCCTGGTAAACGCGCGAACGGCAAGAAGAGTCTGCGCGGCCGACGAGAGCGACGATTAACGTATTGCAGAGGCGAGCGAGTTCGTGGACAAGCTGGACGAGATGCTGGGCAGCCTGTCATCGCGCGTGAAAAAGGCCCAGCTCAACCTGTCGCAGCTGCGAGAGCGGCTGGACGCCTGGGCCTCGACGCCGGCGATCACGCGCAAGGACAACAAGCGGTGCCAGCTGCTTGCCGTCGTCGAGCGCAAGGAGATCTTCGAGAAGCGGTACCAGGTGGTCGGCGCCGACGCCGGGGAAATCGAGCGCGTCCTCGACGAGAACTACCAGCTGTACTTTGACCTGGTGCCGGAGGCGGCGCTCGCGGAGCAGCCGCGCCCGGAACCGGAGGACAGCGGCGAGGCCGACGAGGACGACAAGCAGTGAGGCGCCGCGTCGGCTCGCGCGCGCCTGCTCGGTCGAACTAACGCGCTCGCTCTCGGCCGATCGTTCGGGCGGCAGGGCCAAGGAGGACGCGGGACTCGGGGACGAGGTCGCCGAGGCCGTGGAGGAGGCGGCGCTCGAGCAGCCGGAGTCGCAGCCGTCGGCGACGGCCTCGGAGCTGCTCCGCCGCGAGGAGGAGGCGGCCCTGGAGGCCGAGCGCGAGCAGCAGCGCCGCCAGAAGTACGCCCGGTACCTAGCTTTCGTCGACGAGCTCGTGGCCGGGGTTCTCGTCCGGGCTGCTTTGTCGAGGTTCGCCGCGAGCCACCGACCGACCGATCCTCGACTCCGACCACCTCACGCGCACGGCCGCGTTCCGCTTGTCCGCAGCATCGGCTACGTCGTCGCGGAGACCGAGGCGACGGCCGACATCGAGCCGCTCTTCGAGATCCAGCTGCTGCTGGAGGAGCCCAGCCTGGTCTTCCGCCCGTCCGCCGACATCGATCATCCCGAGGGCTTCTACGCGCTCTACGAGGACATCATGCTCGACGTCATGCGGATGGCTACCCTCGTGCCGCGGGTCGACCCGGAAAAGATGGTCGAGCGCGAGTTCTACACGGTAACGTCGACCTAGCCGGCGATCGACTCGTCGCGCGTCGATGGGTCTAACGCGCCCGCAACGTTCCCCCGATCAGGTGGACCTGGCCGAAAACCCAGACATCGTAGACATGCTCGAGGAAACCTCGTCGCGAGTGAAAAGAGCGCTGAGCGAAGCCGTGGCGTACTCGCGGGTGAGCCCTGAGCTTTGCTACCTACCCTACCAGCCCGGCCTAACCTCCACTCGCCTCTGCTCGCGTGTCTCCCTCGTAGAAATACGACTATTTCGCGTGGCTGTGGACGGAGGACAGGCAAGAGTATCTGCAGCTGTTCCTGCGATTCGCGCGCGAGCTGACCGAGAGCGAGAAGGAGCGCGTGGCTCAGGCCGACGACGACGAGGTGCTCGTCGATATGCCCGACAAGAAGCCACAGCTCGACGACTTCAAGCGCGAGCTGGATCGGTTCCGCGAGCTGTACGACCAGAGCCGTAGCATCGAGGACGTGGCGCTCTTCGACAAGTGGCTCAGGGTCAACGTCAGGCCTCTGAAGCAGAGCATATTGAACAACGTGTGCAAGTGGTCCAATCTCCTGAAGCAGTACCTCGTCCAGCGCGTGCACAAGACGTATGCTCGCGCTCGATATATCCGTTTCCGCTGAAAATAATCGGCTCCGCTTTCAGCCTGGACGAGATAGCGGACTTTTTGAGGAAAGCCCACACGAGATTCTCGACGCCCGTGGCCGAGGACGACTACGACGCTCTGCTCGACACGATCTACTACTTGAAGGAAGTCCGCGATCGGACCTTCGAAATCGACGAAGCGTTCGAGCCGCTGAAAGTAACGATCTCTCTCCGTCGCGAGCTCCTTGAAAATACCGACCTGTGTCGAACGATCAGCTGACGATCCAACTGCTGGCCGAGTACCGAGTGGAATTCGAGGAGGAGATTCGCGACCAACTGATGCAATTGCCTGAGTTTTGGAGCAGTGTGAAAAAGCTGGGAGCTCAAGTGAAGCAGACCGTGGCGCCCTTGCTAGCTACGCAGATCGACTGGCTGAAGAAGAAGTTCGTCTGGTTCGAGTACCGACAGAGGAAATTGTTGGACAAGTTCCGCGTCAACGAAGTTTTCGAGTACGTCCGTATTCGCGCGTAGCCCTACCCGTTGAATCGAGTCCGCGCTGACCATCGACAATCCGTAGCCCGGCGTGCGAGGATCCGTACTTCTGCCTCGATGAGATCAACGAGAAGGTGCAAGAACTGGTGGACGAACTGCGCGAATTGTCGCGCACGGCCAACATATTCGAGCAGCCGACACCCGAGTTCAAAGAGCTAAATCAATTACGCCAGGAAATAAAGATGATAAAGAACCTTTGGGACTACGCCAATGTCGTCATGTCCAATATTTCCGAGTGGAAGAAGACCGTTTGGAAGAAGCTGGACATCGAGGGAATGGACGTCGAGTGCAAAAAATTCACCAGAGAATTGAGGCGTACGTGTTGAGCGATTCGCGCGATGCAATCTGGATTACTGATAAAATACTTTTCGGCTTGCCAGTTCTCGACAAAGAAGTGAAAAGCTTGGAGTTGTACAAGTTTATCGACGCGCAATTGAAAAACATGATGTCGTCGTTGAGATCGGTGTCAGAACTCCAAAACCCGGCCATCAGGCAAAGACATTGGCATCAGCTTATGGCCGAGACAAAGGTGATTTTCAGTGTCCTCTGTCCCTGAACGTCATTTGAGTGTGACGGCTAATCGGGCCTGGCCCCACAGGTCAAGTTCACCATGAACGACCGAACGACACTGGAGGAGCTGCTGAGGCTCGAACTCCACAAGTACGAGGAAGAGGTGAAGAATATCGTCGATAAGGCGGTGAAGGAGATGGGCATGGAAAAGGTATTGAACGAATTGCAAGTTACGTGGAGTCAAATGGAATTTGAGAAGGAGCCGCACGAGAGAACGCGCTTGAATGTTCTGCGAATCAACGAAGAAGTTATCGACACGTTGGAAGAAAACCAAGTAGAAATAACAAAACAAAGGTACCCACCCCCTCGCCACCCTTACGCAACTCGCTTTCGATCGTTTCAGGTGCAATTGCAAAACATGCTAGGATCCAAATTCATCGGGCATTTCTTGAAAGAGGTTTCGGATTGGCAGCAGAAGCTGAGCAATGCCGACGCGGTGATAAGCATCTGGTTCGAGGTGCAAAGGACATGGATGCATCTCGAGAGTATATTCATTGGCTCGGAAGACATCAGAAGTCAGCTGCCCGACGACTCGAAACGTTTCGAAAAACTCGATCGGGACTTCAAGGTTAGCGCTAGAGTAGCTAGCTTTCGCACCCAGCCGTTTCATGTCGTTTCTCTCACCGAACAGGACTTGCTCAGGGACGTAGGCTCGAACTTGAATATAATCAAAGCAACGAACAAGCCCTATCTGCTCGGCAAGCTAGAAGAGATCGAAAGGCAGCTGAATCTGTGCGAGAAAGCTCTGACCGACTATTTGGAAACAAAGCGATTGGCCTATCCGCGATTCTATTTCGTGTCGCCGGCCGATCTCTTGGACATTTTGAGCAATGGTGAGCAGCGCGAACGACGATTAGAGATCGACCATGCATACGCGTATTCGGTTGGGCTTTCAGGAAACAACCCCGAATTGGTCTGCCGACACTTGTCGAAGCTATACGACTCGGTGGCTAATTTGAAATGGAGGATCGAGGGTGGTAAATCCTCGAAAACAGGTAGCTCGTTCGAGCCTATTATTTTTGAAAGCCACGTCGAGGCCGAGCTGACGGGTCGAAAATGAAAATCACGAATTTGCCTCGCGCAGCGAATGCGATCGTGGCGAAGGACGGCGAGGTGATGAAGATGAACGGCGTCTGCGACTGCAGCGGAAAGGTGGGACGGGCGCTCGGCGCGTGCTCCCGGCCGGCTACTGAAGCGAGCGTTGGCCGCACAGGTGGAGATCTGGCTGAACCGTGTGACGGAGGCGATGAGGCGCACGGTGCGCTACCACTTCAGCCAAGCGGTCAACTCGTACGCGGAGAAGCCGCGCGAGCAGTGGCTGTTCGACTACGAGGCGCAGCCGGCGCTCTGCGGCACGCAAATCTGGTGGACGAGCGAGGTGAACATGGCCTTCGCCCAGCTGGAGGAGGGCTCGGAGAATGCTCTGAAAGGTGGTGGCGCGCGCGAGGCCCGCGACGCTCGCGGCGACGCGCAGGAGTAACCGCGCTCGCTCGGCCGCAGACTACCAGAAGAAGCAGGTGGCGCAGCTGAACGCCCTGATCGGACTGCTGATCGGCGAGCTGACGGACAACGACCGGCAGAAGATCATGACGATCTGCACGATAGACGTGCACGCGCGCGACGTGGTCGCCAAGCTGATCTCGATGAAGGCGGAAAGCGCGCTGAGCTTTCAGTGGCAGTCGCAGCTGCGCCACCGCTGGGACGACAAGCTGGCCGACTGCTTCGCCAACATCTGCGACGCGTGCTTCGCCTACGCCTACGAGTACCTGGGCAACACGCCGCGGTTGGTGATCACGCCGCTGACCGACCGCTGCTACATCACGCTCACGCAGTCGCTGCACCTGGTGATGGGTGGCGCGCCGGCCGGCCCGGCCGGCACCGGCAAGACCGAGACCACCAAGGACCTGGGCCGTGCCCTCGGCCAGATGGTCTACGTGTTCAACTGCTCCGAGCAGATGGACTACAAGTCCTGTGGCAATATCTACAAGGGGCTGGCGCAGACGGGCGCCTGGGGCTGCTTCGACGAGTTCAACCGCATCAGCGTGGAGGTGCTGTCGGTGGTGGCGGTGCAGGTCAAGTGCGTGCTCGACGGCATCAAGAGCCGCCGGCGGACCTTCGTGTTCTTCGACCAGGAGCTAAACCTGGTGCCGTCGGTGGGCATGTTCATCACGATGAACCCCGGCTACGCCGGGCGCACCGAACTGCCGGAGAACCTCAAGGCGCTGTTCCGGCCGTGCGCCATGGTCGTGCCCGACTTCGAGCTCATCTGCGAGATCATGCTGGTGGCCGAGGGCTTCCAGGAGGCGCGCCTGCTCGCCCGCAAGTTCATCACACTCTACACCCTCTGCCGCGAGCTGCTCTCCAAGCAGGACCACTACGACTGGGGCCTGCGGGCCATCAAGTCCGTGCTCGTGGTCGCCGGAAAGCTCAAGCGCGGCGACCGATTGCGCCCCGAGGACCAGGTGCTCATGCGCGCCCTGCGCGACTTCAACACTCCCAAGATCGTCACCGACGACGTGCCCGTCTTCATGGGCCTCATCGGTAACCTCTAGCTCGCTTCTGCCGCCCCCTCCCCACCTCACGCGCCCTCGCTTGCAGGCGACCTCTTCCCTGCCCTCGACGTGCCCCGTAAGCGCGACCTACACTTCGAGGAGGAAGTCAAGCAGGCCACTCTCGACCTGAATCTGCAGCCGGAGGACGGCTTCATACTGAAGGCACGGCATAGCCTTCGGGGAGACCCTTTGCGGGAGGTTTTCTCGAATATCGGCTGGTCTTTTCCGCGCAGGTCGTGCAACTCGAAGAGCTGCTGTTCGTGAGGCACTCGGTCTTCATCGTCGGCTTCGCCGGTACGGGAAAGTCGCAGGTCTGGAAAACGCTCTTCCGCACCTACCTGAATCAGAAGCGCAAGCCGTACTTCAACGACCTCAATCCGAAAGCTGTGACCAACGACGAGCTGTTCGGCGTCATCAATCCAGCTACCAGAGAATGGAAGGATGGGTAATGGCGCGACTGGACGGCACGACGACTGCGCCGTTTGATCGTGCAACAATGTGTTCGGTTCAGTCTGGTGTCCGTGCTGATGAGAGACCAGGCAAACATGAGCGGCGACGGCCCGAAGTGGATCATTTTCGACGGCGACATCGACCCAATGTGGATCGAATCGCTCAACACCGTCATGGACGACAACAAAGTGCTCACTCTTGCTAGCAATGAGCGTATCGCGCTCACGAAGCAGATGCGCCTGCTCTTTGAAATTTCCAACTTGAGGTTCGACGGACTCGAGCTCGCGCTGCCTGCAAACTCGAGCGCCTACCTAATGCTTGTTCGACCTCGAATCGTTTTAGGACGGCGACCCCCGCGACCGTCTCGCGAGCTGGTATTTTGTACATCAACCCGCAGGACCTCGGATGGAGCCCGTAACTGCAGCGACCTTCTCTTGCTCGTCATGGGCACCGGTAACGAGCTGATTGCTTTGGTTGTGTCTCAGGTTTGTGCAGAGCTGGATCGACACGCGTCACGTGAACGAGCGCGGCAACTTGCTGGTGCTATTCGAAAAGTACATTCCGCCGCTTCTGGAGGCGACGAAATTGAGATTCAAAAAGATAACGCCCATCCCGGAAATCGCTCATTTGGAGATGCTCTGCAATCTACTGGATTGCTTCTTGGTCAAGGAAAACGTGCCAGCTGACTGCCCGAAGGAATGGTAAGTAGGCTGACGCCGTTGGTGAAGGGACTGATAAATGCTTACGTCAAAGGTACGAGTTGTACTTCTGCTTCTGCTGCATCTGGGCGTTCGGCTCGGCAATGTTCCAAGACCAGCTGGTCGACTGGCGAAACGAGTTTAGTAAGTGGTGGCAGAGTGAGTTCAAGTCCGTGAAATTTCCCTCGGGCGGCTCGGTCTTCGGGTACTTCATCGACTCGGAGACCAAGAAACTGCTGCCTTGGGACGAGAAGGTCGGCAAGTTCGACCTCGACACCGACATCCCCCTGCAGGTATGTGCTGCCCGTTTGCCGAGGCAAGCCCGGCGACGATGACGAGGCGCATTGTCGACGAGTAGGCGACGCTGGTGCCGACCGCCGAGACGATCCGCATTCGCTTTTTCATGGACATGCTGATGGCCAAGAAAGTGCCGGTCATGCTGATCGGCAGTGCGGGATCAGGCAAAAGCGTCATCGTGGCCGACAAATTGTCCAGCTTGCCCGACAACTATAATATCGCAAATGTGCCCTTCAACTATTACACGACCTCCGGTAAGGATCAATGTCTGTCTATTCATGCTTTTCAAGAATAATCCAACTTTATTGATCCGACCTTGTCTCGTGAACAGAAATGTTGCAAAGAGTTCTGGAAAAGTACCTGGAAAAGAAGGCCGGTCGTAATTACGGCCCACCTGGCTCCAAGTCGTTGGTTTACTTCATTGACGACTTGAACATGCCCGAAGTCGACACGTACGGCACAGTTCAGCCGCACACGATTATACGCCAACACATGGACTACGCCCATTGGTATAGTCACTTTCACTGACACTTCGGCGAAATACCTTTGCCGGCAGCCAACGATAATTTTCGTAAATTCCTATCGTCGCCAGGTACGACAGGCAGAAATTCACGCTGAAGGACGTTCACAATACTCAGTACGTCTCCTGCATGAATCCCACCGCCGGAAGCTTTACGATTGATCCTCGACTCCAGCGACACTTTGCTGCTTTCGCAGTCAGGTATCGTGTTTCCGTTCGCGCTCCCTTCCTACAATTCTCTCACGCACGACATTCGATCAATTTCCGTTGACAGTTTTCCTGGGCGCGAAGCTCTAGTCACGATTTACAGTCAGATATTGGAGCAGCATCTGAGTTACCCGTTGCACAAAATCAATCCGGCGATCGGCAAACTGTTGGACGCCTTTATAGATACGACTCTCTATATGCACGACAAAGTTACAACTTCCTTCTTGCCAACGGCCATCAAGTTCCACTACGTTTTCAATCTCCGAGATCTGTCAAACATATTCCAAGTGAATAATTCATTCTCGAGTTCACTATTCACTCCATAAAGTCATTTGTTTGTTTCTGAAATGTCATTGCAGGGTATCTTGTTTTCAACTGGCAATACCATACCGGACAGCATAGCATTCTTGCGTTTATATGTACACGAAGCTAACAGAGTGTATTGTGACAAGCTCGTCGACAGCGAAGACAAAAATCTCTTTGATCAACTTCTCCGAGATTCTTTGAGAAAATACATTCCTGTAAGCACCATTAGATATTTTCATGTAAAAACTGACCGTGCTGACTCGAGCGTCTAGAGTATTTAAAAAAAAAAAAAAAATTTTAAACGGATTAGAACATCAATAATAGTAGTGCTGCAGTTTTAATGTAGGAGAATGATTTTGATAGATGCTGGAGGAAGACAAAGTTTTTGCCGATCCAATAATTTTCTGCCACTTCGCCGAGGGTGTTGGCGATCCAAAGTACATGCCAATACGCGATTGGCCGCACCTTGAAAAGTTGCTTAGCGACGTTCTCCTGAATTATAACGAGTTGGTGAGTAATGACATACCGATAAGGACGCCTTCTGTCGAATTTCGAAAACTATAAAGACACTATCGGAATGAAGGTTTCTGCCATGAATCTGGTAATGTTCGAGGATGCGATGTATCACGTTTGCCGCATCAATCGGATATTAGAAGCGCCAAGAGGTAACGCGTTGCTTGTCGGTGTTGGTGGGAGTGGAAAGCAGTCCTTGTCGAGGATCGCGTCTTTCATCTCCACATTGGAAGTAAATTAGACAGATGAGCATGCCAGAGCTCCCAAACAAATTTGCAAACGGCCTCACTTTTCCGCAAAAAGGTCTTTCAAGTTCAACTGAGGAAGGGCTACTCGCTGAATGATTTGAAAGCGGATCTGGCTGTGCTGTACATGAAAGCGGGTGTTAAAAATATTGGCATGACATTCCTCATGACGGATTCGCAAGTGGCGCAGGAAAAGTTTCTGGTCGTCGTCAACGACATGTTAGCTTCCGGCGAGATACCAGATCTTTTCCCCGATGATCAAATCGAAGGCATCATCAATGCGATGAGAAATGAGGTAATTGGAATGATAATGTAGCTAGACGAGATTTTTACCAATGATTTTTACAAATGAAACCAGGTAAAACAAGCCGGAATGCTAGATACAAAGGAGACCTGCTGGAAATTCTTCATTGACAAAGTGCGAAGGCAGCTGAAATGCGTCTTGTGCTTCTCGCCCGTGGGGGCGACATTGCGTAAAAGAGCTCGTCAATTTCCAGCCATCGTCAATTGCACGTCGATCAATTGGTTTCAAGATTGGCCCCAAGAAGCCTTGGAGTCCGTCTCATCGCAGTTCCTCGCAGTAATTGGCGTTTAATTTGCCTCTTTCTCTGTTTTCGTCGACGGTATATCGAAACTTGCGCTTTCCAGGAACTCGAGACACTTCCTGCAGATTTCAGAAAACCAGTTTCACTGTTCATGTCATTTGTTCACACTTGCGTGAACGAGGTGTCGAAATTATACCTGCAGAACGAAAAGCGATACAATTATACCACTCCGAAATCCTTCCTCGAGCAAATTGCCTTGTACGGAAAACTCCTGAAAGAGAAATCGTTCAACTTGAAAGCGATGATCGAGAGACTGGAGAACGGCTTGGAAAAGCTGTTGTCTTGTGCTAGTCAAGTGAGTTAAGGGCCAATATTGACTCAACCTACCGATCGATAAATAATGATAAATAACGCTTGTCAGGCCGACAAATTGAAAGAAGTTTTGGCAGTACAAGAGGTTGAGCTGAAGAAGAAGAACGACGTTGCCGATAAAATTCTGGCCGAAGTGACTGCTGAGAACAACAAAGCTGAAGTTGAAAAAGCATTCGGTAAGAATTGAATACGAGGCTGTTATTCGCGCAGACGCGACGTAACGAATTGGCGTGGATTGTCGACTGCAGTGACTGAGGAGGAAGCGAAAGTCGCCGAAATCAAGGAGGTGGTGTCTCAGAGGCAGAAAAATTGCGACGAAGACTTGGCCAAAGCAGAGCCGGCCGTTCGACAAGCCGAGGCGGCTCTGGACACCTTGAACAAGGTAACCGAGTTTTAAGAACGAAGAACCGCGGAGGAAGCCGCGAGGGAAGCGGGCCTTGAGCGAGACCTTCGATTCCAGGGCAATCTCACGGAGTTGAAGGCTTTTGCTTCGCCGCCGCCGGCGGTGTCGAAGGTGGCGGAGGCTGTGTTGGTGCTGTTCTCACCGAAGGGCAAAGTGCCAAAAGACCGCAGCTGGAAAGCTTGCAAGGCGATGATGGGCAGCGCCGATCAGTTCCTGTCCAACCTAAGAAATTACAACAAGGAGAATATCCATGCGGATGTGGTGAAAGCCATTCAGCCGTACATCAACGACAAAGGTTGGCGGCAAGCTCCGTTGTATCAACAGGTCGGCCTTCACGATGACATTCCTCGCAGAGTTCGATCCGGATTTCATCCAGACCAAGTCTCAAGCGGCTGCCGGTATATGCAGTTGGGTGAAAAACGTCATGGTGTTCCACTACATAAACGAGGACGTAAAGCCGCTGAGGCAGGCTCTGGCCGCAGCCAATGCCGAGCTAAAGGCCGCCATGGACAAGCTGAACGCTCTGCGGGCTCGTATGGCGGTGAGTGCTGGCTGCATGCCGAAGCGCGCCGAAGCGCGCCGAGACTAGGATCGGTACCGGCTGACGGGACGAGCGTTTGCGCGCGCGCAGGTGCTGCAAAAGGTGCTGGACGCGCTGGGCGAGAAAATGGACATCGCCATGGCCGAGAAGCAGAAGTGCCAGGCGGAGGCCGACGCGACGGCGACGGCGATAGACTTGGCGAACCGACTAGTCAACGGTCTGGCCTCGGAGAAAGTCCGCTGGGCGGAGACGGTCGAGCAGTGAGTGCTAGCCGAGGGCAAATCCAGAAATCCAGCCTCGATCCACTCGACAAACCCACTCGCCAACAGGCTGAAGGAGTCCGGCGTGAAAATACCCGGAGACGTGCTGCTGGTCACGGCCTTCATCTCGTACGTCGGCTGCTTCAGCCGCAAATACCGCTTGGACCTGCTCAACGTGCACTGGATCCCGTACTTGAGCGGGCTGGCCACTCCGATACCCAGAACCGAGGACATGGACCCGCTGAGCATGCTCACCGACGATGCCCAGATCGCCCAGTGGAACAACGAGGGCCTGCCCACCGACAGGATGTCCGCGGAGAACGCGACCATACTCACCAACTCGGCGCGCTGGCCGCTCATGATCGATCCCCAGCTACAAGGCATCAAGTGGATCAAGAACAAGTACGGCGACGAGCTCATGGTGCTGCGCCTCACGCATCGAAGCTACCTGGACAGGATCGAGATGGCTATCAGCAACGGCCAAGTGGTCCTCCTGGAGAACATAATGGAGAGCGTCGACGCCGTGCTCGATCCGATTTTGGGCCGAGTCCTGGTGAAGAAGGGCCGGTAAGCCCGGCGACACGACCCGCTTACTTCGGACGATCACTCGCGCGACTGTTTAGGGCGATGAAAATCGGTGACCGAGAAGTGGATTACAACCCGGACTTTCGGCTGATACTCCAGACGAAGCTGGGCAATCCGCACTACAAGCCCGAAATGCAAGCTCAGACGACTCTGATCAACTTCACGGTGACTCAGGACGGTCTGGAGGAGCAGCTGCTTGGCGAGGTCGTCAAGGCCGAGAGGCCCGACCTGGAGGCTACTAAATCCGAGCTCACCAAGCAGCAGAACACCTTCAAGATCACACTGAAAAGCTTGGAAGACGAGCTACTGCACAGGTACTGCGCGAATGAATCGATTCGTCGATGGCCAAACGGAACTGAGCTAATCGAACCAGGCTGTCGACCGCGGGACCGAACGTACTGAGCGACGTGGCCTTGGTCGAGAATTTGGAGACGACCAAGCGCACCGCCGCCGAGATCGAGATCAAAGTCGTGGAGGCGAGAGTCACGTCCGTGAAGATCGACGAGGCGCGCGAGTGGTATCGACCGGCTGCTTCGAGGGCCAGTTTGCTCTACTTTATCCTGAATGACCTCAGCAAAATCAACATGCTCTACCAGTTCTCGCTGAAAGCGTTTAACGTGGTCTTTCAGAACGCCATCAAGTAAGCGCGTTATCACCGACAGCTGCAGTGTTGCTCCACGATTCACGTTTGTCGCCAGGTTCGCCGTGCCAGCCGACGGCATTAGCAAACGCGTCGTCAATCTGATCGACAGCATCTCGTACCTAGTGTTCGTGTACACCAGCAGAGGACTGTTCGAGGCCGACAAGCTGACCTTTCTCTGCCAGATGGCTATTCAGGTGAGCAACGTCCGCTCAGCGCGTCTAGTCTGCGTAGAACCATTTGTTTGAGTGCGGCCATCGCGCTGCAGATACTCCTGCAAACGAACGAGATCAGTCGAACGGAAGTGGACTTTCTGCTGCGCTACCCCTGCGACCCGAACGTCCTCAGTCCCGTGGACTTCCTCAGCCACGCTGGCTGGGCTGGCATCAAACTGCTGAGTAACCAGGAGGACTTGGCGAATTTGGACAAGGACATCGAAGGCGCGGCCAAGCGCTGGAAGAAGCTGGTCGAGTCGGAGAAGCCCGAGAGGGAGAAGTTTCCCTCCGAGTGGAAGAACAAGACGGCCTTTCAGAGGCTGTGCATGATGCGCTGTCTGCGCCTCGATCGCATGACCTATGCCGTCAAGTGAGCGACGTTGAGCAACGCCGAGCGACGAGCTCGAGCCGATAGACGTCTGACTCGGTCTTGAAATTGCTCGGCAGGTGCTTCGTCGAAGAGAAGCTGGGTGCCAAGTTCATCGAGTCGCGCTCGCCGCCCTTCGAGAAGACCTTTGAGGAAACCTCCTCGATCACGCCGGTGTTCTTCATCCTATCACCCGGCGTGGACCCCCTCAAAGTATGCGCTCGAGCTATCGATCGATCCGCTGCGCCAGCGAGCACACGGTAATGCTACACGGGCTTGGCTGATGGCGAACGCAGGACGTGGAGCGGCTGGGCAAGCGGCTGGGCTTCACCGCGGAGGCGCGCAAGTTCCACAACGTGTCGCTGGGCCAAGGCCAGGAGCCGGTGGCCGAGTCGGCCATGGACTTGGCCGCGAGCGAGGGCCACTGGGTGATCCTGCAGAACGTGCATCTGGTGAGGAGCTGGCTGCCGAACCTGGAGAAGAAGCTGGAACAGCTGTCGGAAGAGCCCCACGACAGCTATCGGCTGTTCATCAGCGCCGAGCCCAGCGCCGACCCCCACGAGTCCATCATTCCCCAGGTGAGTGCTCGTCAACGAACAGCCCTGGGCGGCCGCTTATCAGTCGGCCGCTACGCAGGGAATACTGGAGTCGGCGATCAAGGTGACCAACGAGCCGCCTACGGGCATGCAGGCCAACATCCACAAGGCCCTGGACAACTTCAACCAGGAGACTCTGGAGATGTGCAGCAAGGAGTCCGAGTTCAAGGCCATCCTGTTCGCGCTCTGCTACTACCACGCCGTCGTGGCGGAGAGACGGCGGTTCGGGCCGCAAGGCTGGAACAGGGTAAGCCGATCGCTCGCCGGCCGAGGGGGATCATCGTTTCAAGTGTCACCTCGCGCCAGGTCTATCCGTTCAACTTCGGCGACCTGACGATCAGCGTATCGGTACTGCTGAATTACCTGGAGAACAACAGTCGTGTGCCCTGGGAGGACTTGCGCTACTTGTTCGGCGAGATCATGTACGGAGGCCATATCACCGACGACTGGGATCGTCGGCTCTGCCAAACCTACCTCCTCGAGTACCTCAAGCCCGAGCTGGTCGAGGCCGATCTGAACTTTGCGGCTGGCTTCGTTGCGCCACCCAACTCCGACTACCTGGCCTACCACCAGTACGTCGATGACTTCCTGCCAGCCGAGAGCCCGCTGCTCTACGGTTTGCACCCCAACGCGGAAATAGGTAGGCGCGCGATCCACCTTGTCCTAGGGAATGTCGATGGATGGTTCGCTCGGCGTGCACAGGCTTCCTGACGGTCACGGCCGAGAACCTGTTCCGCACCGTGCTGGAGATGCAGCCGCGAGACGCCGGGGAGAGCGCCGGCGCCGGCATGTCGCGCGAAGACAAGGTCAAGGCGCTCATCGAGGACCTGCTGGACAAGGTACCCGAAGAGTTTAACATCCTCGAACTGATGACCAAGGTACTGCTTAGCTCGCTCGCGGCTATCTATCGCAGCATCTCTCACCGAGCCTTGCCAAACAGGTGGAGGAAAGGACCCCCTACACGATCGTCGCTATCCAGGAGTGCGAGCGCATGAACATCCTGTGCGACGAAATGCGACGCTCTCTGCGCGAGCTGGAGCTCGGCCTGAAAGTCGGGTCAGTCCAGCGACGAAAATCCGCCGCGTCTGACGAGTCCGTGCCGCTTTGCAGGGAGAGCTAACCATCAACGCTGACATGGAAGACCTGCAGAACTACTTGTTCATGGACGTGGTTCCGCCCTCGTGGACCAAACGGGCCTATCCCTCGACCCTCGGCCTTAACAACTGGTTCGCCGATCTGATCAACAGGCAGAGCGAGCTACAGGCCTGGACCAGCGACTTCAGCGTAAGCCATCTGTACCGATCGCTTGAACGACTTGCAACGATCGTCGTGACAGATGTCCGACCACGTCCACAGTTGCCCGCGACTGTGTGGTTGGCCGGCTTCTTCAATCCGCAGTCCTTCCTCACCGCGATTATGCAGCAGACTGCGCGCAAGAACGAATGGCCTCTCGATAAAATGTGCCTCTATTGTGATGTTACCAAGAAGCAGAAGAACGAGTTTAAGTGAGCGCGCCAAACTAATCACACGATGGTTGATAACACGCATGCGGATGCTGATGCAAACGATCGAGCAGCAGCCCACCTCGGGAGGGTGCCTACATAAATGGCCTCTTCATGGAAGGCGCACGGTGGGACACTGCCGTCGGCTCGATCATGGATTCGCGTCTCAAGGAGCTGTTCCCGCTCATGCCCGTCGTCTACATCAGGGCTATCACGCAGGACAAGCAGGACCTCAAAAACGTCTACGAGTGTCCCGTCTACAGGACCAGGTCGCGTGGCCCCACCTTCGTCTGGACCTTCAATCTTAAGACAAGAGATAAATCCACCAAGTGGACCCTTGCTGGCGTTGCTATTTTGTTGCAAACCTGATTTCCATCTTATTTTTACTTTTCTTTTAGTTTCTTATTTTCTGTCTTCGTTTCTCTCTCCTCTCTCCTTTCTTGCATTTTTACCTTTAACAATTCTTACTTAAAATTGTGCTAAATCACAATAAAGTAACTTCTTCAACGTTCTTCTAATTTACCTATTTCAGTAGATTCAATTGTACAAACTCTGGCTCGAATAATATTACTTTTGTGAAGATACAAGAATGTCTGCAGGAGTAATCTCAATTATTCATCATAAAATCTAATTGCAAATTTTGAGTAAGAAAATTCAAAAGAATAACAATAAAAAAAAAGTTAGGTCTCACCGAGATTTGAACTCGGATCGCTGGATTTAGAGTCCAGAGTGCTAACCATTACACCATGGAACCTTGAACCTCATTATTGTATATGCATTCAAAAAGTTCAGCTTCTCAATTAGAACTATAAAAAATGAACTCATAAAAAAATATGAATTTTTCTAAGAAGCTACTCAATTGGCATTCATTGATAATAATACTTGCTATAATTTAGAAAGAATTTTTTCAGGAATAAATTTTTAGGTAGCCTAGGTCATAATGACTGGATTGAAGGTGGCTAATGGAACAAACAGTATCAAGTAGTAAACACTTCTTTTATTTTATTTACATAAATAATTTCCACCTCACAATTTGAAAGACATAAATATTGTAAAATCAATGTTTACAATTTCGAAACAAGAAAAGTGCCTGTGTTAAATTAATATTTTCAAATCAGGCATCTTTTTCTTAAATGCTAGTGATTTTTGACAAAAATCTTTCTTTTTTATTCTTAGAGAAAATATCGATAATTATAGTAAGAACGGTAGCGATTAAAATCTTTTTTCTTAAACCTATTATAATTTAATTTATTAAAATAATACACAGTAATAAAAATAATATTCTTACAACCTTAAAATTGTCTGTATACTTTTTTTATAAATAAAAATAATGACTTACAAATGAGCGATTCAGCATTATTATTGGTTTCTTCTTTATTATTTTATGCCTTTATTAGTGTTGAACGTATGTATATTTGTTCAATATAATCAAGTTCTAAAAGCTCCATGATCACTTATTCTGTTCTCATTTACATATTTTATTCTTTATATTTAATAAATATCACTAACGCCCTCTTGCACATTCAGATTCGTCCTTTTTATTTTCAAATATCACTAAAAGGCTTCGTGTAATAACGAAAATTAATACTCGCACTGGAATAACAGTTGACAACCATTGCTCTTGATATTTCTTTAATACAGCTGTGGCAAGATATTCTTACAACGTATCAGCTGCAGATTTCAATATTTATATTTAAGAATATTCCTTGTAACAAAAAGATAAATGTGATTATTTCCTTGTAAAAATTGTCAGAGTTTCTTTTTAAACTATGATGCAAGGATCATACTTTTCAAAACTGACGTGTACTTCTTATTTTTCTTTATCGTACATAATCTCTATAAATAACATGAAATCTAGGATCCTTGAAGCGGTTAATGTGTAGGGATATGGCAAATATCTTTACACGCCTGAATTATGCTTGTCTTACTTAAAAATTTTCTTATTTAAAACAGAAAGTTACTTCGTCATTTAAACGTTATGTTCAATAGTAGAAAAGTAAGCGCTCCTGAGCGCTTCCAGACAAAAGCCGCCAGCCTCGTTTGATATTCAAATACTGAATGATAGCGCGAACACAGATCAACATACCTACAAAAATCACGTGAGAAATTTTTATAAATATTATTTAGCTTCTCAAAGTAAAATAAATTCTAACAACATTGAAATTTACCAAATGCCATAATTAGCCACCACAGCCAAGAATTCTCGCGGGATGCCAAGTCTGTTGAGTGCTTGACGATTAAGGTCCATTTAGTCAATGATAAACCAAATCCAGATAGTGCTCCATATCGAGAAGCTATAGTGTGACAGAAGCACATCAGCAGCAAAAAGCCAATCCAGTTAAACAGGAATGCAACTAAAATTATATTATATATTAGAAATTTATATTATTCCATACAAACATAAAGAATCGTTTCTGAAATAAAACAAAAAAATCAAAGCTTTACGAAAATTGTTAAACCTACCTAAAAAGGCAGTAAAAAACATAAAATCTGTACCAAGCATTGTACTTTCTGGATCTCCTTCAACCCCATCTGTATCTATAGTCAGAATCGTCAAAGGTTGTTGTGGTGCTCTGACAACTCCAGGCTATTTATTATGCAATGTCAAGGTAATTGATCAATTTGAGAAACATAACAGTAGATTAAATAAATATATTAAAGAATTTTATTGAAACATTAACCTACCAAGTGTATCTGTGGATGAATTTGTGGTATTGGCTCTCCTTGAAGGGTCTTTTCTCGCTGTACTTCTTCATAACTTGGCAATTTGGTAGCAACCTCATAAGGAGGAGGTGCAGAAAAATCTGGTTTTGGAGGAGGGATTTCCTCAGTTGTCTGAAAAGTATGTATTAAATTGAATACAATGATAAATTCAACTGAAATATTTTCCCTCCTCAAAATAGCTCACAACATTAGTCAAAATAGCAATTTGGGCCCTCGAAGATACTTGGGCTTCTTGTGTTATTTCTTCATGTTGATCTATGGTGGTGTTCTGTCTAGTCCCAGAAGCTATAGAATGAACTACTGATTGACTTGTCTCAGCATCTGCTACTGAGGCTTGTGCCTGTTGATAAGCCATTTGACGAATATAATTAGAACTGGATATCATGTCAGATAAATAAGATAAGCAAAGATAGCATCTACTAACATTATTTTAGCTCATACACTCTAGCTCAATTAAAAGTTTTAATATATCTTATTTTACAAAGTTGTTTCTTTTTAGAAATGTGTCACACAGCTAAATAAAGTTATATAGAATAAATTAACATGACATTTTTTTAAAATTATCTCACTTATATAAAGAAATTCAGATCATTAAATATATTACATTGATTATAAATTTATGTGAAGTAAATCTGTTTAAAAGTTATACAGATTTTGATGCAATTGAACTATCAATTGTATTTAAATAATACCTATGAATTCAATATGTACTGCAGATTTTATGCTAATGAATACTCAATGAATTATTAAGCAAAATTCTATAAAAAACTCAACTGGAAAAGCAGTTATCGTGAAACTGCCATAATTGATATTGAAGCTATGTAAAAGTTGAGTTAATGACAACAATATTGATTCTTCAGCTTTTTATATTTGCAATAATAAAGCAATGTTACTAAAGTCAGGTATTATGAGTATGAAATGAAAAAAAAATGTTGGTCAACACAGTTACAACAAATTTATTCACAGAATTACACCAAGTATTCTGCATTGAAAAAAAAAGTATACGTTAAACTATCACGATTCAGCCGAGTAGAAAATTATAAACTGAAGAGAGAATAGGTATACGCACTCTTATACACACATATATACACATTTAACAAGTTAACTGCGACAAAAAATGGCAGGAAATTGAAAAACGTGAGTATGAAGGTGCTTATACACAGGTCATACTAGTGGTTTTACCGGATGCACGATTCGAATAAAAATGCGACAAAACCAACATAATAAATACCATATTGGAGTGGATGTCGTCGTCCATACGTGCTGCGATAGAGTTAAGTCCGTGATCCTGTCTGATTTGCGATTGATAAGCGGTGTATGTTGTCGGTCGTCCGTATCGGATCATAACACTCAAGATTTGTTATTATTCTTTAGAGCTACTCGTTGCCTAAGTAGCTTATCTAAACACGTCCGATTTAACGGCGAGCGCTGCGTTATACTCTTACTCCGTACATCATCGCACGTAAGTATAATTCACTTGCGAATCAGGCGAATGAAAACTCTCTCGTCGTTCGTCTCCGTCTTCCTCCTCGTACACTTCGAGGCAGTTCTCTCTCTCTCTTTTTCTCTCGTTCAGCGCTCTCTCTCTCTCTCTCTTTCTCTCTTTCGTTTGCACTCTCACACAGGCGCACAAGCAAGCGCAGAGAGAAGCGCAAAAAAGCTACCTACAATCGATGAGCAGTCACTTGGCGTATTTGTGTGTGAGATACATTTCGTATAGATGTACACATACTACATATGATATAGAGTTGACCGTGCCTCAGCAAGCAGTCTCGGGTCTTCTTATAGTACAGAAATGAATATGTGTGTACAAGGTTAATTTTTATTATTTAAAATCCTTCACTCGATTTCTTTTTCTCGCTATACCTTCATCAATTATTAAATTGGTTAAGAATAAAGTACTTACAAAAAAGTAAAATCTTTCATGGGTTTATTTTAAATAACAACAATTAAAAAATATTAACATATTAACAAATAATTATTAAAAAATATATTCCAATATATTCCACGGAATACAAATTATAACAAATATTCCAAATTAAATAATCGAAATATTTCTATAAACAAATATTTTATAATTTACAAATTTATTTATTTACCGTTGCATTAGATGTTCTGCATCGTAGAGCATTCAATTTTAAACGGGTAGTTCCGGCATCAAGTTCTAACCAATGAGAGGCTGTGTGATAATCTTCCTAGCTATCGCATTGGATAAAGCTCAACTTGTTGACTTATAAAACCGGAAATAAAACTCAAAAATCTTGGTATTCTATAGATAGCAGTAGACAGATATCTCTAATATGTAGCTAACCGAATGCTAAAAAATTCAAAACAAAGACATGTAGCTTGTTTTGTATTCGTGAAAGAGAAACGCTGGAAAATATTCAAAAAATATTGTGAAGCCAACCATACAATTGTTCAAAAATCAACTCAGTGTAAGTAACACGTGCATACGAATATCGCTAAAAACTTAAATTAATGATTTTAAAAAGAAAATTTATATGCCAAAAGTGCAGATTAGCTTAATCATGCTCAGATTAATTGACTCTATGCGAAAAAAAATATAGGTAATGATGCTTATTGTAGAATGCGCCTAAGAATTGGTGACATTTAACGACGAGCGCAGTCATAGAGAGAAGATGGCCGCGTGGCGCGATGCGTTCGACTAACGTAGTAGCGGCAAAGGACGCGCGGCGGCATAACTGCTGATCTGCAGTTACAAGAAACTCCAGTCAGTCGCTTGCCGAACGTCCCTCGAGGCGGAGCTGTATTTTTTGTGTGAAATCATTAAGCCGATATTCTGCAACTTATCGTCAACTCAAGTTAACGAAGCGACGATGACTGAACAATTTAAACTCGGAGATCTGGTCTGGTACGTATTTACAAGACGAAAATGCAGTCTAATTATCGGGATGTAACGTGGGGAAAACCAAAGCAAGCACCAAGCTTGTTGCAGCAATCGCGCGTTGCCCACTCGCTTCACCGAATTAACATAACCTAAGCCCAGCACGCTCGGCAATTTTCAAACTGACGCTATACCTGTCTCATTCTGTTGCAGGGCTAAGATGAAGGGATTCTCACCATGGCCAGGCCGGGTAAGTTTGAGTGCTTTCTTATCAGTATGTTTATCCTTCAATAATCCGTTGCAAGCTGCACTCAGCTGGCTCCCGCGCTTTTCTTCTACTCCCCACCTAATATTTTAATATCATAATTACGCCTGATATTACTTGTTAATTTCGATTTCGAATCGTTTGAAATCTATTTCTTTAAGCTGCTGAGTGTTTTCACCGCGTTCGATGCTCTATCTATCATTGTTTTGATCAGCAACCCACGGGCTCCTAACCTGGAATTCAGCTGTCAAATTGCCCGCTTTAATCTGTTGTCAAATTAATTCAAAGTCCAACTTCATTTATTAGCTGTACTACAAAGCTCAGTATATTACGATTTTTACTTTCGCAATAATTTTGTTATTTAGGTCGGTTAAAAAGGTGATTGATAACCAACCGATGCATTGTTTGAATTTTGTTCTTTACATTTTTTTTGTCAAATGAAGCCTCTCGTTAATTTTTTTACACTAATTGTATAATTGTAAACTGTATTGATTTTGGACATTTTCTGAAATATTCAAACTATTTATCTTTAAAATTAGTTTATACTTTGTGAATTTGTATTGAAGGTGTCAAATCCTATAAAGGATATGAAAAAACCAAACAATCCAAAGAAGGGGTCAGTCCATTGTATATATTTCTTTGGAACAAACAACTAGTGAGTCATTTATTATATGAATTATTGAATTATTACAAAGCTTGAGACAATTATTTAATAAAAACAATTTTTAGTGGATGGATTGATGAAATTAACATGAATCATTATCAAGATCATAAAGAGACTTGTTTGAAACTTTGTAGAACTGCAGCATTCAAAGAAGCGTGTAAAGCTATTGAAAAATTTATTGCTGATGGAGAGGTGTGTTCCTATATTTACTTATATTCATATTATATAGTGTCATACAAATATATAATCAAATATTTTGTAGGTCTTTGAAGATGAATTGGACTCTGACTCTCTATTTGATAAATTAAAAGAAGAAAGCAACACTTCAATTGAAAAAAAGACTCCAAAGATAAAACCAAAAAAGGTAATTTATATTAAAAAATTTTAAATTACTACATACTCAAACGTTTATCAAGTCATAACTACTATCATTTTTGAAAATAAATTGCTTTAATTACTTGTAAAATTACATCTTACATTATGCATGAGAGCACTGAATCATTTATTTATAACATAATAAATTATAGTAACAACACTTATAACACAGCTTCACACAATTTTTTTTTTTATTTTAGTTAAAAACATACGTACCTTTGCAGGAAACTCCAAAAGTAAAAAGGGAAAGTATTGGTAGTGAACGGCGCCCAGCTAAAAAACAAAGAACAGACTCTAATGCCAGTAGCAACAATCGACTTGGTAGTTTGAGTCCTGCTCTGAACCACTCCACACCTTTAAGGAAAAGTGGTTCTCTTTTAGATCGACCTGCAAATGTTACTAGACCTGTGAGTATTTTAGTACTTCTCATGTGTAGAATATTAAAGTAGAGTACATTTGCTTTTATTTTAGATAAGTTCTTTAATACTACATAAAATTTGTTATTAATTGTTATATTTTAAGTGAACTTTCAACATTCTTTTAGTTTACAAATATTACTTATGTGAGTAGCTATTGTTGAATATAGAAAATTGTTCACAGGCGACTCCCCCATTGGATGTTGAAACACTTTCTCAAACTCTAAAGGACAAAAATATTTGCGCTTCTAGCTTAAAGTTTGGTTTTCTTGGACTTGGCATTATGGGCAGTGGAATTGTTAAAAATCTCCTGAATAGTGGCCACAAAGTCGTTGTTTGGAACAGAACACAAACAAAGGTATGTAGAATCGCATTATGATTTTTTTTTTCTTTCAGAAAAATTTGGACCCTCGATTTTTTTTGTGTAAATAATTTTAAAAAAAATTACTAAGTGGAGTCGCGTTTTTATTTTATAAATTTTCTGTGATTATTTTTTTGGTGATTGGCATGAATATTGGTTTCCACTCTATCAAAAGTCAATTTGCGGGCATATCTTACGAAAATAATTGAGTCTTGAGTTGAATAATAATAAAGTTTACAAACTTTCTTCATTGATGTTCAATACTTCTGCACATGTAGATGACTAAAGTAACAACTTGAGAGTATGCATGCTAAATTTGGGTTAAGACATTATTAATTAAAACATGAACAAGTATGAACATATTCGATTTTATTATTTATGTGGTGATACAGAAATATGTCGTTGTCATCAAAGCACAATTATTTGACAATTTTTGTTTTTATATGACAACGTAACCGGGCTATCATAAAAAGTAATTATTTCACCATTTCAATTCATTCTTGTCTATTTGATGTTAAAAAAAAATAAATAAGTGAAAGAGAAAGCCATGTTATACTTTTAGAGTAAATTTCACGTTATTCAATTATTTTATCAGCATAATTTTTTATGAGATTCAAGAACCAATTTACGACAACTAATGGAATTCAAAATTGTTTCTCATTTTTATACTGTTCCAAAATAATATAACCATAGAACATGTGTTTTTAACACAAAAGATATTTTAGTTAAAATGTTGAAACATTTATTGAACTCATACGAGAAAAATTTCTATAAATCGTTACGCAGAGCTACCAGTTACGCTTATTATCAATAACAAATATTGAAATGGTGAAATATTCATTTTAACACAAACTAATTTACGTAATTATTGAAAATGTTTTTTATTTATTATTTATGATGAACTAAATTTAGGATAAGAGGCATATATACTCATAAAATAAAATTATGTAAATAAAATCCAACAAACTATCGATTGCATCGAAAAATGAACGACCGCCTGTAAAATTATGAATCTGGAGCAACCGACATAACTGGTTACGTTAATTTCGGTCTTTTTTATGTGTTTTCAAGATTTGAATGAAATATGTCTGATTTTTAAATAGCTTATCATAATATTTTATTTGAATCTCGAAATACACATAAATCAAAATTACAAAAATGAATGCAAGCGGTTATGCTGGAAAAATATATAGTTAATGATTTTAATGTCTTTAAAAACAAATATGTATGAGTTTTGATATACGTCTGATACTAACGAGATGTTACTTCTATTTTGCAATTTTTTGGACACTTGCTAACGCAATATTTAACAGCGCACATTCTTTAAAGACACTTGTACATACCATAACTGGTTTTTTCAACTATTATTTACCAGATCTTCAAGTTATTTCGCATGACCGAGGTTGCCGAATTCCTTCAAGTTTCATCAAATTTTTTTTAAACTACATATTACGTTTTTTTTTTATTAAAAGTGTCATAGAGAATATGATGATTATTGAACGAGATTCGGTATTAAAAAAGAATGCGATTCATTCTCAGATAAAGGCAATTTCGTGTATAAGATAAACATAGAAATAGTACCAGTTAATTTTGTTAAAGAAAATATTATAAATTACTGAAAGAATTTTATTACTAATTAGTTCGCTGGTAAACATAAAAATTGTCGAGAGTAAATTTTGACGTGATCTACAAATTGAAAACTGAAGATAAAATGAATTAATAGGAAATATTGTAAAAAGGCATTCTCAAGAAATAGAATTTCGGCAGTTTAGAGTCACGCGTGTTTAATATTTACATTTGAGAATGGAACTGTTCTTACTTCTCGCATAGTAATAGGGCGTATAAAAATATATATGCAACATGAGGGAAGCCTAAGTACAAGTCTTGCCTGTCACCTTTTAAAATGCTCACTTTGTTTTCGATGTAGTTATTTATTATTTAGTACATTTTTTTTATCGTTCATTTCTGTGTTTATATCTTTTATTTCACTATTTGTTATTACCGTTTCCTCGTAATTTTACGTTCACTTCGACACTTCTTGACAAATCTTCATAACAAGTGGAAAACTATTTGCAACTTTCAAAAAAATATTATACTATTTTGATAATTAAAAAAACAAACTAAATGGAAAACAGTTCTCTTTTGTTAGTCTTACAAATGTACAACAGACTTATTCGAGCTTGATTAAAAGAAAGTTGATTAAAACAAATAGAAGTAACAGATTGAAAATCACAGATAATTTCTAAAATTATGAAAAACGACTAAAAAGAAACGGAAAGGATCAATGGGACGAGCAGTAAGCTTTTACTCATCGTCCCTTATTTGATCGAATTCAAGAGTAGAGTAGAATATGATTGACGCTACTCCAAGTCGAAATACCATTAAGGATAACTTTCCGACTGTAATAGAGTACGAATTGACGAAGTATATAATTTATACCAGTAGTATATAGCTACGTATTATTTCATCAAAGACATGCTTATCTGACGAATAAAACAGTGACGGTTTATTTTCAATAATAGACCTTTTATTATCATCAAAGTTGGTTATATGTATGTGTATATATGGTTGCATCGAAGAGTAACGACAAAGTCAATAATAATAACGATCGCAGATAACAGCGACGTCGCAATAGTTTCACATCAATTTTTCGATTTTTTCCAATGAAAAGTAGCACTAACAGTCCAGTATGAACAAAAATAACCAACTGGCATGATCAACTAATTTAATTGATTATTTGTTTGTTTATTAAGTTGAATCGACCTTAAAAAGACCACGAATACGATAAATTGTTTAGCCTAATTAATCGTCTACCTTGCGAAAGTGAGAGCGAGAGACGTTTTTGTCTATTTGCAAATCCGATAAGTATTGATAAAAAGTTACAAAACAAACAAACAAAATCTAAAAATGTTACTCGCGAAGTTGCATACGATGCGTCGTGATTACGTAACACAACAAACGCGAAGTAAACGTGCCGACGTGCATCCACGTTGGACTTAGCAACCGTACAATATTTCGATAACGGTAGTGAGTGTGAGTGTATGTGTGTGTGTGCGCGCGCGCGCGCGCGTGTGTGCGTGTGTGTATATGTCTAAGACTGTACATTAAAACCTTCGCCGCGCGTGTAAAAGCTCGCGGCGGCAGGGAGGCGTCGACGACTTTGGTCGTTCAGTCTTTTGCGAGGCGACAGCACACTGGCACTCACTCAAGTCCGTCTCGGGCTTGTCCTTCAATCAGCGAGGTGTAGCGCAAGAGGCGCGAGTTCGGTGCCCCCGCGGCCCTCTCACTGTCTCAAGACCTAACTGAGCAGCAAGCTGCGTGACTGTGCGAAGAAAACTGAGCGGTAGCGATCGATGGAAATTGACACGTGCCATGGGGCTGGAATTTTTAGCGTCGATGCGAACAGCGGCGATCGCTTGCCGGCCTCGTCGCCGTCGTCGTCGTCGTCGCCGTCGCCGTCGACATAGTTTCCCTTTGAATCGTCGTGCTGACCAGCGCGAACAACATTTTGCACCATGCCTCCACGACGGACACGAAGAAAGAAAGTCACCGGCACAGAGTCGCGTCACTTGCACATAGCACCGTATATCGTCGCAGCGAACCCAGCGTTCAGGTACTTGGTCAATCTTCCGAGCAGGCATCCGTCGACCGCAGCGACGGCATTGACAACGAAACCACAAAGTCGTACGAGCGGCACAAAGACAGCGACGGCACTGACAACAAGAGCACGCAGCGCGAGGGAAGATCAAGATCGTCCGGGTCAGAGTCGGGTCTCGTGCGGCAGCTCCGGCAGACTGGCGCTGGGCACTAGCAGGCCGAGCACCTCTGGGGTGCCGCGCGTGTCGCCGGCCAGGGTCTCGGCGCTGACGCCGCGGAAGACGGACCGCTCGGCGCTGTCCAGGCTGGACGTGCTGGTGCCGTTGAACTCGTCGATGCGCTGCAGGAAGGCCGAGGGACCGATGCCGAGCGGCCTGGCGGGCCGGTCGTCGATGTAGTTGATCACCGGCACGCCCTCGAGGTTGGCCCCGACCAGATGCTCCACGTGCTGGCGCGGACTGCACGAGGACAGGCCACTGGGCGTGTAGTACTCGCTATTGACGTCGTCCAGGCTGGAGCTGTAGGCCGCGACGATGTCGTCGATCTTGGCCTTGAAGTAGCTGTCGACCTGAACGTCCAGCGGCGGCTCGTCTCCGTCCACCAGGTCCTTTGGGTCGAATACCACCGAGTCGGAGCGGCCGCAGGAGCCGCTGCGGCAGTTGTCCAGATAGAGGCTTGGCAGATTCTCCAGCACCTTGTTCAGCGTCTGCTGCTGGTACTTGTAGGACTCGCGCAGGCGCAGCACTTGGTGCGAGCTGAACTTGCGGATCTTGTTGCGCTGGAAGACGTAGTTCTCGCGCACCCAGTTCAGCTGGCTGGTCGAGTAGTCGCGCACGCGAGTCACCTGCACGACAGACAGCGGGTCGAGCGTGAGCGCCGAGTGGGCAGCACGGCGCGCGTGCTCGAGACTCACCTGGTTGTAGTACTGGTCGCGCAAGGTGGTGAGGTGGTTGGTGCCGTAGTCGCGGATGTCGCGTATGTGCTGCATCTGGCCCTCGTAGCTGTCCCTGATCCACTCGACCTGCTGGGCGCAGTTTTCCTTGATGCGCTGCACCTGCTGCGTGTAGTTCTCGCGCAGCCGCTCCAGCTGCATGCTCTTGTAATGCTCGATGTTGTCGAGCATCTGGTAGATCTGCTTGGCGCGCGGGGTCGCGCCGACGTGCCTGCAGCACAGGCACCACTTGGCGCAGCCGCACCTGCGCACGCAGCGGGCCTCGGTGTTAGCCGGACGGTCGGACGGTCGGGCGGTCGGCCGATCGGTTGGCCACTCGCTTACTCACCTGACGAACAGGCAGCGTAGCAACTGCACGAGCAGCGTGAGCAGCAGGAAGCCCGCGGCACTGGCCGCCCCCACGGCCAGGCTCACGAGGAAGATGTTGCGATAGGTGACGGGGTCGGCGCGCAAGCTGACGAAGCTGGTGAGGTTGGCGATGGGGTTGACGGCGAAGCACTTGTAGTCCCCCACGTCCTCGCGCAGCAGCCGACTGATATAGAGCGAGCCGTTCTCTAGCAGGCGCACACGGCCGTCGTCGGGTTCGGGCACCACGTCGGCCTCGAGCGGGAAGGCGTGGGCGCGCGGATGCTGCGCGAAGGCGTCGGGGAACGCGGGGTCGGGGCTCCAGTGGAAGACGCGCAGCCGCGGCGTCACCCAGGTCAGTGAGGGCAGCGGGTTGCCGGCGAACTCGCACTCGAGCAGCGCGGGCCCGCGCAGCCGCGCGCGCGTCGGCCCGGGCCGCGGTGCGCTCAGCCGCGGCGGCGTGCAGTTGAGATAGCGCAGCGCCTGGATCGTGTCCACCATGTCGGCCTCGTGGCCGCAGCGCAGCCCGCTGCCGAAGGCCGCGCGGTGCGCGTGCTCCTCGGCCCAGCGCACGAACCAAAACATGCGGCAGTCGCAGGCCCAGGGGTTGCCCTCCAGGTCCAGCTGGGCGAGCTCGCGCAGCCCCGCCAGACTCGGCGGCAGAAAGCTCAGCTGACTGCGGCGTAGGCTCAGTCGGCGGAGCCGCGGCGTGTCCTCCAGGATGTGCGGGCCCACCTCGCGCAGCGGCCCGTCGTCCATCTCCAGACTGCGCAGCTCGCCAAGGTGGCGCAGCGCGCCGTCGCGCAGCGCCTCGATGCGCGTGTCCGAGAGCATCAGGCTGTGCAGCCGCGGCGTGGCCGCCCAGAGACCCGGGGGCAGCTGCGCCAGGCCCGTGCGGCTCAGGTCCAGCCAACGCAGCGCGCCCAGGCCAGCGAGGCTGTGCGCGGCCAGGCCCGCGATCGGGTTGCCGGCCAGGCCCAGCCGCTCCAGCCGGCCCAACTCGGCGAAGAGGCCGCGCGGCAGCAGCTCGATGTCGTTGTCGGCCAGCTCGAGCTCGCGCAGCTCGCCCAGCGCCGAGAACAGCTGCGGCGGCAGCCGGCTCAGCCGGTTGCCGGACAGCCGCAGCTCGCGCAGCGCGCGGTTCGGCCGGAAGCTGTGGTCGGGCAACGAGACCAGCAAGTTGCGCGACAGGTCCAGGCGGCGCAGGCCGCGCGCCGCCTCGAAGGCCTGGAAGGCCAGCACCTCCAGCCGGTTATCGGCCAGCAGCAGCTCCTGGAGCCCGTCCATGCCCTGCAGCGCGCTGCGCGGCAGCACGCCCAGCAGGTTACCGGTCAGGTTGAGGCTGCGCAGCCGGCCGAGCGCCGGCCGGAAAGCCTCCGCGGGTAGCCGCCGCAGTCGGTTGTCACCGAGGTCCAGCAGCTCCAGCTGGCGCAGCGCCCCCAGGCTGTGCGCTTGCAGCTGCTCCAGGTCGCTCTCGCGCCAGCTCAGCTGTCGCAGTTGCGGCGCCGCGGCCAGGGCCGCGGCGCTCAGCGTCGCCGCCGGCGCCCGCACCCGCCGCAACGACAGTCGGCTCAGTCGCGGGCTCAGCGCCGGTGGCTCGCGCTCCCGGCAGTCCAGCCAGGCACCGTTCTGGTCGCACTCGCACCGCTCGGGACATGGCCAGCTCGATGGCGCGGAGCTGGCGCTGTCGGCGGTACCATTGTGGGCTGCCGAGGGGCAGAGGACGGCGAGGGCAGCGGCAAGGCTCCAGAGCGCGAGGCTTGGGCGGAGGGCAGCGACCCAGCGAGCCACCCCCATTCCGGACACCTGAAACAGAGCGTGCCCGCCGGTTGCCTTCGGTGTGCCGAGATGCCGCGCCCGCCTCTCGACGTCGGGCTAACCTCCAATCTCGCCCTCTAGTCCTCGGGGAGACCGAGCGCGCGCGCGCGCGTCCGAGCGCGTGCCTGCCGTCCGGGCGTGAATGCCAAGGCGGCGGCCAATCGATAGCGCCCCGCCGTGGCATCCTCTGCAGCCGGGACCCGTCCGAGTCGCGGACAAAGGGCCGCCGCGCTCGGGGAACCCGGCACATGCACCGCGCTCTAACGCTACGTCGACGCCATTGTTTATTATTCTGCTCGGGGCACTCAAGTGCATCAGCACGAAGCATCCGTAGACGCGGCAGACAGAGGCGCGCACGCACGGACTCGCTACTCCCACGCCGCCGAGTCGAGTAGGGAGAAACACGGTGCGCGCGCGTGTGCCTGTGTGTGTGTGCATGTGTGAGAAAGAGAGAGAGAGAGAGAGAGAGAGAGAGAGAGAGAGAGAGAGAGAGAGAGAGAGAGAGAGAGAGAGAGAGAGAGAGAGAGAGAGAGAGAGAGAGAGAGAGAGAGAGAGAGAGAGAGAGAGAGAGAGAGAGAGAGAGAGAGAGACAGACAGAAAGAAAGATACAGAAAGAGAGAAAAGGAGAAAGAGTGAGTGCACGCGTACCTAATTCGGGCTCGAGCTTCGCAGAGCGTTGCTCGGAGTTCATTGGCGAGTCGAGGAATTAGTGGATGACGGTGGCGAAGCTCCGTTCACGTTGACGCTGCTACCACTGCACGGCTCAGCTGCTACTCGCGTCCGCCATTATTGCCGAGCAGCATCAACAACTGTCTTTGGGCTCGCGCGCAATGCCAACGAGTCTACCATCGGTGTGTTCTCGACGCGCTAGCTGCTCTCGCGCGCGCGCTTCGTCCTTTCTCCGTTGTCTGCCAGTGCGCGCGAGTCTCGCTCGGCCGTTGTTTCACACGAGCAAGACAGCTACGTGCGTCCAACTGACACGCGGCCCATGCGCGTACTGCTGCCGTCGCGAGCGCCGACGGCCAGGCGGCGCACGCCGCCGACGAGCGCGATGCTTGGTTGGTCGGCCGCTCGCTCCCCACCGCTCTTACGCGCCCGTTCGCTCGTCCCTCCTGTGCGCTGGCTCTTTTCCCGTGGCTCGCTGGATCCCCTTTGCTCCCTTCTAACGGTTTTCCTTTTTCCCTTTCCGGAAGATCCTCGTTTTGCTGAACGCTGGCGGCTTCGGTTTTTCGATATTAACGACCTACTTCTCTTTGTGTTTCAGGTGAGTTTGGCAAGTGCAGGAACGCGTCGATTATCGCGTCAAGTCCGTAAGTAAATGAACTTATCCAATTCCTCGCAAGCAGCCCCGTTGGATAAATGTTTACGCGGAACTAGTTTGATCGGCCGCTCAGCTACATCGAGTAGCAGCCACAGCAGCAGCACGATTTTGAGCCTCTTTGATGCGGGAAGAGAGTTTGGGATAAGAATAGCCAGCGTGTGCGCGCTCTCGCGGAAGCGTCTCGGCAGGTCGCAAAGTCTTGATAGCAAATCGTGGCCCAAATCGCGCGCACGGACGTAAACATTTTCGCCGAAGTTGCGCCAACGCGCCTATAGCGAAATTCTGGGGACATTCCGTCGCCGAGGATTTCCATTCTGAAGCTGTTGCCGCGTGCATCCACTTTGTCGCGCCGCTTTCCTTTCGCCCCGTTCGCCCGTGGTCATTCATCGATTCAAGCCGCTGCGCTCACAGCTGATAGACAGAGACACCGCTCTATGTTTTTCCTTGCTTCCGTTCTTTCGGTCGCTCGTATACTTCGTCCGAGGAGCGTTTCTGCTACACGGGGAGTGAGCTAGCGAAGTCGCTATGACGAGTGCTCGCGCTCGCCTCTCATTCCCGTCGTGACGATTTGTCGGCGAGCCGCCCTCGGGCCGCCTCCTCGCCGGCCCGTATCCGACCTTTCCGACCGTAGCGTGCGCGCGCAACTCCGACAACCTCTCGCGGGAAAATTCGCGAACGTTCTGCTGAATTGAGCCCAGCCGAGTTGCCTTTCCGTGGTCGAGATCAAGCGGTTGCCGGCGCATGCCCGACAGCTCGCGCAAGAGCGGAATTGCGATAGCGCGCCCAGCCGACCGGAGTCACCTCGGGCCGGCCGCGCGTTTGCTTTGTTTTCCGCGAATAATCGCGGCAACTTGGCATTGCGTAACGCCCCGGTGGTTGCGCAACTGCGGATGGGCACGTTCGTTCGCCCGACGCGGCACTTTCGAGGTCTTGTCACTGGAAATTCGCGCTAGCCGACCCGTGCCGATCGCCCGCGCTCGAACAATTCCCAAAGCCCGAAGCTGCCCGAGGCGAGCCGACCCGCCGTTCGTCGTCGACGCGTTGTCGCGAATATCCCGCGGTTCGTCTGTTTGGGCATTAGGCGAGCGGACAGCGCGAGCGCCGCGGACCACACGCCGCGGCCGGTTACAGCCGGAAGGCGTGCATTTCGGAGACGGAGCCTCCAGACGAAACGAGCCGTGGAGTCGCTTGGACACTCGGTGTCGTCGTGTTCGTTGCCTCCTGCGAAAGGCACGTTCTTACCGAGCGAACGAGACGTCGTACCGCGGCCACTCGCTCCCATCGGCCTACTTGGCCGTGCCGTTAATTATTATTAATCAAGCCGAGACACGGCAGCGTTTCCAATTGAATTTTCATCGTCCTCGTTTCTGGCTGGCGTTTCGGCTCGGTCTGAGTTCCAGCGCCGCGCAGTACGTGCCCGGGTGCGGTGAGGTCACTTGGCTTCCCGAGCGAGCGCCTCGAGTGCTCCGTCGACGGGTGAATCCCAGAGGCGGCTCTTACGGAACGTCGATTGCGCGCGCCAGCGAGAGTTCGGAGCTTGAATTGGTGCCCGCGCTGCTTTCTCTCGCTCGACGTGGAAACGATGGTTTTACCTGCCGCCGTTCTCGCGATCGATTCCGGCTCCTCGCCATTTGCCAGCGCGAACAGGCTCGTCCGTTCTTTCGCGTGGCGGCGGCGGCGGCGGCACGTGACGCCCGACAGTCACACCCTTGTTTATCGCTACGAGGCATTGAGCTCGCCCGAGCAATCCCACCCCTCCCGCTTTTCACGTGTCTCTCTTGCTTATCACGCCCCGACCACTCGTTAACAGCTAATTGTGCCGCTGATTAATTGACAGCGCGAAGGAAGAACCGGCGTAGAGAGCAGATGTCCTTCGGATAACGGGGCTTTGGCCTAGCCTGTGAAGCACACGCGTCCTTGCGACTGTCTTTGTCGGAGGGCACGTGCGCCGAGGCGGCCGCCGCGAGTGTCGCACAAGGAAACGCGCTGCATACGCGGAAACGTGAATAGCACCTGTTGGCATTCGCGCTTTGCCGGGCTTTGTCGAGCCGCTGCAACTTGGACGCCGCGCCGCCTTGCAAGCCGGCCATTGAGAACAGCGAGCTGCTCGCGCATCGATCGGCCTTGCCAGTGCGGATTCACTCGAACGGATCCGAAAGTCGTCGCGAGGAGCGAACCGGCTAAAAGCTCGCCGCCACCGCGGGCGACATCGCGACGGCGCACTCTGAGAATGCAGTCCCTCGGACGCGCGAAAAGTTCTCGGGGAACAATGCGACATTCCCACTGCCCTTGGTCACGCTCGACTCACGAGGTGGTCGCGCTTTGTCGGCAATTAGCGAGCAAATAACGGCCAGGTGGGATAGGCCAAACTGCCTCGGTGCTCAACGCACCGACCAAAATGCAACCTGCGCCTGTCACACGACTGACTCGCCGCTTTGTCCCACGGGACCGTCGCGGTCAGGGTCGAACCGGCTGCGTCCGCTCTTTGGCCGCCTTTTGCCCTAATTTGGCACTCGAATCGGCTCCGCCAGAGTCGCATTACTCTCTGGCGCTGCAATCGAAAGTAACTTACTCACGCGATAAACCGCGCCAACGTAACTTTACTGTTCTGCGTCACGTGAGCCTTCTCGCGCAGATCATTCGAGGTCGTGTTTACGCTTCGGCTCTATGAATTACGTACACTCTCGACATACGATGTCGGGAAAAAGTGTCGCCTGAAGTCTCTCGGTAAGCTCCAAAGTCGCGGTCGGTCCAAGTATACCGGAGACTAGCTACCAACCAATACATCTGGCAGTGCTTTTCATTTCAAAGTTTTTCATGATTATTTTTATAATATGCATTCGAAAAAGCTATCAATACCCAATTCTTATATGACAACACAGTTCAAGCAAAAAAGGAACCTCGTGAAAAAGAGTTTTTTAGTCCACTTTTGATTATTGATTTAGATTAAATAATCGACATAAACACTATAGAAATTGTTTTTTCATCGTCATATAAGTTGTCATCTTCTTAGATATATTTCATCGATAAAAATTTTTTTCTCAAGTTGTACTTCTTCTTCATATTTTATGTATGACTTACATTACCTTATGTGTTTTAACACTCTGTCGAGGATAATTCTTTCATTACATAATTTCACTGGTATTTAAGTAATTAATTTATATTAAATTGTAATAATACTGCTCTGTCAACAGCTATACTGCTATTTTAATAGTTAAATTAAGTAAGCCTTTTTATTCGTCATCGAATAAATTCAGGAATCTAGTGATGTCAATTATTTATGTACCCTGAGGAGATGTTTGTGCGCGGGATAGTATAACGATCGACGCTCACTTTGCAAGCTGCTTCGGCCTTACACTACCCCGTACACAAATATCGCCTCAACCGTGTTGACCCTCGTCCCGGCCAAGGTAGGTAAATCTAATTATATGTCCACAAGCATTTCCTTATTTTTGTATATTTCAACTAATGTAAACTAGTGTAGGAATGTCCTTTAAGCGCAATTGCACATAAATTTGACATAAATTTTAAGACTTTAAAACGAAAATATTGTGAACTTTCAGTTGTCACCCATTTTCAACAGAACTCTGAACAATCTTCTTAATTTCTATTTATATTATGTTAATAATGGTCGGTTGATCTTTTCGAAGCGAATAAATGGATAAGACAGTGATAATTTGGCCAATATGTCAGAGTAATTCAATTTTTACAAAGAAATTTTATTGAAAGCAATGAAATGGGTATAAAAAATATACTCATTTTTATACTATATATTAGATAACATTTAATTGCAATAGAGAGGCGCAGTATTATTAGAAAAAATAATACATCATTCATCTATTTGTGAGGGTGTGAATCTATGTACTCATGACTATAGAGAACTAACACTAATGCGTACCTAGCATACCTCTGCAGCGTTCCACATGAATGTAGTTACGATAACAACAACAATTTATAATTAATTGTTTCGCTCACTCCAGCATACTTTTGCAGACAGCTCAGTGATAAACAAAACTATAACATTCATTTACGGTCTGCACAACCATAAATAAATACCTTGTTTTTTTTATAAAACTATTTTCATTTATATTCATTTTTGCACACCGTTAAATGCATTTCAAGTACGGCATTGTTCACTTGAATGAAACAGGCCTAACAAGTATTAACCTAATATAAAAAGAAATTAAGAAAATTATTCCAAGATCGAGTTCGTAAAGTTTTAGTCTCAAAGTGTATGTTGAATTTATAAATACTGTTCTGTTTAATAATAGATGAACAATACGAAAATAAGAAAATGCTCGCTAACATACGAAATTATGCATACCGCTACTACATTCCTGGATATATTTTGACAAACACAAAAAGACGAATGTAGCACTGAAAGTCAAAAAGGCATACTTGCCCAACTGAACTGTCAAAGTAGACAAGTCAAACTGACTCGCGAAAAGAAATGCGGCAACGTCGTACGACTCGGCAAAGTGCAAACTGAAAGCTCGCGAACCCGCGCTGCCGGGCATATTTATAAATATGACCGTCGATTTTCGCCTCGTCGCGTTAACCGATGCACTCACCCGCGGGCTTCTCATATCGGCTCGTCGAACGCTCAAAATCGCCCACCTCGTTGCGATTTTCCAGTCTGACGCGTAAACAATGGCAAAATAAAAGAGATTGCACGTGTCACTTTGTTGTCGGCTCCGCGAATCGTCGAATAAATGACGGCGGCGCAATTCTGTTGAATAACTTTCTGGGATTTCGACGAAGCAAGAACGGCATTTGACGAGTTTTTCCTTCTTCGGTTCGCAGTATTGGCAATGCTGCGGTATTTTTTCAACATCAGCAATTCCCTCGATTTTACATAAGGAGCTACAAAAATTTTCATTCGTTTAAAACACGTTTTGCCGTTCGGCGAGGAAAGAGCCGCGCGTCGCGTTGCTCAATTCTTTATCGCGCAAGTTAAGTGTGCGCGCGAAGTTTATTTCACGCGCGATCTCAAAACAAATTGATACCTCTCGTCGAGCGCTTACGGCGTAATCGAAACACATTTCGCGATAATCGGCTGCCGCTTGGAAGCCGTCGAGGCCGTGTGAAACGGCGCGTCGACGAGGCGATCGCGAGTCGCGCGACCAAGCGCTGATAGCGCGCGAGCTCGGATAAGACGACGCGGGCCTTTGACCTGTCATGGGAGAGCCACGTCCGACGGAAGCGACTGTCGCATGCGCGACGTTGAGCGCCGGAGCAGGGCGAAACTAAGAGGCTCGCGCTCGGGCTGGCAGCGGCGCGGCGATCAGCTGGGCCGCGCGCAGCGTTGCCGCGCGGAGCGCCGCTGCCAATCGATGGCGGGGCGGCAACGTCGCCGTCGCAGCGCGGCCGACCGACCGACCGACGAGTCGTCGCTGACCGACGTTCCCTCTCTTTCTCTCTCTCTCTCTCCGCGCGCCGCGATTATTTAACCGCTGGTTGGCCCACGGATTCGGAGCGTTCCTCGACTGCTCCCGGCCGTGTGCTCCGCCTCGGAGCTGGCCCGATCGCCGCCAAACCTGCCCGATTCGTCGCCCGCTTCGCGCGTCTCATTTTCACGGGCCAGCCGTCGCGAGCGCTGATCTTTAGCGCGCCTCGCGATCTACGACAGTCAAGTTCACGAGCGACCGACCAATCGATTACATTTTCTTTTGATCGACCCGTGACACCTTGTCTCTCTTTCGAATTGGACGCGTTTCATTCCGTGCCCCATCGACTCCGATTCACGCGGCCGCAGTAATCTTCCGCTATCATTTCGTTATCTTATCTTCTCGCTTGCGCCTCCAGCTGTCGTCTCCTCTTTCTCTCCTCGCGCTAACGCTATTACGTAGCGGTGCCGCATCCCGACTTGATATTGCCGAATGTTTTTGCTGGCTTTCCTTTCCTTCTCGACATGCAGAACCCACCGCCGCTGCGAATAATTCGAACGATTTTTCTTGTTTTCGTTGCTCGTATTCTCGAGGCGTCGACTAAACGAGCTCTGTAAGATCGGATAGATCGTAAATAATGGTCGAGGCGAATCGAAACTTATCGTTCGCACGGCCTCGTATTCGCATGAAAATGATTACGATGCATTTTGGAAGACGAACGAATCGATGAGAGACAAGAATGCAATAAATCAGTCGACCGTGTCGTAGGAACGAGTGCATTTGGAGGGAAACTGCTCGCAGGGTGGCCGCGACATTGCACCTTTCGCTCGACACTCGTCCGTTCCGAAAATAATCGCGCGCGATGGTTGGTCGCGTTGTATCGGCATTTTTCCGCGCGCGCCCGCTCGTTATTTATAGCAACCGCTGCAGAAACGCGCATCGCACGCCGCTGTTTTTAAAAATAAAAGCGAGGCGCGCGCGCGCGCGCTCGTCGCCGTTGGCGTCGCTCGGCGATAGGTCCGAGCGAAAGTGATCCACGTAAAAGTGACTTCCGAGCGCTTATGCAGGACCTTGCCACTCGGAGTAGAACGCATTCTCGAGGTTCTCGAATGTCGCGACGATTAATGGCAGCAGCGGGAATAGCAGCAGCTTGTTTAGCGCACCAACGTCGCTGACGTGTAATCGAAAATCCGCTTAGCAGCCGGGTTGCGCAAGCGAAATATTGACCTAAATACGACGGCGACCAACTGGTTAATTTTGTACCGGACGCCACTGCACGCCGACGAGTGTATAGAGCGCGATCTATTAGCTCGTCAACTGGCTGAAGGAGAGAGTCGCGCAGGAAGAGCGGCGCGAGCGACGGTCCGAGGGTTTCGCGGCTAATTTAAGCGATCGACTGGTACCTAAAATAGAAAGCGCACGCAAGACAGTTGGAGGGCAGCTAGCCACTGGATACCCGTTGGAAAGAGCTTCACGCGCTCGGACGCCCACTATTCGCCTCCGCACGTGCCAGTGACGGCGACGCGGCAACGCGCCCCCAAATTGATAGACACCTACGCAGGCTGTTCGCCTTCTCCGTCGTTGTCTTGTCTGCTTCGCCAACCAGCTGCGGCTAGTGGAGTTTCGCGCAGTCGACAGGTGGATCGCAAGCAGATGCGCGGCGGCGGAACTCCCGAGGAGCGCCGGGGACGCAGATCCACGAAGCCCTGCATTTTCGCGCGCGAACGTCCCTTCCGTGCCGCCAGCCTTCACGGCCGCGCCACTGGCTGCTCCGCTTTCGTTGTCGCCGTCCGCTGCTGGCTGATCGTCCCGACGAAGCGATCCCCGCTGGCTCGTAGCTCGCCACGGCCGTCGTCGGCGCTGCGGATCGATGCCACGTCGATAAATTCGTGCCGGTGAGGCCGAGCGGCGCTTATTACGGGAAGCGCCAGCGAGGCTCAAACGAGTCGCGACTCGAGCGATGTCCGTCGTGTTCGCCCACGGCGCGAAGCATGGCGCGCCGAGAAAAGCGCGGCTAGGTCGAAGGGCGAAGGCAGTGGCGTAGCCGCCTGCCTGGCTACTCGCAATAGGCCGGCCGGACTCGCCCGGTATCGATCAAACTCGCGCGCGCAAATGCGTCAACGGCCTACGCGTTCGGCTTTCGCGGTCGTCGCCGCCCCGGGTGGCTGGCTGGCCACCAGTCCCAGCGTCAAACGCGCAGTCGTCCCAATTGGCGGAGCGCGGCTCGCGCTCTCGACGCTCGGCGGGCTGCCTTCCGTTGCGTCGATCGGGTCCGATCTCGGTCTCGCTCTCTCTATCGGCTTATCGCACGACGATCATGATCTCCTGGTTGGACGCAGCTGTGGAGAAGTGGCAAAGAGTCGAGAGCCGCGCGTGACGCCAACCGTGGGCGGACCGAGCTGTACCGATCGCTCGACGGCGAGGAGGCGACGCGCCTCGCCGAGCCTCGGATTATCGAGCGATTGGGGCAGCCCGACGACCAGTGACGAGACACGCCTAGGCAGGAAGCGTTCGATGCGAATCGGACCGCGAGCCAGCGACCGGGCGGAGGCAGCGCGCGTGCTACGATGCGGCTAGCGACGCACTGTCGCCGAGCTCGCCGAAGCGCAGTGCGTTGCCCTTTGACGCACAGCTGCCCGTGCGAATTCAACTGGAAGCGTCGAGGCTCGTTCGCGGTGCCCCCACCGCCGTCTCCGCGCTGCTAGAGTTGCCGTTTCCTTTTGGCCTTGTTCGCGCCGGATAACTCCGACTGCCAAGCGTTGTCGAATTTGTACATCGCGACTTTGCCGTTGCCGTTGCGTTCGTTCGTTGCGTCGACGTTGCTGCTCGTCCGCGCGGCCACGTTCCCAGCGACTTCCTGGATGCGTGATCGCGCGGGCACGCAGGTCCAGCGAGAGCTGCGAGCTCCTCCGAAACTGCAGGAACAGCGGGCCAGGATGTGGGCGGCAGAGCCGTCGGTCGCGTTGCTCAGCCAGTCATGGCGGCGTTTGCTGATGTGGCCGTGGCTCGAGAAAGAGAGAGCACAGCTCGTGTCAACGACGCGAGCGTCATCTCGCGCGCGCGCTCGGTCGCTCGCCGCCGACAAGGCAGGCAGCGTCGAACGCGCGGCCGCGAGGTGGCGCCGACAGGCCGGTCACCGGCGCGCTCGGGCGACCCTCTTCGAATCGCCAAAGCTCTGACGCTCGACCCATTGCTCGTTCCAGTGCGCGGACTTCGTGAAGGCCGGAGCCGAGCAGGGCCTGACGCCGTCGGACGTGGTGGGCATGTCGGACATCACCTTCTCGTGCGTGGCCGACCCGCAGACCGCCAAGGAGGTAAGTGATCAGCGCCAGCCCGGTGGGCACGCTCGGGCGACGACGCGAGGCGTAACAACCTGCCTTGTTGAAGATGGTGTTCGGCAACTGTGGCGTGCTCACTGAGATCTCGCCGGATAAGGGCTACGTGGAGATGACGGGCATCGACGCGGAGACCTCGGAGGACATCGCCGAGGCGATCACGGCCAAAGGCGCGCGCTACCTGGAGGCCCAGGTGCAAGGCAGCAAGGTGCAGGCCGAGGAGGGCACTCTGGTCATCCTGGCGGCGGGCGACCGCCAACTGTTCGACAACTGCCACAGCTGCTTCGGAGCCATGGGCAAGAACACCTTCTACCTGGGCGAGGTGGGCAACGCCTCCAAGATGAACCTGGTGCTCCAGCTGCTGGCCGGTGTCACGCTCGCCGGACTCGCGGAGAGCATGGCCCTCGCCGATAGGGTCGGTCTGCAGCAGAAGGACGTGCTCGAGATCCTCGAGCTCACTTCGCTCTCCTGCCCAGCGATTCTCGACAAAGGCAGAGGTGAGTTCCGGGCGCGACGCTCCTCTTGTCGGCTTCGCTAACCGATTTGCCGTCTGTCCTCTAGCCATTATCGAGGGCGGCTTCCCCACGAGCCAGCCGCTCAGACACATGCAGAAGGACCTGCGGCTGTCGCTGATCATGAGCGACCAGCTGGAGCAGCCCAACCCGCTAGCCGCCGCGGCCAACGAGATTTACAAGCACGCCAAGCGTCTCGGCTACGGCCAGCACGACGTCTCGGCCGTCTACATTGGCGCCAGGTTCTGAACAATCCCGACACGCCTCCAACCGCCGCCTTTTTCATCACCAAGTTTCAATCGTCGACGTCGACGTGACTCTATGAACAGCTACTAATCTCGTCTCTTCTCTTTTGCCACGCATCATCACAACCGACCAACACACACGCCCACGCACACACGTAATTACACTTACACTGACTGTGCAATAAGAGAGATTATTAGGCTTTGATTTTTACGCTAACATGGCTTAGTTTTATTGAGTATCGTCCAACCATCGTTATTCATGCAATCTTTTCCTTTAATCTTCTTTTTCAACTCTCTCTCTCTCTTTATTTTTTATTTGACCGACCCCTTCCCTCTCTTTTCCCTCCTTCCATCCAGATTTTATGACAAACTATTATAAGTTCAAGATTTCATTTTGGTCTCTAACCATGGTTAACAATCTACTCAATTATATCTCAATCAAGTTTGAGCATGTTTATTCATGCTTACAATCAGTCAAACAAAGACAAGGGACGAAAAGCAGTTATTCACTTGATTAAACTTTATAATGTTATGTGTAACAAACATCATCATTGTATGCATTCACTTTTCCTTTTTATGCGACAAAGATCTCATTGCTCTTGGATCAATGTGCTTTTCCATACTGTATAGTATCAGGCTTATAATTTACTTGCAAAATTGATTACTTTCATAAATTTCTTATTAGCGATTGTCTAATGATTTCGAGTAATGTATCGATCATTTTAGAAAATTGACGTATTAAAAACAGATGAGTACTACTGTTCTCTCTGTTGTATCTTTAAAAATCATTAAAATAAAAATGATATTTTCTAACACTAACATCGTGTTACTTCAAGAGATACATTTTAATCTTATAAATGCAGAAAATGCAAAAAGAGGGTAAAATAAAAGTAAGCGAAATCTGCTAAAGCATCAAGCTGAAAATTGTTAGAAAGGGAATGAGTGAGTTTGTATTTTGCTGCGGCAGAGTTGAATTTTAATAATAGAAAAAAAAATTAAAAGGTGTAATATTCAAATATAAGTATATGAATACGATTGTTCTAAAATTGATTAATAAAATTTAGAAATAAAATTTTCATTTGCATCTTTTTAAAATATGACTTAACTTGCTCTTTAAACCGACGGTCGCAGATAAGATACCATTCAACAGTACAGAATATTAATGTCACATACTTGTAATTAAGACAATGTTATTTGTATACTAACTAATCCATTCTACTTCCACATTTTTGAGTTTTGGTTTGAAAGAGCAAGTTTTGTATCTGTATAAATATATGTGGAAAAAATCAGACCGCAAACTGGAAAATATACAGGAAATTGGGTATATGGTTATATATATACATAGCTGTAAAAGAATGAAAACTAAAATAGCGAAAAAAGGATGGTTATGAAAGTGTGTTGAAGATGAGAGTATAAAAACTCCTAGATTTTGTGGCGCATTATGCGTATGTTTTATGTCACAAGATTATTTTTTTTTTTAAATTAGATTATCTATTCAACTTATTTTAAATTTTATAATAAAAATAAAATTAAAGATACACAGTCTACGTATATATATATATAGGTATATAGAATAATTTCATATGTATATTTTCTTGTATTGATTACATAACTCGCAGAAAATATCTATGAACAAAAATATCATTTTATTTTTAGTTTAATAGGAAAATGAGTAGGATTCTAAAATTTTACATTTGGGTGTTACAATAAAGACTTTAAATGCTTTTATTTGTTGTTTCTGAACCTTTAGCCATTCATTCGTTTCTTCACTCGCTATAAAAATGATTCAAGCCATTTATCAACTTGTGTTTTACTATTGAGTAATTTTATGTCATAAAATTTTTTTTAAGATCGCGCTTTAGTCGCTTGGTAAAATTATGGAAAAAGACTAACTTTTAATTAGACGTAAATATTCGACAGCTGTAAAGAACAATGAGACCAAAATGGTCGTCATCAGCAAGGTCTTTGATGCTTTGCCGAGCCTGTCAGAAATAAAGCAAACTAATACTGCATAAAAATAATCTCTTGTTCCACGTAAGGTAGAAGAAAAGTATTAGTAACAATACAAATATCTTTGGCAATGTCGAGCGATCAAATGTGAAAAATTTGTTGATAACACTTGTCAGGTTGATTTGTTGAGCAAGGTGAAAAATTTGGTTATAAAGTACGCGACGTCGCTCAAAACATTTTGATGATTTACGATTGAAAGCATCAACGAAAGATGACGTAAGCAGGCGTGAAAAGTGATCTTTATGTTAAGTTGATCGTTAAAAGCAAATATTGTTCTCGCTATCTTGAATTTTTCGAGTGATTAACTATCGTTAATTTTTATCACGCAACTGTTGAGGGGAATTGTATTTGAGCAACTTTTTTTCTCGGCATAATTAGTTGCTTACTTTTCAGCAAAATGACTGTTCGAAGTCATTTCGATCGGTGTAAAACTACGTAAGAAAATAGCATTGGAACTGTCAAGAATTTAATGACCGAACGGCAAAGCTTTGTACACTTTTTATGTAGGCCAGGTCGATACAGCATTGATGATCAAATAATGGTTAGGATATAACTTATTGTCAAAGAATGGCAGTGTACACGTATTGTAATCGCTCGAAATAACGGTATGAAAAAACGAAGTCATTGCAACTAGGTTGAAACCCTCGAGCCCACGTGCCTCAGCATCTACATTTTTTATAATTGTTACTTGAAAACGCCAAGGTCCGTACGAGCTATTTAATAATTTACATTATCTTTATTATTATTGAGAAAAATGGCACGATGAGAAAACAAGGTGAAACGATAGATTGCCTTTTAGCAGGTATTATTGTGTTTTATCTCATTGTGCTAGATATTCAGGGCATGCACACGTAGATTTCCCCATAGAGTTGTGCCTTGCGCTCAACGTCTCGTACTTCGAACCCAATATAAGCGCTCCCCTTGCTCGTTCTCCCTGCGTTGCAGCTTCCTTTCCGTCGCCCTTCTACGCATACGCGGCTTTTAAGTCGGCATAGAGGTCGATAATCTCGGCAGCCCTTCGTTCTTGCCCGCGATGCATTCGTGTGTCGTTAAAAATACCTTGCTCGTGTTACTGCTTTCGTATTTTGACAATGACGTCGAACCCAATTCAAGGCAACAACTGTCGATTTCTGTTCACTTACTAAATCCACGACGACGGTTCGCCTAGAGATCTTTCATTGTTTTTTAGGTGGATTAGTCGGGTATGCAAACACGAACGATAACTAGGTGAAATCGCCGAGGCCTGGAGTAGAGATAGCACATAATAATTACTTGTCTGTTTCGAGTTTACGCAATCGATCATCTTTGCTCGTTTACGTGCTTACGTAGATTAGGCTCCCTTTGACTAATTGGAATGAGACGACAGTGGCATTCGGCGTTTAGCCGGAGCGACGTAATATTGAGGTCAACTGTCTGCAAGTGGGCCCCTTTGTTAATTGAATTGACAGCCACCGCGAGATTTAGAAACTATTTTCGTTGATTTCGGCACACTTTCGCTCGAAAGTTTACGCAAATAAGTTTGTGAAAAAAGCCAGCGCACGGGGGAGGGGAAGAGAATGGAGCTGGATCAGGTTGGAGTAGCGCGTAAGCGCTAAGAACAGGTCGAAAGACCGTTCGAGACGGTGAGACGGGGGCCGAAACGAAAACGAGCGCGGCGACGTGTTTAGCGAGGATCGCGGCGAAAAGCTTGGGCCGGTGCAGATGGTCGCAAGTGTGGCTGCCACCTGGCTCGCGGAAAGAAGAAAGGGAAACGGCGGGCGCGCGCGCGAGAGAGAGAGAGAGAGAGAGAGAGAGGAGCGCGAGCAGCTGGTAGTCAAGGGCGAAATTGGCCACAGCGAGATGTAAGAGCGCGGCATCCGCAGCAGCCGAAAGAGCGAGAGCGCGCTGGCACGCGCTGCAGTCCGCGGCAGCATGGGAAAAGGTGCGAGGCGAGAGGGGGCCGCCGCTGTCACATGACACCTGTGGCGCGCGCGCGCTCGCTCAGTCCCGGCGCGGCTCGCGACTCGAGCGTGTGCGACGTGCGTGCGAGTCTCTAGCGCGACGCGCATGCGCCCAGGCAGCAGTGCGCCCCCCGCCGCCCGGTCGCTTCCTTTCTCCACCGCTGCCGCTCCGTGCGTCGAGTCTGGCCTCGTCCGTCTGTTTACGTGCAGCAGCGCGGCGCTGGTTGCTCTTACGCGATTCTTGACGTACGCGGTGCGCACGTAGCCGCGCAAAACGAGCCACCGAGAGTCGCAGCCTCCGCGTCTTCGTGGCTGTCGCGTGCCAGTGTCGTCGACAGTCGCAGATCCGACCGAAGCAGCGACGACGCGTGACGAATATAACCTCTCCTACGACTTTCTCGTCTGCAGTGCTCGCTCTCTCCCTCTCTGTGATAAAGCATCGCCGCGCGTATGTGTGATAGTGATTGTGCGTGTGCCTGGCCTCAGCCCGATTGCTGGCTCCGTGCTGCGCGGCGCACTCGACGACCTCTTCCCGGAATCAGCGACGGCGGCTCGGCGAGCGCGCAGCTGGAATTTCCGGATCGCACGGCCATCCAGACACTGCAAGTAAGTATTTCACCGGTGTGTTTCGTTCGCCTGCCTCGCTCCCTCCCCCTCGCCCTCCGCTCCTTCTGCTTCTTCCTTTCTCCCGCCCGCGCCCCCTGCACTGCATAACCTCCTTTCGATCGGCTCTTTTTACCGTCGTCTAACCCCGTCTCCGTCTCCTTCCCTCTGCTCGCAATGTCTCTCTCGCTGCCTCGTCCATTCGGATTTCCCGCGCTTTTCTCGGAAACGAGCGACCACTTCTGCTGCCCGTGAGGAAGAACTCGAAGTGTGCCTGAACCGGACAGCAAGAATACGCGAAAGAGGCAGGCGAGCGCGAGTGCTGAGAGAGTGAGAGGTGTAGTTTCGCACACAGGTTTCTCGAAGCCGCTGCCTTGCCGAGGTCGCGCTGGTGTGCAGCTGTGTTTTGTCGTGTGCGCGTATCGGTGTGTGGCGAGCGTGACGAAATATGCACATCTATATACCTGTACAGCCGCGGCCGCCTGCACGAGAGTTCGGCTCTCGCAGGGACCTCGGCGACCGACTTTTCTTCGCGGACCCGTAGCCAAGTGGGGCTTCTGCCGCTTGGCTACTGCTCGGCCTCGAGTGCCCTGTGCCTGCGCGACAGATTCCCACTTTTTCGGCGCAACGCAGCTACATCGCGCGATAAGAAATGCGCAAACAGGAAAACCACCAGCAGACGAACGCACGTACGCAGCAAGCCGAAGCCAGGCCGCAGACCTCCGTACGGTGGTCTACGTACTCCGAGCTTGAGGAAATTTTCGGAACGCGGATGTTGCGCGCACGAGAATTTTCGCTCGGCTTTATCAAACTGCTGAGCGCGAATAACAAAGTTCTGTCTGTTTACCAAAATGCTTAGCAAATAAAAAACACACACCTGCGTGGTTGGCGCACGGTGTGGATGAATTGCTTTGGCTGTAATCGGACTCGCGAGGCAGTGCGAAACGAGGAAAAATTAAAGCTCGAGAAAGCCGCGCGCCGGCGATTGTTGTGGTGCAGCCGTGCAGAGCGGAGTTTGGCGAATTGAAATCAGACGTCGCTATCGCCGGCTGACAATGAATTGATATAGCCGGCCGATGTTGCGCAAATCTTTATCAGCAGGTTGTGAGAGCGCGAGGAAGGATAAACAAACGCTGCATCGACGACGAGCAGACGAGTGCGCGTGTGCGTTTGAAATAGCTTTTTATGTCACGCGCGCGCACACACACTCGCGCGTGCCTCGGCCGAGAGCGTTGCGTTGCGCGGCTACGCGCGCTTGCTTGCTTGCTTGCTTGCTTGCTTGCTTGCTTGCTTGCTTGCTTGCTCGTATCGCGCGGCCCGGCTTGCCTGACTGGCCGCTCGCCGGTGAAAGTTACAGCGAAGATTTTCCTATCATTTGCATGCGTATCTCGTTCGCTGGCGCGCGAGTTTTGCGGTGTTCCCGCACTGTTTATTCGCGCACCCGCGGGCCCGATAAAGCTGGCGCGCGCGCGCCGCAGCCGCGATCGAGCCGCGATCGAGCGCGCCGGCGACCTCGCGCGGATAATGCGCCATTGCTCCGGCCGAGCGAGCTCCGCGATCCGCGCCGAGAGCCGTTATAAAATTCGCGGCTTTTTCTTTTCGCTCGCCTCGCCGTGCGTGCGTCGCCCCCGATTAGTTGCGCGCCACGAGAAAAACCGTTGCATCACTGCTCGCCGTTGCCGTCGACGGCCCTGGCGCTCCGCTTCTCTTTTTTGCTTTTCACTTGCGATCGAGCCGCGCCGATAATCTAACGTCGACCGCGAGCAATACAACGACCATCTGTATCGCGGCGCTTTTGTCAGCAATTTATTATATCGTTGCGTCGCTGTGCGCGTCCGAATGTCGCGCGCTCTCGAGCTGACCTTTACGAGCATTTCAAAAATTTCAATCATCCGCGAGGTTCTCGGGCTTTCCTTCTGAAATTCGTCTTTCAGAGGTCATTGACCGTCCCCATCTTCCATCCTTCGCGTCCTGCCAACGTGCATTAGTCTTTTTCGGGGCGCTTTTCCGAGAGACATCTCGGCGTGTAGTTTAACAGTCGACGGTTCGTAAAAATTTGAACGACGGCAAATTGGAGACAAGTGTCGCGTTGCAGGCGAAAACGGATAAAAAAATGATTCGTGTTTACTACCTTCGATCCAACAGCCAGTGCG